GCAAAGCGAGTAATTGATTTTCGGAACCAATCGTTATAAACCTTATCTAATTAATCTCACTAAAGTGCTAAGGGAATCACATTCCCAACTACCAGTACAAAGAAAATCACGCACGACGTATTATCAATAAACAATTTCGAGGATATAAATGTGATTACATGGATGATTGAATCAATACATATTATTATCGAAATTGATGAATTAAAACAAACAGCCACTCAAGTCAAATTGAAAACTGTGTGAGCCAGTCACTTAGCAATTACAGTAGCATAGAACGCAGATAAAACTTTGTACGTTTGCAATGTCGTTAACTTTCTAAATACTGTATGCAATAACACCCCTACTCATTTATATAGAAGCAAATAAAGAGAATATTATAGAATGTCGTCTAAAAATGTCCTGATATTTAGCTGCTCAAGGTCCACTTAACTCGCATCAATCTGTCAGAGAAAAGTTGGGATGGAACGCCAGAACAGCCCATATAACCAAAACACATGGTTTTAAATAGTTCCGTGCTTTTTTCGAATTATTCCGACCATGTAATGGATCTATAAATATGTCGTACTAATTGCATAAGTTTTTTGTTTACAGCATTAAATGTTTAAATATTTACTTCAATTCTTATATCATTGCTAAAACATGAATTTTGTTCGTTTCAACAATGGGCAATAAATCTGACTAAAAATAATTTAGTTAACTGATCTATTCCAGCCATAACAGCAATTCACCAGAATAAAGTGTTATATAGTCGTTTGATTTTACAGATTTATTTCGACTAGAATAAGGCACATCTCCTTTGTAGACATTTTCTACAGTAACATAAAATTTAATATTTCTAATGTTCCACCCAATGTTAATACCTGTTTTTCTGCACTGCACGAACTGCTAAAGTCTAAGGTCCCAAAAATTGTATTTTTTATCTTGTCGATTATCTTTAACGTTCTTTTGTTATCTAAATACCCTTGCAAGTAATTCCTAGGTATGTCAATTAATTTCTAGTTTCAATAGATTCCATTTTATTTGCTGATACTTTCAACTCGACCTTTTACTATTTTACCTACTTACTTTCTTTTGCATACTTTTAATTTTTAATACCTTTTTAGGTATTAAATTTTTTTATATGTGATTTATGTCTCCAAGTTTCTCCGTTATTTGTCTGAATTTCATTAGAAGTTCTGATGCTTTCAGATCAAGTTTATTTGTTTTATTTTTAAAGCAAATAAAAAAATATTTGGCGCTGGGTTAGTTTTATGTTCAATTTTTTTTTGTCTTTATTACCACTCGATTTTAATCTAATATTTCGGCTGTGGTTTTCTAATTTGATAAAAGGTTTTTGTTTAGTTTTCTATTAGCGCAACTATATTTCTAAGATACAGTAGCGCGAACGATTTTAAATTGCACTATTATAAAATGGTTGTAAAGAGTCGTAAAATTTATTAGTTGAAGATAATCTCATATAATAGCCATGATAACTGTGAGATTACTAAATTTGGAAAATGTATTTAACAGCCTTCATAATAGTGGTTTGAGTGGAAACAATTAATGACATATTTTTATTATTTCTTGTCGTGATAATGATGATTAACTGTAAGCTTATTTCATTAAATTTCAACTAATTTTTTCGATTAAAAGTATCTAAAATTAATTCAATAAATGTGCCACATTTGTTCATTGAACAAACCATTGGCTTGCTGTCCTGTTGATTGCTGCAAGCAAAATGCTTTTAAGAAAACTACAGCTTATTTAATAGAGTTTGTAGTCTTATTGGTTTCTAGTTTCTAGGACAGATTCATTCGAATCAATTAGTTTCTCATATTAACTGATCTTCTGTTAATAATTGGTTAATTACCATTATACAAACATTGTTGAATTTAGTTGGTTTGCGTAATGTTTTATGTAAAAATCTAATAAAATTGCTTTTTTAAAACATAATCAGTGTTATTTAAAGGTACCTTGGGTATTGTTTATTGGAACAATAACTAAGAACCAAGGCAGCTTCTTATTCAGACGCGAACACAACATATTTTTAATGTTGGCTAATATCCAAGGGCATTCAGGATATTAGGTGCCTAAAAGATTTTAAAGATTCACTATTCACAACACGTTAAAACAACCAATACAATCATTAATAATGATTTGTTTTTATTTGGAAATATAGTTGTTATATAATTGGAGACTTGAACGAGGAAATTTAAGTAAGGTTTCAAGTTACAGCTTTTTTGTCGTTAAAAGGTCTTTGGGTGATTTAAAAAAGGGTTGCACAAGATTTAACTTGTTCAAGAGTCACTGCTTAACCATGGTCAGATGCATTGGCGTCATTCCGGATATTTAAATGGAACATTTTAGTAATAGAGTTAGATTTCTTGTAATGGATACTGAAAATAAATTGCAAAATATTAATCTTATTGACACATTTGGATTTCCAGGTGTAGGTAATTGGACTCACATATTTCACATGCGTATTTGAATTCAGCATAAATATATTATTAATTTTACATTAAGTTTCCTTTTAGCAGGAAGATACCTTTGCAGTAGGCATAGTACCATCAGAATGAGACTCATATCGAGAGTAACTCATTAAAAAAAGTTTGGTTTAGTGTTTAAACACACGCTTTTACCAAGAAACGTTAAGAACTTATATTAATAATGACTTTGGCATCTTACAACAAGTATTCGCAAATTCAAGATTCTTCCATGAAGCAATATACAATATACTTGTAAATAAGGCCAATGTACTCCAAGTGAGAATAATTGAAAAAATAGCGATTGGTTCTAGTAGGGTGGAAAGGTGGCTTTTGTCCGCCATTTACAACCACTCCCGGAAATAGTTTATTGCTATTCCTCGTTGGAGTACGCCAATTGGTACATGGCTTACATAAATCGCGCGGCAAAAGAAATTCACTGTTTAAAATTATTGTGTTACTTGGAACACCATTAAACAAAGTGCTATACTTCCGTTCACTAGACTAAGTAAACCGTTTTTTTTTTGTTCAGTTGGCCTTTAAAGGACCGTCAATTCAATGGAAACAAGTGATATATTAGCATTAGAACAGTAGCGTTTAACATTAGCTCTTCAAATTATGTGAAAATGTTGCGCATTTTCTGCGTTAATCTTTACTAGATGATAATTGGAAAAGTTGACTAACAACTGAATTCTGAATTGAAAGATCCTGTTCCTTGTGTGTGTTTTGGTAAGAGGGCATATTTAACAAAGGAAATATGGCTGCTTTTCGCACACCACTGGGTACCATTATCTCTTCATGTATTACGTTCATAGCACGGTAGTAGGTAATAAGGTAATAGCCAAAATCTTATTGCCTTGCTTCAGTGAGGAGCGAAGGACGTCTCGAAACGATACAAGGAAATATGAGTAAAAGTAATATCTGGTTTCGCAGCTTTCTACGAAGTTGTATTAAGTGGTACGCTTGAATAAAACCTATTGTTACTTCAGAAACCTCATCCGGTTTCGAAGATCACATTATGAGTTTGATTTCAGCAAACTGACCGGTAGAAAAAAGTCACATGGTCGCTTATTTCTATTTTTTGATAGATATCTTCATTTATGTGTCCAAAGAGTTTTTTACATTTACTGGGTATGCTTCGATTTGAAATCGAGAAAGTGGAAATGAGACGAAAAAGTCAGAAGAAAAAATGCTGATAATTTACGTAAAGTGTAATACACATGCATAACCGACCGTATTTGAGATTTCTATTTGTTAAATACCGCTATATTTTCATAGATCAATCCAAACAAGCTGCGTATTGGGAGTTATTTAATAATAAATACCTGAAATTACCTATTATCAATCAACGAGCTTAAGAAAATGTTAAAAGCTTCTGTTCACGCAATAGACAATTGTGGACAAACCAGTAACAAAGAAAACAACAAAAACAAAAATGGTTTTGAGAAGTTGATAATGTATTTGCAATAAGTAACTCGTTTGTTCCTAAATGTTTGAAATAATTATCATTAGCAGCCATGCAAAGTATATTTAAAGCGAGTGGTGATTGAATATGCGTTTGCTAATTCAATTTGCAGACATTATCTTGAATTGATTAAAGTAATTGCCCAATTTGTATATAAAATAATTTCTTCCGATGAATCGCGTAATTCTAAAGTGAGGCCAATTGTCTAAAATGATTTCTGCTATTTTGTTATATAGCCCATTTTTAAATTTAACATTTAATGTTTCGAAAAACTCGTTGTTTTTACATAAGATAGCCGCCGTCATATTTAGGTAAATTCATTGAGTTTCAAACAATATAAGTGTTATAGAATTATGATACTTGACTTGTTGAAAGTTTTTATTGTTGTATCGGGGTATTTGTTTTCCGATTCGTCATTAAATGCAACACTTTGCTAATTGAGAACAAAATTTGCAAGAAATCTATCAATTTTGTTACCAATACAGCAACGAAGAATCTTCCATTTCTTTTGATTTGGCTCATTACTGTTTTTCGATCATTGTATTTGTGGATACAATAAGTTTTAAGAACAAGAAAACATCACACTTTATTCTGACATTGTCCATGACAACAGTTAGTTTTCTATACTCCTATTTCACGTTTTATCCAACTTTTCGTGGAAAATTCCCCTTTTTCTCCCGAATTGAAAGTTTCCATCAGGCAGAATAACAGTAATTATTGTGGGGACAATTCTCCATAGACGAAACTTTTTCTTGAGTAAACCGGAATTTGGGGCTTCTTGTTCCCTTCGCCCTATTTTGACAGCCGCTCTTTGATTATTTCTTTGCACAATTTTATCGTTATTTTCATAAGTTTCGTCCACTTTCTGGTATGTTTGCTTCGGTCTCCTGCGGTTTTCTGTTTAAAAATGTTTTTCTCCTTTCAGCTCATGTTTTTTCTTTTAATTTTTTTTTCTTCAATTAGATGCCGATTTTCACGAATTTAATTGTTACTGTTTGCCAACTTCGAATGCAATGAATTATATATTTGGACAGTGCCTGGGAAATGTGGTTTGAAACTGTTTAATTTTTCAGTCACACCACACGAACAACTACATGGGAGGACCCGAGAAAGACTTTAGCAGCTACTCAACAACATCAGAGCCAAGAGCACCTTGTGTCACACCCACATACGTCTCCTACTTCAACTAGTGAGTAGTAGGCCCTTTTTTCTGAATAATAAAACAGCAAAACCATTCATAATCACAATACCAAAATTCATGTAGAAATTAATTGTTATAACAGTTAATTATTAATCAGAAGCGGAAATTGGGTTAAACATTAATGGGAGTTGTGGAACTATACTTCTTTGTTAAGCAAATATATAGTTTTGTAGAACAACTTGACTAAGAAGTAATTATTTGTTGGGATTTAACGCTGTTTATTGGGTAGGCATGGTGAAGGGAATAAGTAGATACTAATAGTGTTTACTACATTATTCAATTTTCTCCTCTATACAACGAGTTCATAAACAAGTGTGTAACGGAAAACTGAATTTTTATGAAATAAGAAACACTTCCTCTCTCAGTTTTCTTTATATGTTCGAGAGTAGACGTTCCAGGGGTGGACATTTCAAGGTATATTGCTCTAAAGTTAATCGCGTTCGTGAAAAAATGGATAGTAATGATTAACAATTTAGCGAAATTTAGGAACAGATGAAAATTAAGAAATTAAGAATTATTTTTATCACTTTTGCGACTTAAATTGCTGTCGAAATGCTAGTCTTTCCAGTCGTAAAACCGATGAAAAATATTTAAAACAATGTTTAAGTTCTATCTGTTAAATTTTCTTAAAATTGTTAATGTTAACTACCTATTGTTTGGATTACAAAAGCGTTTCAAACCGTTAGCAAAATTATCGTTTTTGTTCATGAATAGTAATTTTTCTCGAACTCACTTAACTTTAGGGCAATAAACCAACAGAAGTATCTTGTGTAAAGGTCATTAACAGTGGTGTAAAAGTTAAAGGAAAAAACACATACTATTCTTTAATATCGCCACCACTGACCTCTCCAATGAATTCGAAGTTTCGAAAAACTTACTATTAATACTGGTAAGTGTCTAGAAAACTCAGTTGGTTCTTAACAAATTGACAAAAAAACTTAAAAGAAATTGAATCTTTTACCCCTTGTATATCAACGAAAGCAAGGAGCAATAAATGGAAGAGAAAAGGTGTTTCTTTGGTCAGTAGAAATCTAGCTTTCTATTGCGACACTTTAGGACCACCTGTATACAGGCTTGTCCGATTAATTTCGAATATATTTTTTATGATTTCTCCGGTATATAAGACTATTCAAATCAGAAGAAAAGTTACTTTCTATCGTGGTTTTCTATTTGAAATTTTAACTAACAAAATTTTATTAAATTGGGCGCTACTGAATCTAAATAATTTTACACTTTTCACAGACCAGATCAGATGCATTGCGATTTATTATTTTATTTGATGATGGAAATACAGTATTTAAATTCATAAACCATATTTCCATAAACGTCGGAAAACCATTTTTCAAATAAATTTTTGTTGTTATTTTACAGTTCCGATTCAACTTTCTCACTTATGTGGGAGACTCAACTTCTTTTCATTTAAGTTGTAATAACAAACGTTAAAAAATATCAATATTTTAAATCAAACTACTAGAGTTACTTGTTATATGCTTTACACAAAAATACGTTCAAAAGATGCTTGATTTTTTATTAAAAAAGAAAAATCCTTGGTCAGTATATTCTGCATCTTAAGCATCAAAATATTGAAATTTCAACTCTGTGTGGTCTATAGGGTTAGGATAATGAACTGGGACGGTCGGTTATCTCCCAAACGGCTCTTTCGGTACCAACTAATGAAATTTCATATAAGCTACCAAACCGGGTAAATTAAACGTTGAATCAGGTTCTGACTTTCTTCTATCATACACTTTGGTTTTATTTTTTGGAATGTAATTTTCTATTTTTTTGTAGTAAACCTACATAGTTTTTAAATTTAAACAATATCACCGATTTCAATATCACGAAGGGAAAAAAATTAAATCATACATGGCGAATGGTTTAATTAGCGTGTTTAATGTTATGAAGTGTCTGCTTCATGGAGAATATTTTTAGGCCTTTTTTTCTAGCCTTCATGCATAATGTTGTTATAAAAATGGCTTCCAAAATGTTTTCTAGAGTCACACACGATAAGCTGCAAATAGGAAAAATGTCTGCTGTTTGACAAAGATAAATTAAACACAATAATACTGGGAACATTAATAAAATAGTAGGAAAAAATTGAGAGTCTTTGACCGTTTATTTTAATCTTTAATAACTGTATTCAACAAAGTAAAACCTAATTTTAATGGGCGATGTAAAAATGGAAATTGTTGAAAAAAAGCATGTATTTTCTTTAAACAGTCTTTAGTATAAGACATACCAACGACAATTCTACTATATTTTCTAATAAAACAAAGGGGAGGAAAGACATTGATAACTCAACTTACATTATTGCTTTATATAGAAATAAGCAAGCCAGGGAGGCCGACAAATACAATATAAATACACTTTGCTTTTGTGTGTGTAAATGTAAAGTTTTGTGACTCGCCTCGGTTCTTCCGTTGCATCTTTATCTGTTTTCTAGTTTTTAATTTTGGCTTTTTTAGTCATATTAATGTCGACTTTGCTTGTTTTCTATGGTTTGTGATTTTTGACTCTTTTTTTGTGGATTTGGACTATTCATAATTCGTTCGAATTTGTCTTGATCATTTCCATTTCTGTTTCTTTTATTTGCCAATGCGCCAGCTTTCTAACGTTTTTCAGTCGTAGTTAATCTGTTGGCTCTTCAGTTTTTTGTTTGTTTGTGTCTGGTGTTATATCAATTTGCCATACGGTTTTCTTTTCTTGATTGGACTCTAGGTACATAGTCTGTGTTCTGTGTTCTTGTTTATTGCTTATAAACTTATAAACAACTGATTGCTTTGGTATGCTCCTAGCTGTATTAAATTTGTTTATCAAGTTCTTGTTCTGTTAAATATAGCATTTAACATCTAATGCGTTTAATTAGCCGATATATTTTATAAACTGGTGAACGATTTTCAAACCCTTTGCGGATAGCAAATTCAGAAAAATTAAATTATAACTTACAATGATATTTTTCGCAACATTTTAGTACTTTATTCAAACAAGTAAAAGATTTTTTTGAAAATAGTTGCAAAAAAATCAAACTATACTAACAAATTGGGATGAAACGACTCTGAACCAATAATATTTTCAAATGATGTGGATGGACATTTACGTTTTCTTATTTAGAAATGATATTTGTTGGCAATTATGGTTTGTTATATTCCAAAATAATTAACTTAAAATGAGAAACTGTAATTTAGTATTTCAAAATCAATTGTTGGCATGTTATCTAGTAATTTATTCCAAAGTAGGCAGTTGAAATAAACTAACAAAGTGTAAATGTAGATATACAGGATGTTTAACTTGCACTCTATGTGGCATTAGCAATTGCTGTCTTACTGAAGAGTTTCAAGACTGTGTAAAATGCATTTTTATGATGCAAATCCTAAGATTTGAAAGCGTAGAAACTAAAAAAGTATGCTTCTATGCTGCGTATGCTTTTAATAAAAAAAAAGTACCTTGATTTTTTATTTATACATGAGCGACTTTAAAATAATGCTCAGCATCAAGCCAGATTTTTATTAATATTTGAGACTTGCAAACGGTACACTTATGTCTGATATAGAGCTGGTTCTGCATGCATTGAATAGTACGGATAAATGAAGATATCCATATGGTACAAAGAAAGCATTCGTTGAGTCATTAGGACTTATTTAAGCATGTTGTACATTTACTAATAGCAAATATATTTAGCATTTAGAGCTGGCCTATATCCAGTGTAAACACTTTTATGTATTTTTTATGCTAACCAAAAAATGTTTTTCAAATAAGTCATTTAATTGGCATTATATCTTATGATATTTAAAATAGACTGGATAGTATTGAGTGTTTATTCTAGCACACTGAAACCAACACAAAAATACAACTGTACTTATATTGAAGATACTTTATAGAACTTCAACAGAACCGATTCATTTCCGGATCGGTCTTAAAATCTGTATTAAACCCGTAATCAACTTGGAATCAAATATCACTCAATGAATCGTCACCTGTTTTATATACAATGGCACTCAAGTATCCAAATATACTAATGTATTTTTATAGTTAAAAAATAACTGATGGATTATTTCACTGGCTTGGTTGTTGATGTTGGGTTTCAAAATGCAAAAATAATAAAACTTTACATCTTGATCAATTGATAAAACAATTTTATCAATTTTCAGATGCCAAAGTAAATAATGACGTAGAGTTAGGAGCATTACCTGAAGGCTGGGAGCAAGCTCAAACTCCGGAAGGGGAAATATATTTTATAAATCATCAGACACGCACAACCTCTTGGTTTGATCCCAGAATCCGTAAGTTGAGCTTATCGAATTTGCATCAAGCAGAATGCTTCCTTCCTTATATAGGCCACTATTGAAATATTCATTGCGAAAATGCCCAACAAATTAATTTGCTATCTCTGGGAAATAATAAAATCGCAAATGTGGTTGCGGAAGGAGAATTTCTTAATTAAGTACATGTTTAGTTTTCCTGTTACCCAATCATAACCTAATCATTTGCATAACTACTTAGGTAGTGAATAATTCTATACCACTCATTTTTATAATTGCTAGACGTGAACTACAGACAAAGTTTCGTTTTACATTATCTGAAGCCTTGATATAGCGAAACCGAGACAGTATAGCTTTCCCATAATGTGAACAATATCAAAAGCAATCAACATTCAAATCATGTACCATTAGAATTATTATAATCCTGATATTATCTCCAGTTTTTCTCTCAGGAATAACCAGGTAATATTAGATACTTTTCAAAAACATTTTGTTTCACTGATATCGGTAATAAGCGCATATTAAATCAATCATTATTTAAAAGCAAAGCAATTTGTGGATAAACGAATTTTTTTTCCAGCTCAACATCTACAGCAAAGGTCACCTGGTAGCACTTTGGTGCAACCCCCATGGCACGCCTCCATTTCCTCTTCTCCACAGAAAGCCCAACAGATTAGACTTCAGCAACTACAATTGGAGAGGGAAAGGCTAAAACAGAGACAGCAAGAGATTAGGCGACAACAAGAGATAATGATGAGACCTTCTTCCACAGATTTACCAGTTATGGATCCGTTTTTGTCGGGTTTGACTGATCACTCTCGTCAGGAATCAGGAGATAGTGGGCTTGGTACGTTACCTAAGATTATTAGCTTTATTCTCGCTAGCGATTCAGGATCGGTTCAGAACCGAATTAAGGCGCAGGCTCGATTCAAGGCCTGCTCAGAGCCGATCCTTGATTCCTTCGTTCCGCGAACGCTTTTAGAACCACCTTTTAGTAGTGCTTTTAGTAGTGTAAAACTCAATAATTCTTAAACTTAATAGTGATTTACAAATTATTATACAATTAAAAACATGTTTTTCTTAACTTTTCTCTGGCATTCACTTTTCAAATTCTGAAAATCAATCGATCGAAGTAAATCACCTTCAATGCTTCAATGCTGCAAAGACGACAGCGTTTCAACTTCGTCAACTGAATCGTTACCGCGAATAAAGCTATTATTTCAAGCATTTCAGTAGGTTCTTTGGGATGAGTTTTCCATTTGCTTTCAACGAAGCACATTTGAGCGATAGTTGTGTAAATTTGAAATGTGTATTGCTAGTAATATCTAAATAAAATTTTTGTTAGCATGGAAATATTAACAGATTGAATTGACATTGTAAAATATTTTTTATTTTAATTCTTAGAAAGTTGTATAGTATATATCGCAAAAATGACGGTGCACGTAACACTAAGTAATAGTTTTCGCTTTGTTACAACAGCTTGATTTCTCAAAATTAAATTAAAACATCCAGTAAGGAAGTAAGCGGGAAATTGGAAAAAAAATGATCATGTACAGGGCGATTCTAAGTGGTGTGTTTTATGAAATATCTTCTACTTCCCGACTAGTTAGCCCAAAATCAGATGAGGAATATCAATGTTTCAAAAGTATAAATAACAGGTTTCAGGTTTTCTTTGACTATTTTTCCCGAAACTAAATTTGTGGAAAAATATGGCTGAACTGTTTATTTTCGGAAATAAAACTTAATTTATTTTTATGTTTGTATTTACTATTTCTATGTCTTTCAAAAAGCTGTTCCGACAAGATGACATTAGAAAATTCAACACCGAATGATGATTGAAAATTTTATCGTAACACTCTAAAATTTCAAAATCGTAAAAGGGAGCAGAGCCCAGATTAGAAAAATGTAAGTACGCTGAGAAGTCGCTCTATCCAATCTATCACCGGTAAAGATTAAAGTTTTTATGAAGAATTATACCTGAAATGGGGATGCGGATGGATAGCTGTTGAATCAGTAAAATGTTGTGAAGGCAAACATCCTAAAGAGTCCTAAACTCACACTATGAAGGCTTTCACGGTCGGCAAGAATATTGGTTGAAAAGTTTGGCATTGCAAAAGCATAAATTAAAGTTAACATGTCTATAACGGAAATCATAACAAATTTTGCATCGTTATTCAATACAAACATTTACTTAAAAAGCGAATGAAAGCAGCAAGAAATAATCGGTACTGTTAAACAGATCAAACATGTTATTTTGACTGAGCAACAAATACAGGACTTTGCGACTAATTACTGAGGAAAATACGTAGTCGGAAAATCGGTAGAACATAGTGAAATGGGCGAAAGTGATCGAGATGGTGCTAAGTTGTTAAGACCCATCAAGAAGAAGAATTCGTTTTTTCCGCAAAATTCAGATTTCCGAAAACGCCACGACCATATTTCATATCATATTAGAATTCGAAACTTGTTTCCTTGCAATTGACATTTTATAACTACCTAGTAAAAATTTGAAAAAGATATACCAAAATTTCACATATCTTAATTTGATTATAAAATTATCAATTTGAAAAGCTGTTTGTTGTTGACAAACGCCTACTTCATTCAACAAAGAAATTGGAATTTTTCATTTCATATTTCGACGATTTTATACGAGTATATACAGGGCGATTGAGGTGGAAGTGAAAATATTTTAAAAATATATCTTGAAAGCCACAACAAGCAAAATGAACTTTTGTCCAAGTTAGATTTTTATTTGTTTTAATAAAACTTTGACTAATTGTAATTTAAAAACTGCCAAAAAATGTACACAACACTAAGTAGTGATAAACAAGTAGAATTAATTCATTATTTGGGGATTTATAAATTGATCTAGCAGCTGACTTTAGCCAACTATTATTCGCTCTAATGAACGCTTCAGCCTTTATAATGTGAATCGCATTTCTTGTGTCCATTTTCGTAGCATAAACGAATCCGGCGATCGCCGAAATATGTATTGAGAGAATTTCTAACATTCATTGAAAAATAAGCATCCATGGGATCCATAAGGACCATCATGTTGGAAGGTAATACGTGCTCGAATATCTAAAGGGACTTTATTCAAAATTGCCTGTCAATGATCTTCTAAAAAATCTCTATTACATATGCGGCATCATCCGTTAACTCTATCTCGAGTAAACTGAGCATCGTTGAACTTGTTGCACCTGAAAGTCTTACAAACCTTGTCGTAGTGTTCACCAAATCAGTATTTGCGGAATTTAAACGCTATTGCAATGAGACTTGTACTTATAGCTAGATTGTAGATCTATAATATCTTCTTTACGTTCCAAGCCGAGGATGTGCTGTCTTTCCGAAAAATGCTTCCCAGTTTCGCATGTTTTTTTTTTGAAAACTTTTCAATGTTAACTTGATTAGCGTTTTATTTCCTTATTCGTTTGGTAATGATTTTTTCGGTTTAATTTTTAAGTCCTTGAGTAACAATTAATCGAAGTCTGAAACAAATAAAAATATGTCTTGAACATGTGAGCTGATTTTGATTAATTTGATTTCCCATAATATTTCCATTTGAATCACTCTGTATTTAAAGCTTTTATTTTCACAAACCAGAAATTACTTTGAAGCACACGTTTTTCAAACATTCTAGAAGAACATTATACATGATTTAAATGTATCTATCTAAAGTTAAAAATACAGGATGTTCTATTTCAACAATTTATCTTCAACCGATGACGTTCGTGGTAATAAATTCTCGTGGTTCCGTTCCAAAATAAAACTGACTGCAAAAAACTATACATTTCCAAAATGACTTGTCACCGCACAAATCAACTTGGGGGGTATAAAGTGTATACTAATTTTAGGCTAACTAGTCGGAAAGAACGTTAAATTCGTTCAATAAAGCTTCGTCTCGAGGATTCAGTTTACAGTTTAAAAAAATAAGATATTTTGCAAAAACATATCTACAATTTTATAGCAAATCAATAATAATTGTTGCAGGCATGGGTACCAGTTATTCCATGCCACATACTCCAGAGGACTACCTATCAAATATGGAAGACAACATAGATGTGGGAAGTGATAGTCATCCCCTAACTCCAGACATGTCCATAAGTGACAATATTGATTCCACTGATTTGGTGCCGACATTATCCCTTGACGAATTCCCAATATTGGACGATGTCCAATCATTGATTAATCCTGCGACTACCAAACCGGATAATAGTTTGATTTGGTTGTAAGTTTAAAGAAACGTTTTTGTAGTTTATCTCATGCAGTGATCATCTAATTACGTTAGGTTGCAGAAAAAATCTGAAATTGAGCTAAATACTTAAACACATTCATTATATGGTAGTCTGCATTTATGGGTATCAACGAAAAATTCTTGTACTTAGATCTATCTAATTGCCTTGCTTTGATGTGGTTAGTATTCATATCAATTTTCAAAAGTCTGCAATTTCAACCACCGCTGACAATCTGCTTGATTTACAACGCACAATTTCTTGTTGATATTAGGATTACAATGTCGTGGACAAAATTTGCTAAGCATTGGGAATTATGGGATTATTGCTAATTAAGCTAATTTGGGTTGTATTATCCTGAGTTGATCAATCTAGTGTTGGTGGTATGTAGCTGCAGTAATATTACTGCAGCTACACACCAGCAACAGCTGCAGGTATTGTTATAGCAAACTTTTTGTATGATCTTTAACTATAAGAAAATAATTGTGATGAAGCTGACCAATAACGCAAAAGGCAAGGAATTGTGCATTGTACAACTCGCACTAAAGCATAGTAACTAACCAGTGCATAGGACACTGTTGGCATTCGAATGTTCCAGAATTCGAACATTGTTAATTGATTAAGTATGTTTTAATAGTCGCTATATGTTGTTGTTAAGGTTTCCTAAAATATGTGGAATATTTTGATACAACGGTTCTTTCCTTAGAGGATTGCGTGCACTAATTAATTCATATTACTTGTGCCTTAATCACCCCATTATGCATATCAAACACCGACTTATTAAGCTCAGATGCACGACAAATTATTCTGTCCCAACCAATCGCTTAGTATTCTTATTTCATTTATATTAAGAAGAAGAAACATGTAATTTTGCTTTGTTTTTGTTAAGCATTTGGAAATGACTGAAATAGTATAAAATTTAGAATGCCTTAATCGATGCTAAACAATTGTAAAACTTAAATTAGTAGCTCTATGATTGGGGCCGTATACACGAATGCAAACAAAATTTCTTGCACTGTATCGTGTATTGATGTTATTAGAAATTTCGAAAAGAACTATTTTCCATAATAATATTGTTTTTAGAATTCTTCGATTCATAACAATTACGGTAATATATGCATACGCATACTTAATACTACGGTATATACGTATTGGTCTGTTTAATTTTTAATGCAATTAAGAGCATGTTTCATTTTGACTCAAATTTATTCTACAGGTAATTTTTGATTGGGAAAATTAATTGTTGACATTTTGTGATTGATATTTGTTAGGCATGACGGTATTTGTTACGGCATTTGTGCAATTGGTTAACTTCGTTGAACAAGCTGCGCAATTTTTACATCTCTATTTTACTTGGGATTTATCGCAATTTGTTTATACTTAAAAGATACTTATTACTTGATTGTTTTATTATTATCGGACTAGAATTAATTGGTGATAATAATATTATGACAATTGAATACATTTTTTTTTATCAAAATACCCAATGAAAAGATATTGTATTGCACAGACTACCCTTGAAAGCAAGTTGTCTTGATGCGATAATCTTAAAGCTGTTTCTGTTAACCAAGAGTTAACTAGATAACATGATGCTCATTAAACAAATCCATCCATTATGGTGCCTTAGTGTAATAATTATACTTGTACATAAATAAATATAGAAAAACCTATTTACGTATATTGTTTTGTAATCGTATTTATATCTACAATTATATTTTACAATACTATTTTATTAGAGTGCCTTTCACAAAAATTTTTTATATAATGTTACGGATATACACCCTCCTGAAGTAATATTCAATATTGATTTAGATGAAGTAGATATTCATAAGGAGAAACATTACTGTCAGAAGCTTATTCATCATTTTAGGAATGTGCTTAAAAAAAATTTTGAGATAATGCATGTTAATTTTTCATAATTTATTATATGAATTTGTCATCACAATCATTAAGTTGGGTTATTATATTTAATTATAAGGGATACTTTTTCGTTACTCCATTTTGCATCGTTTATTAATGATATTAAGACGACTATTGTAAAATTTAATCAAATAGTAACTCATATTACTCCGTTAGAATTTTTTGCACCGCAATGAAATCGAATTCATGTACGGCAATATTGTTACACGAATACATAACCATCATTATTACATATACAATAATCCTTTAACTCATTTGCAGCTGATTTTCACTTGAGAAATTAACATATTGTTGTTTTTCGTTCGTTCTGGCTCTGATTTTAAGGATTTGATCTTCGCTGCAAATTCGAGATCTTTATAATCTTCGATAGGCACGCCTAGAATTTGAAATTTTACTGGTCTACAGAGAATATTGCTATCGTTTAACAGAAGATTGTTGAAAACTTCAGCTTACGTCGAAAATTGTTTATTGTTTAAAAGAGATCAAAAATTTATTTAGCGGTGATTGTCGATTTAACTTAACGACCAACTGTCGTACAAATTGTATTGGAATTTGAGACAGATTTCAGGACTGGAGTGATTTCTATCAAGAAAAGCAATAGTTTTTAAATACTCATTTAGAATTATATGATGTACTGTAAACTTATATAGGCACAAGGATATACGGCTGGTATCTTATAAATTGCTTTCATATTTAAATAAAATTTAAAAATTGTATTGACCTTCATTCAATTTGTAGTCAGTTAATTGTAATATTCCTTCCTTGTGCGTTATAAGTTTTTACAACACTGAAAATTAGACTCTTGTCTTTGACCATATTCAAACTATTCGCTGTGATATATAAATTCAATTTAATAAAAGCTTTTAATTATCAAATGTCAATTTATATTTACAGATTATAGTTTTCGTAATGTTGCTTAAACCGATCAGTCTCGTCCCCTGAGCTTTTTTAATTCAATTTGGAGTTTAATTTTCAATAGAATTATAGTTTACTTTAGTTAAGTATTAATGTTTATTTACTTTTTTATTTTTTTTGTAATATAGTTTTTCAGTATGTCACGCAGAAACATTTGGAGAAAGTCCAGGGTAACATTTTCTGCACTAACTTTTGCGCCTGTTTTTTAAATTAATATTATTTACAGTAAGTGAAAATACCCTGTCAACATTGTTTTCGCGAAATATTTGAACATTCAATAGTAAAATAAATTTGCTCATTAGAAGTAGACAGTAAAACATTGTCTGGGCATTACTAAATTATTAAATTTAAGATTCTGTTCAATCGTCGATTCTAGTTAGTAGTATCTTTCTATATCCTTAATTTTATCGTATTATTTTATATAGTACTAACGTTGATCCCTCTAAAATTAAATAAATTGTTAATTTTTCGTAATATTTAATTTTCAATATAGCTTCTCGGTTTGTACAAGACATGTCTGTATTGTAAATAAACATGTGAACGTATATTGAGTGTTTTATTTGGTAGTACCTTTAGAATATTGCTTAATTAAAATGACTAATTTTAGTCAGTGGTTGAACTCAAATTGCTCACCATTTTTTTTTTCATGTTATAACTGCAATGTGATATGGTTGAAAACGATAGTTGAATGCAGAGAAAAAAATTAAAAAGCCAGCTCGGATTTATTCCTTGAGCGGCTTTTACATTGTGTTATGTAAGCGTCAACGTTCCCCGTAATAAATTTCAATATTTTTAGTTTAGTTGTATTCACAACGACTTTAGTAGCTGTTTTATTTGAAAACATTGAATATATCTGAGTTGTTCCTACTTTTTTCGTCTCAAGTATGACTAGGTATTAACATTATGCAAAAGTAGTGCCGTATCGAATAAAATATTCCAAGGTGTTAACGGTCATTTTCTATAGACCATTAAATAAATAAAGTAAATAAATACAATGTACCTATATTGCACACATATAGAGCTGATCTAAAAGTCAGCGAGTGATTAATGATCACATATGTTGATAATATAGTTTTCTTAGTATCAAACAAGGATTCAAATAATGCAACAGATTCCTCTAGTCTTTTATCAGATTTGGTCAGTCTTTGAATGGAAATTTGGATACAAATCGGATCGGAACGTTTCTGCCCCAAAAATAGAGAATGCAGTGAATGTTAAAAGAAAATAAGCGATGGAATAAATGTGTGCAGAAAGGTTTTTCATCAAAGAGAAAGCATTACGAACAATGCGCAGAAAATTATTACAAAAAGTAAATCAAGACGTACAGTGCAAATAAATTATTTGCATAAAAAGTAGTTTGAAGAAGGAAGAATAATAGTAATAATAATGCTAATGAGAATTAAATTTGCCCTGAATAATGTGCCGCATTTTATGGCATACATTTTCACGGTACAAAAAATACGAAGAGGCCACTATTCCTGTGGTACCTATGTATGAGTAAGATAAAAAATTTGTGTGAATTTACTACTGGTATACATTCCCTGAATTAATAATAGAATAAATATTGTTAAATTATCTTAGTTTTTGTTTTTATTTTCCCAGTGGCTTTCGATAAGTGGGTGACTGTTTAAACTACTGTATCCTTTTGATTATTGAAATGCAAACAATTGTGCAGAAAGTTGCGAATATTGGTGATTATCATAGCGACCCGGCCTATGTATCTAGAAATACGGGAGTGTTATTAGGATATCAAAAAGTTGGGCTTTCGCGGCTATTTATTGGCCTTCTAGGCCACGTCGTGGAGAAGGATTTCCTTCTGTTTGCTCAGGCTTGCATGGTCAGATGTGTTTGACTTATGAGCTTACATTGTGACTAATGATTAGAGATATCCGCTCAACCATTCGTACTTGCGAATCATCGAGAAAAATTTAGTTTCCGCAACAGGCCAGGAGCTTGAGGGATTGAATCAATCAATCCGGTTTTCTTCGTTTGGAAAAAATTCTTGAAGGATTTAAGGAAATCACGACCATAAATCTTTATTTGCTTAACAGGATCTACATATTCTAGTTTGCGTACTTGATTTGTGTTCATCATCTTCAAATTATTTTTTGTTATCCTCAAAACTTCAAGGAATTCGACCTATCATCTTAAAAGCGCCGAGCTTTTAGTTGCGCTTTTATTGAGTGTTCATGATGATCCCTAGATAGTTGTCGCAATTGACTCTTTCGATTTGTGACTCCTTAATTTGCTCTTTGATGGTTACCATACATTTGGTTTTCTTTACCCTTTGTAAACTTGCAAGTCTACGAAATTTTGAGCCCTGTGAATGGTGTCATCGGCGTCTCTGTTGTTATTCAATTTTATCAGAACTTTCTCGCCGGGTGTCGATCGCCTTTATAAAGCCGAATTGGTTTGAGAATATTCGGCTTTTATATATGTGACTGAGAAATTCTTCATCCGGGGCCTTTTCCGACGACGTACATTTTGATAAAAATTTCCGTTATGAGCTTGATTGTTCTTTCCTTAAATAGTTGATTCTAACATGCTTCACGGGGCTGCAGTTCTAGAATTTTCTCCATGTCAAAGTGTTTTTTCATCTGGCCTAGATATTCTTCACGGCTTCTCATTTTTGTTTGTTTGACGGCGATAATTCGGAGTTCCGAGACTGAGATTTCCTAATTATTTGTTTTCAATGGAAGTTCTAGTTGTTATATTTTTCTATAATGTTTTGACTGGCTCGCGCTTTTTCTACCGACCCCATTCACATTTGTTTGTTACAGGTACCAATAGTCTCCATCGTACTTTTGTGGACTATTTTTCTGCTTTTTGCTCCCTTCCATCAATTCGATTATATCGTTGGTCACCCATGTCTTTGGGATTTGTTTGCTCTTAAATAATTAATTATTTTCTGTAATTTTATTTGAAATGTTTATGTATTTTGTTTTGCTGTGTTCCAGTTATTTCTCAATATTCTTGATATTCTTGAATTGTATTTTATTGGCGGAATGGTGCGATTCTACAAGAACCATCTACAAGTTGAAATTTATTGAGCAGGCATTGAGTATTGCTATCATCTATTGACTAGGATAGTCAATGTTGATTTTCAGTTAATTATCTGTTTTTGTATACCTTGCACATTTTTGTCTGCATTCCGCAATTCGACAGTGTTAATAGCCCGTTTTTAAGCTCGAAGCAAAAGAGCGCGCTGCTTTTGTGGGCTCATCCGCCCGAAGTTTGATTCATCAAGAGTGAATCGTTCTTCAATGGTGGTCATGAAAAAACATTCGTCTCTTCATTCACTTTTAGTTAACGATTGATCAAGAAAGTCCGTATTATTTTGATTTGAAAGAAGATGTCGCAGCATAGTTCGTATATGCGTCATTATCATAGCTTTTCAAACAAACGGATTTATGGAAACTAAACCAAATTTCTTCGGAAACTTCGCGGGTATTTAGAATAACGATATCGGCCTAGCAAGTAAATATTTACATGCTTACTTTTATACAAGGCGATGAATATCCGAAGCGCTCTTTCTTGCGTGCTGATTTTTGCTCAATGTAGGAGAGAAATATGGACTGTTATCTTTCCATGCGCTGATAAAGCATAATTTCACATTTCAATAAAAAGCATACCTACAAATTTTGGTTCAGCTCTCCGAAAAGTTCTAGCTGAAAAAGTTGCTTTTATATACAGTTTTAGGAAAAACAAAGCAGGGCAAGATATGTCTTGATCAATATTATTCAAAAATTTTAAGTTGCATTTTATAATTTTTTGCTTGATATATTTGAATACTCCAAATAGTTGGTGGTATCCAATTTTCAAATTCTACTCTCCAAAAGTCATTCAATATTATCCATGCGATAAATTATCTATGAAAATGGAAGGAAATTTAACAATAAACGTTCGCAATGTGATAAAAATATCCGTATTTTGCCCCGTGATTTTTTCTGTGAAAGAAAAATTGTGAATTAGATTGCTAAATGTATATTAATTAAAAACACTCTCTTAATCTGGGAATCAAAGGCGATTGATGTCTGATTTAAGTTAGTATTTTTTGTAAATACAATCTCAGACGAAAGTACCTGATATTCGCAGACATAATTTTGCTGTTTTCAAGAAAGTCCGAAGGAAGGTGATACTTCCTTACGTCTTACTTAATATGAGACTGACTTGGCTTTTTGAACAAAGCTTTGCAAAAAAGTAATAATTTTTTGCATGCATTGCAAGCAGTCAGACAATTCAGCTTAATTATTAAGTATAAAAAACACCCTGTATCGAAAATTACAGAAAAATGTTAGTGACATTTTAAAAGTGCAGAATAAACTAGGCAGAAGACATTTTCGAATTGTGCGAGTTATGTTTCTAATATTATTGTATTTTAATTCAGAGAAATTGATTTACAAATTAATGTAAAATTTACAACTTAAGGCACAACCAATTAATAATTAATTGAAATCTGAATTTAACGTATCTGAATATGTTATTTAAAAAAATGTAAGTGGGTTATTTGCGAGTAATATTCTTTTTGTCTACATGTGTCGCTCAAAATTATCCTCAAAAAAATCTGTTTTTATTAATGCATTTTTTAGTAAAAATACCTTTTGATCAAATCGTAAGCGGCGTTTGTTTGTTAACAGTTTTTTAAGTAAATTTCTGTTAAAACTTTGAAACGTAAATTTTTGATACATCTTACAAAAAAATGATATTAAATTAATTGGAAATTGTCTTTACAATTACACTCTTCTTCGCTCAGATGTCATTTTATGGATGTGGAGGAAAGGATGTTATTTCGCCATTCAAAAATTAAGTATTAATTCAGCATGTTTCTATGCATTTCATTTGTATCCCGTTTGTTTTAATTATAATTTACCATCAAATTCATTATAATCGTCCATGTTGTTAAATGTTATAATATTTTGCAAACGCTTTAAATTTATTTCCCGATTCAACACATCGTACAGAATCCTCCAAGGTAATAAATTCTGATAGGCTAGAGAGGAACGTAATTTGACGAGTGAATATTTCGGTAGAATTCGCACACTGAATTGTCTGACTGGCCTACATATACCTTACTCATGGATTCCCCAGGGTTGATGTTCTACAAAGTAATTTGAATATGCTTGAATCCATTGACCTGTAAAACTTTATGGCATTTGTGTTACGCGGACTCTTTGCTTACGAAAAATGACCTCGGGTCAAAAATCTGTTCCTTATCAAGTCAAATGTGTAATGGTAAGTCGTGATACCAACAAATGCTAGTAAAACAATTTCTAAACCCGGAAGCAAATGCTCGCAAATTATCAAAACTCAAAAGTAACGTAATAGTAGCGTGCTCGGGATATTCTTTGCGCGTATAATCAGGTCTCCATCAGCAACCTTTTATACAACATTTTTCCGTTTTACAACGTCGTATGGAAGAGATGCACAAATAGCGAAATATTTAATATAGACATTAAAACAAGCACCATAAATTTCATACATTTCAGACACAAATCGGCGATAAATTGTTTTGCACTACATAGTAAATATTTTTCGCTCGTTTTCCATTTGGACGTAAGAATGTCGACTGAGTTTCCAGCTTCCGGCTGATTGCAAAAATTTATTTATTTTACTAAACCTACTGGTGTTTGGGTTATAGATTGAAACTTATAACCCAAATCCTTGGGTAGCTTTTAAGAATTCCTCTTCTGGTAATCGGATTAAAACGATACACTCCAGTCTTGACCCATCAAAAATATTTTCTATTTTACTGAAAGTATTGCTTCTTCAAAGTTATTACTTGAATAATTATTCTCTGCTAGTCCTTCTTCGGTGTGTATTTTCCTCTTCAACTAGAACTTAACAACACAGTATCCGTCCCTGTAAGTTTAGTATATTGCCAAATATCATCAACATGTGGCAATTTTTTCCAGAAGGATGATTCCGGGAGAAATCCTTGTTTCAAGTGAGGGATATTTTTGAAGTCACAACACGATTAACAATGGAAAACTTTCAGATGCACGGGCGAACCTCCTGTGTATTCAATGTAGTTCTTTGACTCACCTTACACTTTGACTTGCACCTTGTTGAGCGTATTCACTAACTCTTTATCCAAACATTTACATTTTTCAAGCATTTTGAACCCACGTCTTGTTTCCATCGAGTTAATAAATTTAATCACCTTCTACAAACCCTCAAGTGGCGATGAAATTGAGGCGATTTTCTTTTGCACGCAACGGGCTGGGTTTTATGTCTAATGCGAAATCCGCAAGTTCTTTTTCTTGCTTTATGCACAGAACCTAAAGCTCTCAGTGTGTGGAGTTGTTGCTTAATTCTTTCAATGTCGTTTTTTCTCTAATTGTAAATATTCGTAACTGAACGTAAGAAAATACATTTTCGCAATATAATTGAAATACCTATTTAGGAAAAAATATTGAGGAATAAAAATTTTAAATCTACAGTTCACTCAGCACAATACTTTATCACTTACTCTTTGATTTTTTTTCTCACTGATACATTAACTGTCTGTCTACTTGAACTTCTTTAATGGTATAAATATACTTCATTCTCACCTTCCATCTCTTGATAGCTAATTATTGAGCCTATCTGAGTGGTCTTTGCTTCTAGGTGTTTCTGGTTTATTTATTCGTGAATAACTTAGCAATTTTAACTTTAAACGTGCTAAAACAAGTAAGTTTATTAGCATCGGTTTAAAGTTCAAGCGGAAGACAGAAATCGTCGCCAGATTTGATACATTTGTTCCATTGGATAAGCTTAAGATCCATTTCAGATTAAATTTTACGCAAAGGAAAGGGAACGACAAAATTTGATAACGTTATTTTGTCTGAACCTCATTACTATGAATGCGAACGAAGTGTATTTACCGAGATAATTTTTAACAGGGTTGAATTTAAGTGTTTGCAATTTTGCAATAGAACATGAAGACAATTCCAATTAAGCAGATTTAATCAGAGCTTTTTGATACAGGTCTTGTATCTTGTACCATTCGCCAATACGGATATTTTGCATGAGGTCGCTACTGACATATTTTTATTGGTACATCAATGACGCGAATTGGGAATTAAAATTGTAGACATTTAATTCATCATTGAAAAATGGTGCGTCCGCGATTGTTATGTCTTCTGTTTGCAGGGATCTTCAATTAATTCCATCCGGGATGGGAGGCAATAAATGATCATCTATCAGCTGTAGAATATTTAGTTACACGTTCAATTATTTCCTAAAATGCTGATAGTTTCTGGAATTGGAGTTCAGACTGTAAAAATTAGCCACAGAAGCTTACATTAAAAAAGTGTGACTTAACTTAAATGTATTTGAATAGGGCCTAGGTGATTCCGGGTCTATTTTCTCTCACCAACTACTGTTTTGAAACTGAGCCTATTCAGATCTGATAATATCGAATGCTAACTACCGCGAAATCGTCCGCATACATATTAAATAAAATATGTATCCGCGCTTCTATAATGTATTTATTTATAATATGTGAGCCCCTACACAGTTTTAATTTAGAGCTATTCACTGGCTTATACGAAACCCTTTGATGTGATTCACGCGGAAAAAATCAAGGGATTGATGTTCAGATTTCAGTTTCTCTCACAAAGCCGATTAATCTTACCAATGTCCAAAAACGCTTCACAGAATAGCGGTTTTCTGAGCTATTTTTATTTTAATCTCTTTATGGAGGTGTCAAGGGAGTGCCCAAATTTCTACGGATCCCACAAATACTATTATGCGAATTTTAGTCCAAGCAATATGTTTAATGTAGCGTTGAATTGTGAAGGTTTTTTTCGGTATAGGTTCAATGGGACGAATTTATCTACGGCTACGCATGACTTGCTATCTATAATTTCTTTTATATATGTATATTTATATTCAAAAATAAAATAGTTGAATCTTCGCAATAAACATCAGTGGAGGTCCGAAGTTACTGTAAAAAAAATTGTCTCTATTATACGACATTCATCAACAATTTCCTTCACTCTGCTTTAGATATATTTTCCTATTAGACATTTATATTTACGGTATTAAGCCCACTCGTCATTTCCACTCGTTCGATGGAATATTGACACAATTTGGAAATCTTTTAAGTATTAAGATTTTTTGAAAACTTAAAACTTATATTTCTAGGAAAGGTACAAATTGCAAAGCGTACCAACAAGCAAAAATAAAGCAATTTCAAAGCCGGAATAACGTCTAACAAAGTAATAATAACATTAACAATTATGGGTTAGTTTCTGTGCTTTTGCTGCAATGGAAGACTGCACCAACATGTTAACGGAATGACATAACGTTGAAAAAAATCTATTAAATTAGCTTTTGCGAGCTGGATATATTTAATTTCTAAAACTTGCACACTTACTGAAATAGCCAAGTATTCGCCAACATGAATATACAGGTTTTAATAGACATACTTTAGCAACAGATTTTGCGACCAAAATGGGCAAAAATTTTATGTTGAACATGCGCTAACAGCCGATGGCTTCGTAGTTAGATAGGATTTTAGCTAGACGATAATTCAACTTTTTTAAAAACCATTTTTTAAATGAAAGTTGTTTTTATCTCTTAAAATCGAATTTATTTTTTATTTACCAAAAAAATTCTTTAAAGTGAGGCTTTCGAACGGCAGACTTTTCTTCATTGACCTTAAGTTTTCACTCATAGATGGTTTAAGTAATTTGGTTTTATTCTATTACTTGAAAGCAGGAAATTGTTTGGCAAACATAAAATTTTTGAAATTTTACAAAATTGCAACATTTTTTTAACAATATGAATGGTATATCAATGGTTGTGTGCGATTTCCGGTGTTAGTTTAATTCTACTGCATGCTATGTTTATTCTACTACACTGCACACCGATATTATGGCCATATAATTACGAATTTCAAAGATAATGAGTGTCTTGCCATGGGGATGCATTTACTCTAATGAATCTACTTAGACAGTACATTCACACATAATTTGAGGTAGGCTCTCTAAATATACCCATGTAATCTGTTTTTGTTTTGTTTTCATTTTGATTTATTTTTTGACTGAGTTAAGCTGAATGTAAGAATTTACATTTTGACTGTAATTTGTGACTGTGGTCCGTTTCTTTGCCGTTGTATGGTTACATTTATACTGGATATTCGCTGTATTGGCAATTCCGCCTTCGCGTACTATATTGTGGTTTATTATTTTAGTCTTGAAGAAGACCCCAATAAATGTCGAAACGTCGGGAGATAATTGTAAAGTGACGTTTTCCTCATTGTCCCACACCTGCTACATTCACTTTAATTTTCCAATTGAGACGCAAAAAAAGCGAAACGAAATTGTTTATAAATAGAAATAATTCAGACCCATAAACTGAAACTGAGTTTACTTGTGCGATTACATATCGACTTTACGACTACGTCTAAAGAAGTTGACAAAATCAAAACGAGCAAAACTAATTTTAAAATTATGTAAACTAAAGAATAATCCCAACTAATTCCAGGAGGGAGGAGGAAAAACTCCAGATGGATGGAGGAGTGGAGAAGATATAAAAACACCAATGAAGAAAGATATCAGCATATCCATAGCTGGATTAGGAGCAAGATAACAGGCGAAAGAGGCTTGGTTGGAGGAAACGTGTACTGAAATATGACCCACTCGAAAATCAACATAACTCGCTTAATATACACAGAAAAATTATAGAAGCGGCACGTATTTTTAGACCTAGAAACTCAGTGATCATCACAAAAGTGAAAGGCGAGAAGGACTATTTGAACTTCACGGAAGGGTAGGAAGGTGAAAGGAGTACATGCAGACATTATTTAATGCAACAATTAATTATTTATGAGAATTATGAGAACAATGGCATTCTGGAGAAGCCAAACATAGCGCCCGGGCCCCCATCACCGAAGAAGAAGTTTCAAACGCAATCAGGAAGTTTAAAAACAACAAAGCATCAGGGCCCGATGAAGATGAATTCCGGCCTTTACGTTCTCGTTGGGAGTTTCTCGTCTACCACTCAGGGATAGGTACAAATCAATTAAAAACACTTATGAATGGCTTCATGTATTAATATATTTTCCTGTAGTAAATTAAATTATCCTACGTGTGCTTTTCGGTTCAGAAATATGTCTGGAATCCGAAATCTTCGTGTGTTTTAACTTTCTCGGTTTCATGCATAATAATGAGAGCAGAAGCACTTCGTTGTTCCTATTTTCGCGTGAAAGCTGAGTTTCCATTGTTAAAACTTAAATAAATTCAACGTTGATGATGATTATGATAAGTATCTGAAATAAATATATACAATCAAAACAATGCATGTGCAGGTAAAAAATTTCGTTATCGTATACCTAAATATTTTTCAAATTGGCACGCCGTCGGACGAATGGAGAGATCATCCAACCGTCTCGTCGATCGTCTCATCCTATAAGCGGATATTTTATTCAGTTCAACTTCGAATACACGGTGTGTTAATTTGAAAACTTCGCATCCTTAATATCTTTCTTGCAGTTAAAAATATGAAAAATCGGAAAGACCCGTCAATTTTACTTGTAAGGAGAACACCTTAAATTAATATTTTTAGCCTCATTGTTTCAACCCCCTAGGAGAGGTAAATGACACCCTTGCAATCTTAAATGGAAAGGGGGTTCAATTCTCTTTCCATTAGTTACTACCTTGTTGCTTTTTGTCCAGAGGATTCCGAATAATCGCGTTTCAAAGATGTAGAAACAATTAAACTTGCCTGCATTCAGATCTTGGTTTTCGGTTAGTGTTTACACATCCTTTAAAACGATGTACCACTTGACCCTCCTTCTTATTTAAGATTCTGAGGTTGAGATCTACCCGTCCTAGGCGGTTGAAACAAAGAGGCTAAAAATATTCATTCAAAGTGTCCCCCATACAAATAAAATTGACGGGTCTTTCCGATTTTTCAAATTTTTAACTAAAAGAAAGATATTAAGGTTTGGAAGTTTTCAAATTGACACCCGGTTTATTTTGTCTTTCTACTCTCCAACATTAAATTTTGTCAACTGCTTATTTAATAGTTCCGTCGTTTAAGCAAAAGAAAATATAACTCTAGGTAATGAAATGTCTTCTTACACTAAACGAGTCTAACACTCTCAACACTGATTCATAGTAGTCCGTCCCTGTTTCGTGAAGACCATTTACTCAATAACAACCGTAACCTATTGAACTCTAGATAAGAATGTCATTTTGGGATCTCAAAATGACCCTAATCGTTCTCTTTCAGACAGAGACCTGGTCTATAATAAAATTAAATAATCACTAAGCTTTTAGTAGCCGTGCGGTTCCATTTTTAAAGACGATTCGTGCTTTAAATAGTGTCCATGCGTGAATTAAAATGAGAAAAGTGTCAATTTTGTGGCTCCTTAGTGAGCTTTTTGTTTGGGCCTTATCGCAACATATAAGTGAGTATTAATAAGGGCGATAGATTAGAATTTATCTACATTTCACTTTTTACTTTTTCACGAAAAAGCTTCCTTTACTGATAGCGATCTTAATTTTCATGATGGAGATAAAGTGAAACCATTTTTCTTGTCATATCATGTCATTATTTTTATCGAATTTAAATAGAATATTTTATTCGAATTGGTATGTACTTTATCTTTATTTAAGATATAAAATTGACGTCACTATGGGTTTATTGCGGATTTGCTGACGCTAATACTACATACAAATGATTGCAGAATAGTCGCATTCTACTTACAGGATGGAAGTGATGCAAATGTTAAATACACATTAATATTTTTGGACTCTGTAAAACACATCTTTGAACTTGAGTCCAAAGTTTTTAAAATTGTTTATACATGTTAAACGTGTTTAAAGCGTTTATGTTTGGAATTTATTTCATATAAACTTAAGGTCGCAAAATTTATTTTGTTTGCTTAAAACCAGTATCAATAGGATTATCTACAAAAGAAGGTCAAGGTCCAAGTTAGGAAAAATGATGACTTAGTGGATAGCAAAGTAGGCATCTCATTGACTCCAGAAGCAACCATGTTCTCAAATAAACAAGGCCTATTTAATGGGGTTTTAATTTTGTTGGAATTTTTGGACATCTACCGTATCGATTCCCTAATGCGATATGTCGTAACGCAATTTAATAAATTGCTACAGAGCACATAACAAACTGCTAATAAATCCTTGTTCGTGTTCTATATGTTTTAGTGTTTATCTATTGTTTTTGTTTGTTGTGTGTTAACAGCATATAGTAATGTACGATTTTTTGTCTTTGACGTTAAAAAAATAATTTTAATTTTTTTGTGCGTTGCCAGCTTTTAATTCAATTGTTAATGTGCTAATGTTCAGCGCAATTATTTAGTCGATTATTTACATTATTCCTACTTCTTCTAATTTTTTTCAGTTATCGCCTGTTTCTATTCATTTATGAGCTTTTTTGCTACTTATAATTGCGTTAATTCCAGTTGCAAAAAATCTTCCAACTTTCAAAAGCAGCAATAAAAGTTGTAAAAAAAGTTGAATTTTGAAGCGAAAAAAATTGTTGATTTTCCTATTTAGAGCCAGGTTATAGTGAGAAACACACTTTCAATATATTTTCACTCTTTGAATTTCAAATATTCAGTTGATTCATCAGAATACAAAACAACGAACATCGGGCTTCAGCCTGACTATAAGCCCAAAGGTAAATATTGTTAAAAGGAAATTTAATTAGAGATTCAGAATGTAATTGACAGGTTGTAACTTTCTTTACCCCATAGCCAAGTTTGCTCAATGCGATTGCTTATTTTTCAGCTCAACATACCTTAATTATAATTTATCATCCTTCATTTGGAATTTTGATCAGAATTTCGCGATGTTATATTCATATTGACGTAGTAAAGCGAATTAATTTAGAAGCAATGCAGTATGAACTAAGATACACCTGAATATTCTAGCATATTTGACATATATGTATTCCTGCTGCTGTCGAAAGGACATATTCCAAGTATGCACTCTTGCAAATTTGTATCAAACCTAGGCTTTATTATCTTGAATTCCCATTTAATTACTATGTAAGGACAAGTTATTACATTGACTAAATAGTTGACTAATTTGTGTCAATGCTTATATTTGGCTGTTGCTCTCGCAGATTTATTTGAAAACTGTTGCTTTTGTCAGTGAAAAATCTCTTTTTGAGGCATTTCCAAAAATCGCAAATTTTCAAATAGTGTCGAGCGGGGTTGAATGATTCAGGGAAATGAGGGCAACTTGATGAACTTAAAATTATTACTTCGAATTACTAATTTTGGGGATTTGTGGTAATTAGGTACTATCATTTTTTGGAAATTAACATTTTTCTCAAAATTGGCGGAACATTCCAAAATAAACTTTAATGAACGAACAGTATTGTTGATTTAATTAATAAAAATCGCGACGCTAAGAATTCAATTTTTAGACTTTTTTTAGATTTATTTAGAGACAATTCAATTCGGCAATTGATTTGATTGATTGACGGACATTGTCTTCAACTTCTAGACCAGATTTCATGTGCATAAACATCGGTTATTTTTGTGGTGAACCCACAATATTATAATTTTGTGGAAATTAATATATTATTTGAATTTTTGTAGTTCCTGATTCTTATTTTGAATTTCATTGCCCTTCCTTTGGGTAGAATTTTGTTTTTTGTCTGCTGTAGTCCACGTCTCAGCTGTTTTTTTTTTCAATTTTTTTCTCAACTGTTTTTGGCCCAAAACATATTTACTCGAGTGCGAGACATACTATCTGAACTCCTTTCTAAGACCTCAAGTTTTTGGGGTACCGCTCGAAGCAAAGTTAGTAGTATCAGCAAAAATTAGAAAAATTATGTACACGAAAATTTGCGGATGATAATAACTTGTCACCGTTTGTCAGTGGTCAACTTCGCCGCAATTCAATCTTCCACTATCAGGGTGCCTATTTTGGTTTAATTTAGTATATTATAGGAATTGAACTACAACTGAGTTCATCTTCTACCAAAAGTAACTTACAACACTCCACATTACAACTCCTTGCATGTTTGATGTTAGCTTTTATTTACCTAAAATAATGGTACAGTTTCTGAATCAATTTGTGTTGATCAGTAACTATTAGAATTATTTAATTATTTCATTTAAAATTTTAACCATTTTATCAACTCACTCACTTTTTATATATGTATTTTGCACTGACTGAGTTTTTTGCCGATTTTGTTCATATCAGTTGCAAATTGTCATATTTAATGATGCTGCACTCGAGCTCACTATTTGGTCAATTTACTTTAAAAATTACGTTGATTATAAGATATGAGTTTTGCGAGTCAATTTTTGTCAGCCAGACTCATTGTTACATACTCATGGATTAAAATATCCTGGAAGATTACCTAAAATTCTCTTGCAGAGCCCGCTGATAATGTGAATTAGTGGTCGCATTTACTTCCAGCTATATCTTGCTTCAACAGAAGTTTTCCCAGAAATGCAGCTCTGATGCTTTTTGTTTTAATTAAATTCAAGTCCTCACCTTGCAAATTGACTCCGTTAAATATTTTAAACAGGTTTTGCTACATTTATCGTCTCTGCTTTCTAGTAGTAAGTTAAATGGATGGCAAAGCAATTCAAACCCTCTGAAAGCCAACGAACTTCTACGTATAGTAGCAAACAAGCTATTGAAAACTTCATAATTCTCACTGTAAAGTTGGTTAAATAATTTGCCATGCAATGAATTGCTTCTAATGTTCTTGAATGAATAAATGATGTAAATCTATTGAAAAATTTAGCGTGTGTTAAATGTCAATTTGCTTCGTGTGATGGTATCCAAAACGAAAACCACATTTTTTTATAAAAAAATGATCAAAATGTCTTTTATTAACTTCAATATCTTTGATTGTGTCTAAAAGCGGATGTTTAATGCAACGCTCAAATCTCCAAAGCACATGAGAAAAAAATATGTTTTCTGTTCTTTGCCTTATATCGGTTGTTGATCTGTTGATGGTGCTTTGGAATTTTTCCTGATAAAAAGATTTTGCTGAAAATGACGCTTCTAACTGAGCAACCGGAACTTTTTTTTTTCTCATTCGGGAGGCCATCGATCCACTTTCTTTTCTGGATTTGTATTACAAATTAGTCAGTAAGTAAATTACACCTGTCCCTAACATATATTATTATTTAGTGAATTACGCAAATATTTATAACTGATCATGTCATAAATTCCTTAATCATGTAGTCCGATATATACGTACTATATACGTACAGAAAAATGAGTAAAACAATAGATTTAGAAATATTAAAATTTCCGTTATTTCTTGGCTCATGAATACTGTATGTCAAGGATATGAAAAGAAGCAAAATATCTGTTTAGTTATACAACTCTAAGCATCCCCAGGGGATCCATAAAGCTAGCTACTACCTATACTAGAAAAATATTGTCTGGTCTTTATGGTTGAAAAGAAAGCATAAAATCTTGCCGGATGCATATAAAGGAATATCGTGGTTTTCAGCTTTTTGATATAATGCCTAAATACATTATTAAATCGGGAATCCCAGTTGCTATTTATAATTCCGTAGTAACTCCTCATTAGTGATCCTAAAGTTAGTTCCTAATAGCGGTTCGAATTGTATTTTTAATAAAAATCTATGCCAATCAACTTACAATTAATGCAACATTAGATGGCAATCACGACTACCCTAATTTTATTTCTGTCTTAAGTCTTAAAGAATGAATACATTTATTTAGACTACAATTTACTACTTATAAATACTTTTTTAGATGTACTGGATTCGTTCTGATTACCATCAATTCTACTAACAGTTTCTTCAAATTCTTTAACAGTAATTAATGTGATTTCGGGCTTGATCAGCCAATTTCAATATTAGATGGAACATATTGGGTCTATTTTTCTGTTCTTCCTCCTTCGGTCGGAGTTAAATTCGTTTGAATTGCTAAATGAAATTTGTACATTTGAAAGCCTGACTGAATATTGTAACGCTGGTGTTTTCCACTGCTAAAATATGGGTTCGAAATATTTCCTCTTCTGTAAAAGTGACCTCCTCTCGAAATAATGCACCATTTCCGCAGTTTGACTTCAAATCTAGGTTTCATTCGTTTTTTTTAAACAGCAGGCCAAAATCGCTGGAGAAATATGTCAGGGCCAAAAAACTTTTACATTTTTTGACTATAGTCAAATTTTGCAGCTCTGAAATTCGTTTCGAGTAGAGCAGTTTTAAATCTGCTATTTATTTCGGATTTTAACTTCCTCCTTATAGTGTCGGAAAGCCTTAGTAACTCAGATATTCGGATACAAATATTTACGAGTTAAAACCATTTCTTTAGTTAGATCTGTACTACTTGTCCTGAGACTCTGAGTCAGTTTTTTCGGATTTCTCTTATGTACTTTGTTGTTCGGATTTGAACTTTATTCTATTCTTTATTCTCATAATTTGCGTTACAGAATACCTGAAACAATTTTCTTAGGAAATAAGGTAGCTCTACCTCCGCTATTTAACTTCTATAGAAAATGCTCGCATTTATATTAATTAACGTTATCGTGGGTACTTTATGAGGCATTAAATACAAATTTTCATATATAATATTTCCTATACAGCCAACAAGTCTAAAATTTTAATTTTCCGGTAAACCCATTTTGTAATAAAAGCACGATTTGATTAATTACTTGCAGCATAGATAAACTACATGAGTCTAATAGAATTTTGCGCGACAAACTTCCAGTTGAATTGCCAGCTCTCTAGTAAACAAAACAGGAAACACCTTGCACTGACTGAAAACCGAGGTGAAAACATATTTCAACATTTCGGTTTCACCGTTAAATCCTTAGAAAGATACATTTTCGTTTTTAGTAATTCGTCTTTTTGATTGTACCAAAGTAATTAATATAATTCTAAATTTATTTCTTGATTAATATAACAAGGGTGTATTTGTATAGATTATTTTTCCATAATTTCAGTACATTCAATACTACGTGGGCGATTGTTTGATTTGTTTTCAAGATTATTCATTTTTTATTGCTCTGCTAGCTTGAGCTTTAAAAGCATTTGATAGCGGCTAAAAATTTGAACATTTTTTAGGTAATATTTATGTCTTTTCGACTATATATTTAAACACTCTTGCATTTTGCGTACCATTAGGAATTCCTAAAACATTCATATTAGCAAAATTTAAAGCATGTCAGTCGTTCTTCTGCTCCTTTTTAAACTTTAATAAAGGACCTTTGTTCAAAATAGTTAAGCATGTGTGATGGATGCGCTTCCAAACACTTCTACTATAAATTACGGGTTAGTTTTAGACTTGTAAGCAATCTGCAATTACCCGATAACCGAATAATCGATTTTTAAACAAACTTTGCCTATATATCCTTTAAGTGGGGCATTGAGAACGGTGAAAGTTTTAACACAAGCATTAAAACCTAATTCTCTTTCGCCAAAAGATTGTATGGTTAAATTTAGTGCCTCGCTTGTCCACTTACAATATTTGGTTTTAAGCATCCTATGAAACGCAAAACTAACAAGATTTACGTTAGCTTTGCCTCGATTCGATCGATCTAAGTGCGGGAACAAACGGTGTTAAATCGAGAAACCATGTATTTTTTTAACTTTGTATCCAGTGGGACAAAATCTATTATACTGAGATTTTCCTTAACTGTTTTTGGACATAGTCATAATAGAAGATAGTAGGGAAAGTTTTGTTAGTTGACTCCCAACCAAGTGATCATGCGATTTTGCTTTGAAGTGTATTGGAGAGCAAACAATTAATAAAGGTCAACGATGAAATATTTTATTTATAACAAGAAACGTTTTGTTAATCCACCGTTGCGATCCTTCCGTCCAATGATAGCTAGCAATGAGTGAGTTACTACTCGTACTAAAAATAAAAAACATACTCGTGTAGTTAATGAAAGTACCTACATACACGTTTGAATGCATGATGGTACCGGAGTCAAGAACTTGTCTACAAATTAACTTGTACATATATATAAATTTCAGTTGCTGTTCTCGACTTATGGCTTGGTTCTTATATCTATGTTAACGAAATTACACTTACGCTTCGCACATCTCATTATTTTCCTTCCAATATTATCAATAATATAGGAAAGCTAAGTGCTCTAATAGCATGTAGTGTTGGAATAAATGTCAATTCTGAAATTTAACATCAATTAATGCCAAGAGATTATATTAGTCTTTAAACCACCAGCCTAAATTCAGATTCTAATGACACCGCTGTGCGGTTTTCAGAATTATTCAACCTATATTTAACGCACCTGCCAAATGAGAAATAATAACAGTTTATCGGAAATCAATAACGTAGATAATTTAGAGCGATTACCACAGATTTAAATGATGGAATTATGCGAAGCGTAAATATGAAATATGTTTAGAAAACCATAGTCATTTGACCTTTAATAAGTTTTAATTGCATTTTTTTGTTCCAGATCCCTTGAAAGATCCTACGATATGCGGTATTCCAGCATGTCCAGATACAGGTGAGTGGATTTGTACACAATAAATGTTCATATTATCTGCATGTTCATATTGTCTGTATGCTGATGCATCTAATATATTTTCCTTGCCTTCAAATTTTGCACAAAATATATTTGTCACTTGTACGAATTCTGCTAATTAATGTAAACGTTATTTGCGTTCAATGTTTCTTCCGCTTAATTTTATATTCATTATGCTAATTTAGTCCCTTATGCCTTCTTTCTTCTACATTTGCGTCTATGTGGTCACTTCGAAAATACTAATTTTATATTCGAAAAAATACGATATTTTATCCCATACGATTTTAAATGCTGAATACGAACGAACACATATTTATTATATATAAACCCTTTATTAAAATAGCTTTTAGTTTAAAAGCTGCAAATTATTTGAAAAACATATACGAGTATGTTTTTTGCATGACTGGATTTGTAAGAGTGTTACCAGGATTGGAGAAATGACGATATTATTTGGATAGAAATAAGGATATTTAATACGAATTAGCGAGGGTTGAAGAGGGACAAAGCATTGAGCCTACACAGTGTCCAGTTTTTGTAGCACAATATTTTCCATGTATTTATTCCCCACGCACGTAATATTACTTAAGATTTTTAAGCGCCTTTTTAAATATTCGAACATTGATTTATTAAGGAAATTTATAACGTTCAATTGCTTATTTCTCTTTTTTGGCTCCTGAATTTTTTGATATAACTAGAGCGATTTCTATTTTTTATTTAAACTTCATAACAAAACAATAATAAGCTACTTTACCAGACATTTGCTCAAGGGCTTTGACCATGTTCTTCTAAAATGTGGGTCTTCTGTGTAATCTATGTTTACAGCGCAATGGAGATAAAATTCATAGTCATTTGTTTTGATTGTACATATTTTGGTAAAATCATTCGAGAACATTACCGATCCTTAATTTATTTTGTACAATATACTGTTGCCCGCTTATCTTAATTTCTTTTATATATATATTTCGAATGTTTTCGAATTATGCTTGATGAAAACAGTAACTAGGATTACTTTGTTATTTCGCACGCTAAATTGCTCCGAACTCATGAAAGGCCAACGCACATTTGAGGCTCTCACTATTATATGAGGAGAGGATTGCTTTTAAAAAAATCCAAATTTAAAACCAAATATTGACAAATATTGAACAAGTCAAGAAACCGTCAGGATATAAATTTCAAAAGAAATATCAACAAAAAATAAAAATAAAAATTATGTAAGTTTTGAAACTCAAGTGATCTTTGTCAAAATTTCGTAATGTCACACTATATATAGAAATTCGCATGACTTTGTTAAGTAATCAACGTACTTCTATAATTTATAGTTTGCTGGTATTATTTGTCGCTTTGTATTGACGTTTGATGGCCATTTATTGATTCTATGTGAAGTTTTTCAGCGGTTTAATAACCTTTAATTATTCGCCCTGTCCCATCGTTAAGCAGTAAACTTTTCACAAAGGTCTATTTAGTAAAACCAATATTAAAACGAAAAACGGAACTAATAAAAAAACTTTTAATTGAAGAGCAATTCTGTTCCTCAATTGAATATTTATCAAACAGGCGCTTGAAAAGCCTGTCGGCAAATTTATCACCTGCAAATCAATTTGTAGTATAATTTTCCCATTGTGTACGCATTAAGCGTTTGAAAGCTTTCGGAAACTAAAAATTCGAAGTAATTCCCTACGGACTCGAAGCTATTTTCCCGGAAAAAAGCAGCTCACCCTGAGCTTCAAAAACCTAGTAATTTAAATTTTATCCGTGCCAAGTCATATAACTTATCTAGTCCCAGAAAAGGTCGAATCGTTTAAGTTAAAATCAAACTGCGGAAACAATTCAAATCTTTGTTCAGACATATGTATGTATGTAAGTATGCATAATGGAACGCGGAATAATGTTTATATATTCCCATGGAAAGTCCGTAAAAGTTTACTAACGCCAGAAATTTGAATGCATGTTTCGAAAAAATGTATAGGTATTATTATACAAGCGAGATCGTATTAATAAACAAATTCAAGACTACTTGTTGAAGTAGGAATGAACGTAAATAACATTATTCAAGAATATAGATTGCTGCTGCAGAATATTCAAACATTTATTTTATTTTGAGTCCAAGTATAAAATAAAGTGGTAATAGTGTTTTTAAAGGATTCCAAAAATGTAATTCTGCTTTTTAAATACACTAGAATTATTTTATTCGCCAATATTCATGAATTAATTTCTGCCATGGAAGTGGCAAAAGCCTAGAAAATATCAACGATTTACTGGAAAACCCTTAACTAACAGAAAAGTTGAAATCGGAGGTGAATGGATTTATATGGAACAATAGGATAAGCGCTTGAGAACTTGAATCACAACTGCTCCGTTTCGGAAGTATTTTACGGCCATCCAAACAAAATTATTGAAATATCCCCAGAGCATCTAAACTAAAGCTGTATGCTTGCTGGATTGGTTTTCAGTGGTACGGAGAAAAGCTTTATTATTTATAATAAAGATCCAATATATTCTATAGGATAACCGATCTTATAGTATACTATAATAGCCTCAACTAGTCACTTAAAATAATTGCAATATGGCTTGCGTAAATGTTCTTGTATAGCTGTTGTTGGGGCAAGTCATGTTTGTTTGATGGTAAACGAATAAGCAGGTAATCAAATTATGATTAAATCCAATTTGTTTCCTATCAAGAGCGATTTTGATAGGTTTTCCAAATACTCTGTATTTTAATGTGAAAGTTACTCGTACTTTCGATCTAAATCCAGAAATTTCAAACACTCACATTACCTTATTTGCCATATAACTTTTAATATGGTTTGAAATAACCACCCTGTATACACTTAACAGAGCAGCAGCAGAAAATGTTGTTTTATAATGTATGATATGTAGGGACGCTTTGGTTAATACTTTTTATTTGGGAAAAGAGAGTCGACTGGATATATTTACACAATTGAATTAAACATAATGCCAGACTTATGTTTAATTCAATTGCATAAAGTACCAAATGATGGAAGGTTTACTGTTGAGAAAATAGTCCTCAGAAAATCTACTAAATCGAATGTTTCAGTCTAATTATTTTACAGTTTTACCGATTTAATGTTGAATTACGGCTGATTATTATTATCCTGGCTGTTAAAATATACTTAAATTAACAGAAAAGTTTTAAAATTAGTAGAAAACGTAAAACAAGCCCACGTACTGGGTTGTCTTTTCTTGTATAGAAATACCAGTTTCACATACACAGGTCTACGCCAGTTAGAATCATAAAGAATCATAAGAGAACGTTTTTTAAATTACTTTTACGAACAAAAGTTGCTGCTTTTTTATTATTATTTTAAAACAAACTAATATTAGCGTCATTGAACTGGAAGTAGCGTATACAAGGTGGGTTACAAAGCCTTATATAATATACAAATTTCTATTCGATTTGTAAAAATTATTCCGCTTGCAACATTTACAAAATACTTTTCAATTAAGTACCTATAATCTGAAGAAATTCGGACCAAAATATTTAAAGAAACGTAATTCGAATCGATTTTTATCGCATAAATTTGAATTGCCTGTAATCTCATTTTATGCGAAACAACATACGTTAAATTACGCAACATGATTACCGCGATTATCCAATAAAAATAACACATTTCATTCATTAGCCATCTGGGTCAACTATTTCCGACACCAATTATAATTATATACAGTATTTCAAGCCAAAACATTTATTGTATTCGCTTAATTGTTCAGGGCAGGTTTTATTCATGTAGAAACGATATTAGTTATATGTATTTAAAATTACGAGTTTTAGGTGCAATTATTGTTTAGCGGCTATATCTTTTATAGATAGTTAACCTGTCCTTCTGTTCTGAAAGTCCTTTAACTTCAAATTTAAATCACAATTTTTATTCACCTCATTTAAGTATGCCAGTTTTCCGTTTATTTCTGTTCATCTATAACAATTTCGCGGCTTATTACTTCTTGATATTGTTTCTTCCTCTGCTTTTAGAGTCGTAGTAGTTTTTTAACTCCGTTATTCTAGCTATTCGGTGTTTCTTAATCAGGCACTTATTTTGCTAGTTTTCCCAGTTTTCATTAATTGAATACTGTGACTCCTAATATACACGGTGTCTCGTAAGCACATGATGAAAAGAGCACTGCGACATTTATTTGTCCAAATGAAGACAAACTGAGTTAACTTTGATAAATTAAAAATGTCCGGCTCGACTGCTATTGAAGGCCAGAGTTCACCTAAAAAAAGTTTTTTAAATATCGGGAGAATGATTCAATGCATTTGAGGAAAACTGACTGTGAATTTATTCTTATGTCAGACTCATATTTTCATGAAGCAACAGAGCGTATTCGCTTTCGGCGTAAGTAGTGAGTATCTTGGCAGAAAAATTACTATTAATTTTTATTTGGGGGCTAAAATTAACTGACTTGTTGTGCTCTTTGTAAACTATATGGTTTTTGCGCAATTTTTTTTTTTGCTTTCCTGCTAAATAAAAATTTCAGACACTCACTTTAAATGTAGCATTAAGATCAGTTCAACAAACAGTTCATTACAGCTACCAACCAAATAAAAAGTTCTGGTGGTTTTTGTACCAATACAAGCAAGAATTATGCTTCAGCAAAATATCAGTCTTACAAAAGAACAATTTTACAGCGAGTTTCATTAAAACCCATCGATTCGTTCTTCGGATATATCAAAAGATAATCTTTTAAAAGAATTTTGACCATCAATAGCTTCTGCAGACATTTTTTCTTAATAAAAGTTACATCAGGTTGTCTTCCTTTGAGCCAAAGAATATGGCAGTACCATTTTGATCATGTGTTTACGGGATACCATGTATATTGAATAAAAACGAATTACTCTCCTACTTCAGAGGTTTCTGGTAGACATTCTTAAAGCGTTGAGAATACTTTGCGTTCTCTAACATAAAGATGCGATTCTGAGTTAGGAAAAATAAATTGCAATCTGAAAGTTATAATGTCGTGTAAATGTGAACATAGTAGCAGCGATAAAAGTATCTTAAAATATTTAAAATCTATTGGATATAAAATGGCTTGTTATGTTTTTTAGATTTGTCTGCTCTAGCACCTCCTTTATTTCTTCCATCAACCTTTAAGCCCATGTAATTCAATCGTGCATAGATAAATAGTTACGTTAATACATACCACTTGATCGATACGTCGCTTACAATTTCGATAGAAACAATAAAAAAATATAAATTATAATAAGGACTTTCCAAGTCTCCAATTTAAAGTTCGATTCGCATATCGAATTTCCAATTCAGTAGGAGATAACAAGGGGTTGTCTCCTGTTGCCAGAGCTTGAAATTTCTTCACCACAAGCTTTAAATTTCCGGAAGCTTCGCCATTAATGCAACTAAAGAGAAAGTAGATTCTATTAGTTTTGTATACTTTTATGGTAATTTTACTCTTCACGTTTTTCATATGTCTTAAATCCAATATTTTATTCGTCCTGCGCGCTTTGTTGCCTGTTATTGCAGTAAGGTAAACAACTTAAAAATGGTTTAAGTAAGTCACAAATTCTATATTTATACCTACACTGATTTTGTGGTTCGGTAAACTATAAGTTTTTTGGAAATAATTCTCAAATAACATATTCCTTGTTAATTTTCATAAGTGCAAGTTAATTTGAATACGGAAATCTAAACATACTGAACATTTTTTATTCAGCCAAACGAACAATTTTTCTCTTGAAAAGCCTGTTGATGTGTGGTGTGAGATACTAAAATATGATTTTCGTGCAGGATCCAACATCAGAGAGGTCATAGGCAGATAGACATAGATAGAGCTGTGCGAATAGAAATTAATTTTATTCGGGAAATTATCTAAATTTGAACTTGTAAGGAATGTAATATGCTATCATGTTTAGCAGTTATATCAAGTGGTTCACCATAAAAGAAATAAACGATTTTTACCAGAAAAGCACATTTAGCGGTTTCTGCTATGGTAAATGGACAATACCCGTGCACAAGAAAATGACAAAGTGTTAGACGATAATGTCAAGAAGATGGAGTGTAATACACAATAGTATCGTATACGTGGGAGTTATCTCATTGTACATAGTTACTATGTTCCACTGTCATTTTTTCCGACTCTGGAAAGGTATAGTGTAGCATAATGCGGATAATGGGGTTTTCAAGTGACATATTATCTTGTTTATACTCGAGCAATTTTTGACACACACAGCAGGAATGTGTAAAGTTAGTAAAGCCATTCAAAAATTGTGCTGCTTTGATTGGTTGTGCGACTGGCAGATCAAATTGTACCTTTCACATATCGATATATTTGATTTATTTATCAGAACCTACATATATGTGTTTTTGAACTTTAAATAAAAAACCAGGTCCCTCGATTGTAGCTGATGCTGAAAATACAATAGAATACTTTGATTTCCATACCTACATTTTGCTACATTTTCCTAGATGTTCCAAAAAATTAGTCTTCCTACCATCATCAAAGTGTGTTCATGTATTTATGAGACGGCTGGTAAGGCTGGAAGCTTCGAATAGAAAATACATTTCAGAAACTTATGCACTTCACGTCTCCATATATGTAGACATTGGCGTCCAAAACTTAAAAAAATCCGAAATTCTATTTCTGAAACTCTGGAATTCCATTTCGGCAAAATAGAGTACGAAATAAAGGTAGCCATACTAAACGCCAACAAAAGCCGAGTAAAGAGTATTTGAAAATTTTAATTGCAAAGTTTTCCGTATGTATCAGTACGAGGCTTCGTTTCTACGGAAATGGTTTTGGAAAACGTGATACACAATTTTAATGATAAAAACCTTCTTTGCCATACATTTCTTAAATAAGTCTTTAAAACCCGTACAAAAATTCAGCTTGCTCTGGAATAACGAGTACCAATTTTAAAGTCTCAAGCCTGTCGGGGGTATTTTAAGCTGTTAGCTGCCATAACTGATGAAACATAAAAAAAACGGATTTGATTGCTAAAAGTATTAACTTTCTTTATCTTCTTCTAACTTAAAAAACGCTCAAGAACATTATAATTTTCAAATTCCGAAAATTTTTGGTTCATTGTTTTTGGGAGTTTCTGGTTTTTTTAATTGCATTTGAAAAACACGAAAATTTACTTTATTCCGTGTTTCAAAATTTAAACTCGGTCTGCACATACTCTTGCTTTAAGTTATATACGATTTTAGGTACTTACTTCTCAAACTAAGGTTATATTAGCTCGTAGTTGTTTTTCCGGGTTTCTGGTGCATTGAAATCGCATTTCAGAAATTAAAGCAATCAAAAATTATGCAATCTTTGAAATCGGCTCAAAACTGAGCTTGTTTTGAGCTAAATAGCGTTTTGGATTTAAAACTCAAATACTTTACTGTTCAATTTTCCTTTAAGTTTATAACTTTTTAACATTAAAGACATGTTTTCAAAGATCAAAACGTTCTCTTTCATCTATTTGTTTTCAATTCAAAATCGGATGCAACCTCAACCTGTTTTGATCCCAAGCGTGTTTGGGATTTTATACCTACATCTACCTCCATAATTTTAAGGGCTTGCTGGAATTAGCAGCAATTTGATCATCAAGTTATGTCCTTTTAGCCCATTAGTCAGTAGTGTATGAAGTAATATTTAAATATAACGAAGTCTTCAAATATTCCAGAGTATTTTCAGTTTTTCTTGTGCTTGGCGAAAGTTATTTATTCCTTTCTAAAGCCGCGTCCTCACTGGTTTGGCTATGCTAAATGGCATGACATTGTTGGTTCTAGTGTGGACGTTTTATTTGACATTACCGAGTAATCAAAGTTGCACAAAAGCCAATTTATTTGTCGAATTTAGCCAGAAGAGACTCGGCTTTACAATCAAAGTGTTTCATTTAAAAGTAATCTAGACAATTATTTCAAAATTACTCAACGTGTCTAAGAATAAATCACTTCCAGCCTACAAAATCATTTAATTTTTTTCGAAGAAAAAGTTAAAATAAATTAATCTGTTATGTAATTAAATTGAGGTATATTTATAATTATAAATTTAATTACGAATTAAATATTTTGTTTCAGGTCACAAATTTAAATATGTACCAGAAAGATACTACACCTATAAGTATTCCATCGAAGCAAGAAGTATATTCAACGGTACAAGTAAAAACGAGTCAACATTGTTCATTGATGCTGACGTTACGTTTAATTTCTTAACGCCATGTGATGGCTTGCTGACCCTTTCCGACGTAACATTAAGCGAAATTGCCTCAAGAGACAATGAAGAAAATCCCACTTCCACTAATAGTCAGCTATTTTCCGACATGATAAGCGAATCCACTCTTAGGTTTGCCTTCAAAGACGGAATTGTCTATGAAATATGTCCAGACGAGAATGAAAAAACGTATCCTTTGAATTTTAAACGAGGAATTTTATCGATGATTCAAAATAGCATGAAAAGATTTGACTTGGATTATTCCGGAGATGAAGAAGATGTTAGAGGTGTTTGCTCGACTACTTATGCTGTTCTCGGAGCAAAAGAAACCAGTCTACTCATAGAGAAAACAAAAAAACTGGATAGTTGCACCGACAGAATAAAAATCAACTCTGTTATTCAGATGACTCCATCCACTTTTCAATCGGTTAGTACATTTTTTACCAATTGCTTTACTCGTATGTCTAAAATATAAGATACATTTTATTCGAAGAATTTTAAAATAATACTTATTCCCTAAAACACGTTCTTTTTTTTCTTCCTGGAAGCGAAATCAGTTTTAAAATTATTATTTATTTGCTCATTCAGTAATGGACTTGGGGACTGTGCTTTGAACCCTGAAACCTGAATCAAATCGATTATTGAACTTCTTCAAATGTTCATGAATTTTGAACGAATTTAATTATTCGAATAAAATATGACTGAATCGCCTGAACCGCCGCCGTTCAGTTTGCATAAGGTTTAATACAACTCGTAAAATCCTACGCCCTCTGATTACTTCTAAAGTACTTCTCCAATTCGCTTCTACTGAGCCCATTTAAAAAATATTAAATTGTAAATAAAATTTTTCACTTCATTACATTCAAAAATGTTGTTGCCTTGTGACCAGTAATCCATTTTACTTTTCTGAATCCCATCAAAGCAGATGCAATCACTGAGTTGTAATAACATGTCCTCATATTTGCGCTGATTAGTCTGCAAACTCGTTTGAATCATCAAATAAAATTATTCTACACGGCTCGACTTTTACTAAATATTACAATAAATTTATCAGAACAATTGTTTTAATAGTCCGGTTGATAATAGAATGGTTTACCAATAAATGACAACAATAGTAAAATAAAGCTGACAATTGGAGTTGGTCGAAACGTTTTCAATATTTTCATGTGCGATAGATCGAAAAAGCCTTAATTAGTGCAAAGATCAATCTATTTAATTTGCAGCAAATTGAAATCATTGCTTTCACCTGAAAAGTAATCAAACTATATTTTATTATATTGAGGGCATGTGTTTATACATTATTCTCAATATGCTGCAAAAGTTCGGAGTTTCAAGTTGTTTAAATTCCAAACTGGGTGAGTAAATATGGTTTTAAATTTGTTGCTCCTGATATCAGGGATTAAATTATTTTGGTAAAATATTTTTATTTACATGGGTTTATTTAATCAATAGCTAATTACAATTCAAAGTGCTTTTTATTACTTTAATATACAAATCCTTATTTTTACAAGATTTGCATGCTTTCCTATTAGAATTAAAAGCTCAAATTTGGTTAAATTTCTGATCAACGTGATTTAACTTCTTATTTGGGAAATCTCTTTTAGCACCGATTTCTTAAAACTCTGCTGTTTCAACTAAGTCTTATGTATACTGTTTGAGGACGATAATATAATAATTAAAATATATATTTTGTCTGGATTGTTGACACCGCTATTTCCTTTTCAAAGTTTTTCTTTTAATTCGTTTCAAAAATAACAGTTCTTCCCTTTGCACCTATCCATGAATATATCAACACTTTCATGTTGTAGAGAACTATACTAATTGTAAAAAGATAGTTGAAACACTTTAGGACAAGATGCCTGATTACCTTTGGTTGTCTACTTTATCCAGCCCCATTTTAATGGGTGACACTGGAAATAAAGATTTGAGTTCTCCATTGAAAATTTTTCATTCTAAAAAATACTAGATACACTTCTGATAAAAAAACATTCTGAAAAATACTTTCGGTACTTTACATTCGTATAGTTAACTCTATAGGTCAAGAGAAAGCCGTATCATCTATTTTCTTTATAACACAATAACTCTTTCAATATTTTTTTCCAGGAATTCAACGTTCGAACGCAAGTTTATTCTACTTACGTATAGAATTGTTATACTTCGTTAATTTTTGTTGCTAATGCTGGTTATTTATTCTCAATTTCATCACTTCCTTTCAGCTGATAAATGTTCTTTCATTGTCGAAGTTATTAACTGCAAACACAATTGTCTAACCCCATAATCAGAGGTTTCAAAATAATCAACTAAACTAATAAATATAAGTGCTGCCAAAGCATGTTTTATTCCATTGTCAGCAGCTTTCGTTTCTGCGAATTCAATTTTCTTGCTTAAATATTCATTAATTCTTGAGCAGTTTCAGTACTTCCATGAAGGTTGCTGAACTTTTTAAAGTCAATTATGGCCATATAGTTTCCGAACAGCGTTTGTATATTTTACTCTGTCTATCTCTGCATATAAGTACTTCTTCTCTTAACATTAACTTTTAACTATTTGAATATTTCTAATTTCTGGCGCAATAACTTTTCTGCGAGTATTGCAGATCAAGCTTTATGGCATTTGATTTTATATACAATACAGCGTATATATAATTATAAAATAAATTACTATATCTATTCAAATGCAAAACTTGCTCAATTTGAACGAATAAAGAAACCGCTAATTTCAGAAAATATTTTCGAGCACACGATTACTTTTTAGCTTTGCTTTTGATGTCTGTCTCGCCGCTGGATATGATATACCTAATATGAATTTTATGGCTTCATTTATTTTTGTTTGATTACTCGAATAATATGCTGGCAATTTTGTGAATCGTGCTTAATACATTTATTTTAGATCATATTTAAATGTCGCGTTGACAGTGGCGATAGAGAGCTGCTCTCTATGGAATGCTTCCGTTATTTAAAAATTTAACAAGTCAATTAAAATAATATTTTTGGTTGATATTATACAGTTGTATAATATAATATAATAATATTATACAATACAAGTACTACGTCTACTGGAATTATAGCATCTGAGCTTCTGGATGTTGCTTGATTTTCGCGTTGTTTTCGCTTCACGTCTATTATCTCTTCTGATAAACAGTAATCCTAATTATTTGATAGACTTTTGCGGTAATAAACGATGCTTAACATCAAGACCAAGTTTAAACTTTACGTGTACTCTAATTCAATATGCAGGGGCATATTGAGATCAGTGTTATTAAAAAAAAATGGAATTATAAAATATTTCAGGCGCTTTCATCTTCCTAGCTGTGAAAACTGCATTTTTCGCATTTTCCTGCCACGAAAATCAGTAATAATTCCATATTTATCCATTTTGATTATCACTTAGAAAGCAGTTAATGCAGAGTTTGTCGACGAGAACTGACAAGGAGGATTATGTTTGGAAGGACTATTGCCCATACATTATTAGAATGCTACATTTTTCAATAATACTTTTACCGAACAAATGGGATTATACACACCTCCAGATAAATCCAATTATTTTACATACAATGTTTCGTCTATTATGCTATATGGTGTTCTATTGAAAACGAGGCTGGCATCAGGTTTCATAGTTACAAAAAATACGTTTGCTGCGAAAAAATACGTTCTGACCGGTTCATTTGTGAATTCAAATTAGAATTTTTGTAATAATATTTTACGTTACTTGTTAATGTTTCTAATTGGGTGCAGCTACAGCGTTCAGTACAATAATAGGTATGAGTGACTATTTACATATATAAAATTAGTCTCGTCTGGCACTACGATTGTCATTGAAAGAGTGCAACGATGAAAGATCTGGTTGATGATGAGTCGAAATAATCAGATTATTTAACAGCAAAATTGTCGACGAAATTCAAATAACTTGCAACATTTATTGTGAAACAAATATTAGAAGAATTTTAACAGTTTCTATCAGAAACTTTTAAAAGTTATAAATGAACAACAGTTAGCGTATGGGTTTATTTATGCTATTCGGAAACGATTTCATATAGTGTTTATGTCAAACTCCTGGTAGGAATGGGAAAAATATAATTTTTGCCATTGCCATTTGGCTGCTTATTCTTCAAGTAAATGCCTTTTCGGCCAATTTTGTTCTCAATATGCTGATGATTAATCGATGGAACGAAGCAGGTAGATCACCATCTGACTAACATTTAAAATCATATTTTGCGTGAGATATTTTAAAAGTTTCAAATCGGCACCATCATCACATTTTATGCTATTTAATTTCACGTGAAGCCACTTGCAGATGACAGAATACCCAACGAATTCTGTTTTTATTCCTGAGGTGTCCTCCCTTACTTAAGATTACTCTTAAACCTTCAGTTGCATACAATCCAGATTTCAGTTAAAGCTTGATTTAAAATCAATTTATTTATCAACAAGATTTTAAACTCATTGATTTAAAATCAAGCTTGATAAAAGATGGTTTCTGCATGTTGCTTGTTGCAAGTTTGTTGCAAATTAATTTTTCCGGTTCAAGATGAACACGTGCATTTTACAGTGTGCAGTGAGAGGAACTGTTAAGGGGCGCACAGGTTGGTGTTTCTAGTTCTAAAGTAAAATCAATTTTGATCTAATCGATTAACCTATATATACGGTTCTGCTCATTTATGAATAGGGAACAAAACTTTCAGCGAACGTTGATTAAAGTAAAGCAAGTCATGTATAATTTAATACATCGTATATTAAGTTTACAAAAGATAAAAATACAATATTGATTAAGATAAACTAAGCCTTGATAGATATTTGGAAAATTTATGAACTTTGCCAATTTTTTCTGATCTATATATCTTTGAATGGCAGTATTTATTTAATATTCTTCGACGATTCCTGATTACCTAAGCTTCATTCAAAAAAATCACGACGTTGCATTGTTTAGATCACAAGTTGTTTGATTTCAAAACCAAAAAAGCAAAATGTGACCCTGTGGGGCTACAGTCATTTAATTTTCTTCATACGTTTAAAAGCGTGATTTTTCCAAAACTAATTGTTTACGTATTGAACATTATCACTTGCACTAAAATAAATTGCACTTACCGTCAAGTTACTCATTTTTTATGTTGCAACGTCTTCACAAACGTGAACAAAACTCAAGCTACCGGCGAACATTCAATGTGAAAAATACTATTCCTTTATTAGAAAACTATGAAGCAAAAACAACTATTTTATGCATAAAAACTTAAAAGTCGCGATGTCTTTTGAAATAATAACGGAGTGAATTCGCGTCCTTCTTATCCACTATTAAACAATAGACTAATTCGACAAAATTGCATGATAATCAGCGTGCATTTGAAAGTTGATTCGATTAGGATGGCATGTGCCTTAACATTTTTAAGATAATTTTTATTTGAAATTCCTCGGGTAATGCGTTTGGAATGCCACTCTGTATATCTGTACTTTTATGAAGCTTTATCCGCAGAAAGCAATGTCTATTGTTGAACTCATTTTCAATTTCGACATAAACATTTAAATGTTCTATTACGTTGACATTAAGTTTCATTTTAAGCATTTACCTTAATTGTTTTATAAATTGTTAATAAGCCAATTATATTTATTGCAGGGGATCAAACATGAAAATATCCTGCAATCATCAAGTCGATGTGTCCTTTCTATAGATCAAAATATCTACAAGGAAATCAGCTGTGAAGAAAACTTCATATTGGAACCGTTTTCCAATAAAGCTGCAGGGGCCAGTACGATAGTTATCCAAAAATTGGTTTTGAAGGAGCAAGGCGAAAAACACTCTGGAGAGGAAAACGAGATATCAACGCGAACAAATCTCAAATTCGATCATAATATCCCAAAGCAACCGGCAAACGGCGATCTAAGAAAAACGAGAGATTTAATAAAAAAATTATGCAAAGAAAGCCAACATGACTTGCAAAGCGATTTTTCTGATTTGTTTGGAAAGTTCATTTATGGATTAAGGGGCTTATCGTATCCGGCTTTGTCCAGCTTTTATGCTCATAGCGGAGCTGCATGCCCTTCAGCAAAGTAAGTTGGTTTGCAGTTTTTAAAGCACACTCAATTGAACTGCTATTTCAGAGACACATTTAGATAGTCGATAAGGAGGTAATATGTAAAGGTATCTGAAAGTCAATTGCTTTTTAGTTTTTTAACTTTTTGAGCATTTTATTATTGACTTAAGTCAACTGCTTTAGTTTACTCACTACCCAGTTGAGTAGTTTAATTACCTAATAATTGGGCGTAGTAATTACTTTAAATTTGAGCAATTTCCTGAAGTTTTTAATATTATAATTTTTATTATTATCATAATAATTCTGGATTATCCAATCAATCAAATTTGTAATAGTAACACGGTTTAAAAGACATATTTTTAGAAAAACTCTTCAAAGATATTGGAAACGTTTTGATTGGGTAAAAATATCTCTAAAATAAATATGACCGCTCGCTTTGGCGTTTTGACCTAAAATCGAACTTCTCTCTATCCACGGGAATTTATTGGGCGTAATGCTATAAAAATAAGATTACAAAGCGTTGGTATATACAGTAAAAACACTGTTTAAATATATTGTAAGTGTGGAAAATGCTACACGAGCTTGTTTTTTTTATTTTGCAATAGGAGTGGACGTGAATGATTCGTTTCACAATTTTATAATTACTTTTTATCTGGCAAAGAAGCATGAATTTGAGAGAATATGTACGTTATTAGGATATTAGAGCATAAAAGCTCTTGATCGACTTGGGCTTAATGGAAGCAGACGAATATCAATATGATTTAATTTTTCGTGATGTTCAATTGTCGTATTCAGTGAGAAAAATATATCAAAATTAGTTTCTGAAGCTTGCTTTACAGCCAAAAACATTTACCGTACATAGTTAAAGTGGTACATAAAAATGGTATTATGGCACCAATTATTATTGAAGATGAAGAAACAATTTATTTGCGCTATTACTAAATAGCGTTATGTACAAAGTTTTGCCTCTGATGTATGATTAAAATGTCAAAAGCCGGAAAAGCGCACTATTGTTGCACTGAATGTTCGGGGTTACTCATTCAGTAAAATTGGAGAGGAGCGTTAATAAACAGACCCAAAACGATTTAACCGCCAATTAAAAGTCCTTTGATTTCTAGTTGAGTTGCTTACTCTTATTCTAAGTGTTTAATACATTCGTTATTGTTATTTCGTGGCTGCTCTAGATTTTTCCTCTATATTTGTACGTAATTCTGAACTTGTTACATGGCAGTTTATAGGAGCCATCGCTTTTTTTGTTTTATCGGCTATATACCTCGCATATTTTTAGATCTATTGTTTCTTCAATGTTTGTTATAATAGAGTAAATTAGTATTCAATGGTTCATTAATTTAATAGGTTTTTTTTGTAAAGTCGTATGCGTCTGTCGGTTTTTTATGAATATCTTTCTATTTTACCGCATTCTAACAGCTTTCGAAATATTTACGTTTTAATGTTAAACTGCTATGAACTAGCATTTTCGGAAATATTCGGAGAAATATTAAAATACCAACAATTAACTGAATAGGAAAATTACATGCATCTGCAAGATCATCCAGTCCAAAAAATTGAATTGAAAATAACTTTCACCCAATATTTTATCAACTTTATGTTTCATTTAAAGACAATCCTGTATTTGCTTATAAATATACTCAATACATGACTATTTTATTTAGTGTATTTACATTATACTCGTATATAAGGGTGGCCTGATGTGTACGGAAAATAAATCGGAAGATCAAAGAAACACAGTCTAGGTTAGTTCCGGAATTGCATTTTATAGGTTTTGTGTTTCCACTTTACTCTTGCATTGGTTAATATTAATAAACAACCAGAAATATTACAATTATGATCAGTACGAGTAATATGGCCGGTAAATAGGCAGATAGAACATTTGTTCTCCACTTTAGTTCTGGTCGGAATCGAACCAAATGCGGCAAACATCTTATAGGATCAGAAATAAAATAGCACATTCTACTAACGCCTTTCATATTTTCTATTTGTACACTATCTGCAAAATACATCTATACGCAAACTGAACGGATTAGGTCCCATTCTTCGTTGAAATCTAAACTTTTGTCCTTTGAAGTGTAGCACGGTGCAAAATCCTTATTAAATAATATCCTCTTGGACCGATAGACTTAACTGCCTGCATGAAAGGAAAACGCGAGGCAAAGAAAAGCTTGCTAAACTTTGGGGCTGAAAATACATCTCGGATACACGTTCAAAGTGAAATTTCATTCAAACTGTAGCAGCCCTATTCCGATATTTTGACCTAATTCGATTATGTTTGGAAAAATTAATACTCATAATAATTGAAACTAAACAGACATATGTGGACATTCATTTTGTATAACAATGCAGACATGTAGATGAAGAACATAATGTTCACGCCTAAAACGCACGGATAGAGACAATGGAGGTTCTGAGAAAATACAACAAATATGGGTGAAAGAATCGATGTTAATAATGGTATTATAAAAAACTGAGAATGGGTTTGAGTTCTGTAAATTGAAATACACAAGATACTTTTTAAAATAATCACGTCAACATTTTTAATTATTTAGTACCCACTTTACCGTTCTCTTGAACGTAAGCATTGGCACGACGAGTGATCTCTTCTATAGTAACTTCAGTTAAAATATTTAGTGCCTCAAATATGACACGTTAACACATCCTGTATATTCTGTAGTATTTCTGTAGAAGGAGGGAAGATATTCCTGTTCTGTTCCATTTATTTGTTCGTCGACGAAATAACTATTTGTCGCAGCTATAAATCCTAAATAGAAAGTTTTAGGCTGCAGTCAAAAAGTGCAATTTTTTTTTAGATCTATTCTAGCTCAGTTCTGTTTCTCATCAAGAGGTTTCCATTGACGAGACAGGATTTTCCCAACTTAATCAAAACACCTCATTTATTTACCACATTGAGTTTGAGTATTATTTTTCCTGTTATCTGGATAATTTATGGTTGATTCAGTTATCAGTGGATTCTTCTGAACCTCGGTTTCTCCTCCTTCATTAATTCCTCAAAGGAATAATTCGTACAGAACAAATGGTACTTTCCAGAATAGTTGTACGTTTGTCCTCTTCTTAAGTTATGCTCCTAAAGATTGTACTAGAAAATATACAGGGTTTCCCAACGATAGAGTAAAGTAAGTTTTAAGGGTAATCCAAATATGGTTTATTACCGGTATTATTTGTTTAAGAATTTTCGTCGGTTTATTGTAAAGGTACAATTATTGATTAATTTCAAAGTTTGATTTTTAAAAACAATTTATTTCCAAATTAATACAAAAAATTAATTTTAGTTGTAACCGAACCTTAACTATGACTTATGACTCGTATATCTTAAGGCTGTCTTTAGACTACGATTGACTATCTGATACTGAATTATCGTTTCTGATGTGCATTGTATATGCAAAATTTTATAGTTAAATTATGCTGATCCTAGCAGACACGATACTACGTCATAGTTTATAAGAATAGTTGGCATAAGTGGCCATATAATTGTACTACACTCGCATATTTTAAAAACATACGCATTACTACAGAGTGCGTCAGAGTTCTAGCGCAGAAAATAACTTTTTTCAATGGAAGATTGTATATTTTATTTATTTTTAAAATTTTTATGTTCATTTTCATTACCTTGTATTAACAATGAAGGAAAGTTAAACGGTTTCTGAGTTATTAGGCGTTAACGATGAAAACTCGCATTTTCATGATGTGGATAAATCCCAAGTTCCTCAGTTGTCTTTAGTCACAAAAAATCGAAATTTGCCAAATTGCTAAATATTGTGTCCAAAAAGAATAAATACATTTTCGAATTATCAATCTATCTATATTATTTTGAATAGCAAAAGATTATTGAAATTTACATACAAATTCAAAAATAAAATGAAATGTCGGGTGTTTCATTCGAATAAACTGTTTTTCTGCATCTTTTCTGACGCACTCTTTATAAATCTGAATATTTTTGAAACATGAGCGTTTAATACCTTAGCAATTTTGAAACAAGCAATTGCTGCAGTTAAATGTAAACTTACTTTACTCTCTGGTTGGGATGCCCTTGTACATAAATTTGGGAAAAAAAATTCTAAAATGATAGGTACTTTGAACCTGCATGATACGATACACAACAACATTGTTTGTCTAATATACAGGGTGTCCCAAAATTACATCCCTAGCCGTTGGTGTTAGACTTTATGATAAAAAATAAGCCGTTACTTAAAGTTTGTCCTGCAATTGCACATCAATGTTTAAAAGCTTCTATGTTGGAAAAACATAAATGCGTTCTTTAAGATGAGCATATATTTTAATGAAACTTTTGAAATTTTAACGTTAGTACTTTTCTAATAATTTTTGTTGATATACGCTACCCACAGTGTGCGGAGTTACTTTGGGACATCCTGTAGAGAAACTTGACATATTCTCAAAATATGATTTTGCTCCACTCGAAGTACGATTGAAAAGAAATAACTAATGAAAGATTATGTTGAAATACAGGCTGACTGTACATTGTGACGCTACATTATTAATAATCATTTAGTTGCTTAGTATTTAATAAATTTTCGACTAAAATTGATTTTAATCGAAATTAAGCGTCCAATATTTTTGCGGAGTTTGGCTTTAATATACATATTTAATTACAGTGCCAGAACCTTTGTTCAATGTGTCGACAACTTGAACTGGATAATCAAGTAATGCAATAAATTACCACACATTTGCCACTTCAAATAACAGAATAAAGATTGATTATTTTAACTGGAAACGTTTCTTTCAGAAAACACACTCTCGAGGCTCTTCCATATGTGAACACAGCAGGATCCTTAAGTCTAATGAAAGATATAATATTAGCTGATACAATATCTGAAAGCACTTTAGAAGACTGGATGTCATCGTTGGCATTCATACCCAATCCAGATAGGAGTATGATGGAGTCAGCTTTAGTAATCTTGACAGATAAACCATTTTCCACAAATATTGCTCTTAGTATTGCGTCTTTGGCTCATACCTTTTGTACAACAGTCCCCAACTGCGAACGAGTAACGGCTCTTTATTCAATTGTGGAGTATTTTGAAAACTTCCTTTCAGATCTTCTGGAGGAGAATACTGATGACAGAATTATACAAGATAAGGTAAGATTTTTACTATATTTTTATCACATTCAAAACATACTTATCACATTGTCAGCACCAATCGGTGGGTTTAATAATCCCAATTATCAAGGCAATTTAAATGACCATGTTAATAATTTGAATCTAAATAAAACTATTGGTCAATATCTCTTATCAAAATGACATGTGAATTCGAAACTACTACCAATTAAAGAGAATGTGGCCGTCAAATTAAATTTTGTGGTACGAATATATATTTAATTTCAAGTCATATTAACATTGTAATTATTATGTTAAATCGGCTGAAGCCGAATCAGCTAGCAGTTCAATTATAATGCTTGTTAAACTTAGTTTCCAGTCCTGGTCCATTTTGAAGTTTTAAAATGAAGCATTTTCTTTTCACGAAACTTGCCTTGGATCTTGCCATGGCAAAACTAGTATTCCTTATTATCGGCAAAACTTTTGCCTTAAACCCCAAACAGGAAAAGTTGTAAAATAAAATATATCTGCCGTAGATCATAGTGACACTTAAGGCATTGTCTACCATAGGATGGATATCGGATAAATACGAAGAGGAACTTTTTAAAGTTGTGGGTGATTCTAATCTGGACGTAGGTGTACGAGTAGCTGCAGTTGAAACTTTCAGACGTCTGCCATGCGAAAAGCACCGAAATTACTTTGAAGGAATATTTGGAGATCAACAACAAGACACAGAAGTTAGAATTGCATCCTATCTTCAAGTCATGAGATGTCCTAACTATTTGCTAGTTCGATCTATTGCCTATAATTTAAGATATGAAGAGGTAAATCAAGGTAAGTAGTCTAACTAAAATTAAATGTGATTCCCTTTAGAAAAGATTTCCTCACAGGCCGAAACTAGAAGCGTCTTTTATATTGAGAAAGACACTAAATAAACAAAGCGGTTTCTTAATTTTAGCCGCAAAATACAAATTTTATCAAAAATGAGAAGATATACTTAATTCAAAACCTGATAGCAACGGATTTGACGGGAAAGTTATATTAACGTTGACATGACTTTGCTTCAAGTTAAATGACTAATGAACATTCAAGTTTAATAACAGTGAATTTCTAAATATATTAAAGGCATTTATCGGACACGGACTGCATTACATGGGAGATTTTGAGAAAACAGAAAATAATTTAGCTCTACAAAGTGAACAAATGTCTCGGTGCAAAAGTTCTGATCTAGGAATTGCGAGACGATTTTTTCTGATTCACAAAACGTGGTTTAAAATTCCAAATTCGAATAGCGTCATTCTGAAAGCGTTCATAAATGGCTTCAATAGTTCTTCTAGAAACACACATGGAAGATTTTCTATCAGAGTACATGAACCACAGTAAAAGGTGTGTTTTATCAAATTCATCAACGTGAATTTAGAAAAAAGCGCCTCAGTCAGTCCGTTTTTCGGTATAAACATAGACAGATCTGATAAGTTGCTGGTAAAGCCGAGCTCCGAGGCCACGACATTAAATGAGGGGAAAAACTGCTTTATTGGAGACTAATTAATTGTCTCGCAAACGTTTTACAACATATAACCGTTATTTTGAACAATACCTATCTAAACGAGATTAATTTATTTTACCGGGTGTTTTTTAATATACGTCCTATATTTCACAGGGCGATCTCTCAGATAATTTAAAGATGAAATTACCTATGGTGATAAAGGGTGAATTAAGTGATAAAAAATTAACTTAACTTTTAGCTTTTTCTATAGAATTTTTGATTTAATATCGATATCTGCTCGACATTGCCTTAAACAGATGAGTCGATTGCTTCAAACTACCACATTTTTTATTTACACATTTTTAACACATGCGTCGAGTACTTTAAACGAAAATATTTAAACACTGTATTACGTAGCAAATTTTTATAAGAATATATTTGTTAGGTAAAAATCATAGAAAATTGACATTCTTTCCAAAAAATGTACACGAAATACAAACGTACACGAAAAATTCATGACTCTTCATAAGAGATACAGACATATAGTTAGATTCTCCTCTTTGCATCCTCTACATGTGAGAGCAAAAAAAAGGTTGGAGCAAATTTAGGCTTTTCATGTTATAAAACACCCAAATAATAAGTCTCGTCCAAATATCGATATTATTTCAAAAATTACGAGACAAAACGAAAATTAACATAAATCTTTTGACACCATATAGCTCGATAAGTAAGGTCTTGCTTTACTTATCGAGTAAAAATAATTGAGAAATCGGTCTCCAAAATATAATTTACTGAAAAATACCCGATATAAATAAAATATAAAATAAATATTAAAAGCTCTATTGAAATACAAAAAAGTGCAATCACTTTCATACTTTTACATAAATATTGTTTATGAGCGATAAAAAAGGAGAACGGTTACGAAAACTACAGTTTGAAAAGATTTTACGCTATAGTCAGCTTCTGATGGATTTATTTTCTGATTATCACATATTATTTAGTAGCACTTAACATGGTTTTAGTTTATGGTACAGCTTATTAGTTCACTTATATGTCCACAAGCAAGCGTATGTCCCTATTTTTTAAATTACAACATTCAATTATAGTAAAATGAATCGACTTTCCGCAATCAGCAGGATTCGATCTGTGATGTTCCCACTTCTTTTTAGCCAAGGGTGAGACCATTTAAACAGCAGAACGTAAAATTTCCAGTTCCTACCGAATTTCAGTTTTCTTTAGGGTTGTAAAGTTGTTTCAATTTACTTCAGCATGCAATTTGTAAGAATACGATGATATTACTTGTATCTCCAGCCATATCAAGGGTTAGTGCTGCAGGCGACACTAAAGTGAAACTAACATATCTACCGAGTCAATTTTTTAACAAAATAATTTATATGCAGATTTTTACATGTTGAGTACTTTTGATATAAATAATGCTGATTTGAGATGGTATGAGAATATACCAAATCTGATTTAAACAAGTTATTATTAAATTCATTATACAATTTTGATCGCCGTATCGCGTAAAGGTTTGAAAAATGATGGGAGAGCGTACACTATCCATTTCGCACAGTATAGATAATACAATTATAGGAAAGGAAATATAATATCTGAAGAACGCAAAAGCAATATTTTTCTTTATCAATATACAGGGTGTCCAGGTCAACAATGAAAATGAATACAGACGACCCGAAAATAAGACAGGTATGCCATTTTTCTTTATAACTGCGATCTTTGTTTGGCAGCTGCAATTTTTTTGTAACAAAAGTGGCTCATAGGACTCGTCGTTATAAATTGGAAATTTATCCGAAATCTTGATATTGTACAGATAGGTACAGTCAAAATGAACTTTTACGTTAAGTGCAAATATAACGATGTTACCAAATTCGGGCTCAATGTGATGAACGTGATAAAGATGAAGATTGCTGTTTTCGATATCTTTTAGGGTTTGGGAAATAAAACACTTTTTGGAATGATAAAACCAATAATACTAGAATAACGTAGATTGCGAAAATCGATTTATTAATTAAGGCAAATGTTCCAAATGTCTCGCCTTTATTTTCACACACTTTGCAAAAATGTGTAAATATTTAGCTTGCTCTGGAATAACATTTTTTGATCATTTGTCATAATGTTAAAATAGATAATGATTATATTTAAGTTTAGTTCACTCTACTTTTGTTAACTCAGTCACTTAATAATTGAAGTAGACCCACCAGAAAAAAATCCTAGGGGTTAAGGGTTAACAAATTTTAATATGTTTAGTTTTTATGATTACACACGAAGTGTTTTATTTTGAAAGTCCTGTAAGCCATCGAAAAATCGGGGCATTCATTTTCCCCAAAGTAATTTTAATTGGTTTTAAATAAACATATTTTTTATAACATTGTTGCTATTGAGAAGGATGAGCATCTTTGTGCCACTTTTCCACAACAATTTTACAAACGCTAAAGAAACAGCGTAATAATTATGAATAAATTTAATTTTTCGACTTGCCACTTTGATTGTTCATGACTCCTTAAAACAGTCAGATCGAAAAAAAATATATAAAATAGTGGACTTAATTTCTTGGCTTTTTGTACGTTATTATTATTGACCAACAATTTCAGAATACCGTGCTTAGCTGTCTTTCTCGTTTTAAACGTTAAGAAGGCTGACTAAAATAACTACAAATTACGCTAATTATGTGAAACTAGCAACTCAACAGTTTTTACTTGGGGATCCGCATTAGCTTTCATAGAATATCAGTTAATTTTTTTTAACTAATCAACTGCATAATAGGTTTTGTAAGTAAAAGAATTAAAACTTTCATCAAACTCAATAATTATATAACCTACGTCTATTACAATTTTAAAAATTGAGGGAGATTTCATGTATGATTAATTTATAACATTTTTCTGCACGAATATAACTTTATTCATAAGGATTTTTTCCTGGAATTTTCGATAACTTGAATAAACTGAAATTGGAATGTTTTCAAATTATTTTCAGACTCGTAAAAAAACTTGCAAATTATTGTTCATGCCAAGCATATCCAACGATGAGATATGCGTCCAAGACAATTGTAACATTCACATAAATAATTTTTTATCATTTGTTTTCATCAGAATTGATTTCAGCTGATTCCTTGTATTATTTTTTTTTTCTACCCGAAAATCTTTCAATATTTGTTTTATTCCAGTTGGATCTTTCGTTTGGTCTCATCTGCACAACATTCTAAAGTCAGCCAATCCGCTGAAGGTGGAAATTCAAAGTTTACTATCGGAAGAGGACCTAGTTGAGAAATTTAGTTCTGATTTACGAAAATTCTCCCATAATCGAGAGGGATCTTTGTATTTTGATGAGTACAATTTGGGTAAGATAATTTAACTTAAAAAATACAGGAAATTTGATAAACTAGTGGGAGTAAAGTTGCTAGTACTAATTTTGGCGTTGAATGAATGTACAAAAATATATTCCTTTCATTTCCTATACATTAAACCGCTATAATTCATGTTTTTCTGTACAGGTGGAAACTACGAAACTAATGTATTATTTTCACCCTCATCCTATATACCGAGAGCTGCCATGCTAAATCTTACAGTTGATTTATTTGGGAAACATGTCAACCTTTTAGAGGTAATACATTATAAAATAATCACTGGATTTTTAAACCATATTTCTTACAATTTTAAAGGTTTACGGCAGAGTGGAGGGTTTGGAACGCTATTTAGAATCGTTTTTCGGACCAGGGGGAAAGGCCAATACCTTCAAAGAGAAAATGGAGGAATACAAAATGAGATGGATTAGAGAGACTAATACTAATAATCCAATTGAAAGCAAAGTACAGGAAATGGCCGACACTGCACGAAATACTAAGAATGACCCAACAGTAAGTGGAGGATTTAATATCTATCTCTAAAAATTGGCTGTGTTTATATCTGAAATTTGAAAGAATATCTGACAATAACCGATTTACGGAATTGTAATAAATCACATAATCAAAGACTATAACTGTTACAGTGGCTATTTCTTACTTTTTTTCTTACTTTATAATAATTACTTTTTTTACTTCATAATAAATTTATAAATAAATATATATAACATCAGCTTGCTTGAGATGAATTATTGACCCTTAATTAATAGGTATATTAAAAGTACAAGTAATTATAATTTTTAATAATACTAGAGCACGCCAGGCCTCTAAATTGCACTCATAAGGAAAATATGAAACCGTACATACACTTACAACCGATGTTTCCTAAATAAAGCAATTTAATTGTTTTCACGACGTACGTAAGTGAAAATCATTAAAATTATTTATGTTTAATTTTATTATTTATATTTTTGTCGTACCTTTGTTGGAAAGTATATTTTTGTTCTAATTAAAATTGTTTTTCCAACATGTCGCTCATTACGACTAGCTTTCATATCAGCGATTTTATTTTTAATGTTTTATTTCTTTCTCCTCAGTCGAGGCATAAACCATATTATGTGCTACCGGAAAATGTCTCGCATTGCATTCACCTTTGATATTAGCAGATTCACTGCTTAAACTTTGCTCATCCGAGCCTCGTGTAACTCGAAATAATACTTTGAGATACAACGTTTCGAATTACATCTTTGTTTCGTATCAGAAAATGTGAAGAAAATAATGTGTTAACCATGTCGATCACAGTGTGGCAAAATTAATTCGATTGGTATGGGAACAATTATAATTTATTCCGTTCCTTTAATTTTCAAAATATTTGATTCTTCTCATGGATACCTATCGTTTGTTTATGCCCTAAATGCATAATGGTATGACACAAACTAATAAACTGATCAAAAGATGTGCCAATCGCTAAATCAATGTTTTCACATTTCCTTACTGTGCAAAATACAGTTGTTTGAATATGATGTCTTGTAAGAAAACTACACTACTTCTGGTCCCCTTAATGTCGGTAATTTGCGTTCAATAGCAAATAGAGTTCAAGTGATTTTCGAATATTCAGGGCTGAAAAAGTTTGTAATAAAACACAATTAAAATTCGACAGATAAGTGTTGACAAATGGACGTTTTGCATTCACATTTTAATCTAAAATCAAAATATAATTTAATGGGATCGAACGAATGCCCCCGAATCATACAATCAAATGGGGGTCAAATCACACTTCCGGTTTTTCCTGATGCGTAACCATTTTAAAAATATTTTTCACAGTAATTCAATAAATTTCATGTCAGTATGATTTACTAACACTTTAAATAAAACAATACGAATGGTTTGCGTAAATCAACTAAAAGAATTTTTGATAGTTTAGTTTTAATTTTGAATTATGCTCTTCTGTACTGAATTATTGAAAAATTAAATAAAAATAGATGCTAAAACTAAGTCTAAAACTAATCTTCTAACTAATACTCTTTATGCAGTGAGAAATATGTTGTGTTATATGCTCGCCGTATATAAAACCACTTTTAATCGGTTTTACCTGATTAAAGAAATAATATGAAAATGAACCCAAATACCAGTAATCAAACAATTTTAAAAGCTGTTATCAAAGTAAGCGAAACCTTGATTATGGTATTGGCGAAAGATGCTTCATTGTTTTTTTACCAGACGCTATTTCATGAATGGGAAGGCAATGACAATGATTATATTTGCTGTTTATAAGGACAGTATCATGTCAAGTATTAATTCTTATATTTATCAACAATCAACGCAAGCCGAACTTTGCATAAAAGTTCTAACGAGTTTCAGTATTTATCTTTTCGATTTCCAAACTTTTTCAGGCGTAATTTCAGCGGGATTTCTTGGAAACAGAAAAGTTTAATTCGTAATGTTATTTGCCTGTTAACAAAAAAAAATTTTTTGCAGATCGCTTTTGGATTCAAGGTTTTCGGAAATGATTTGAAATATGCTAGCATCAAAGGAGATCGGGAAATTCAGGAAGCTCTGGAGTATTTTAATTTCCTTAACTATCTCAAAGAGATACTGTCTGGAAAGGTAATCGGAAATACTTCTGTTGATATCTAAGACTTTAATTAACTTTGCTCTTATTAGTTATAAGTCATTACAGATCATTTAGGTAAACCCTTTCAAGTCATTCTTATTTTCTTTTGCGTTCAGGAAATTCAGTACAAAAAAGCTACAATGTTTCTTGACAGCAACTACGTCGTTCCCAGTGGAGCGGGACTCCCGTTGTTCCTTTCAGCTTTGGGAACAGCTTCAGTCAATATCAAATTATATGGATCTCTAAAAGCCGCAGGTTTTACAAAAAAGAAGGAACTGGATCTGGTTGCTAATTTCGAACCCAGCGCTTCGATAGGTATTTCAGGGGAAATGTCTTTGAGTGCATTCTATGAGAGTACAAGCGTTAAATTGAAAACGGATATGCAATCATCAGTGGCCGTTAAAGGAGATATTAAAATAAGAGCGGCGAAATTGGTTAGCATAAAATTCAGTTTGCCAAAGAAGAACACAATACTTTTCGGAGCAAGGTAAGAATCACCCGAAGCGCTGTATAAAAATGAATGCTTGTTATAACCAACTTCAATTTGACTACATGTACTGAATTGACTTGGTGATTTAAATATGCCCTCCTTCTTTTTCGCCGATGCCTTGGAACACCTGGAAATAAAAATGACAATTCTTTAGTATTGCATTTTGTTTAACAATCCTATTGCAAATATGCCCAACTTAATATCGTTTAACAAAAAATAAATATCCCACAATTGTTACTGAATAATTATTAATTAAATAAGTTACAACATAATTAAAAACATGTAGTACTCTAGTATTCTATAGCTATATTCGCAAAAAATATTAATATTATTAGGCGAACAAAAATGCACAAATCTGAACAGTTGAAAACTGTTCGATTTGCTACTGAATTCACGTTTTTAGAGAATGGTTGGTATAAAAAATATTGGTTTTCCGCCAGATTATTCATCAGTATTTTTGTGTAAATTCACTGGCGTGTTTTTTACAATTTCATTTTGAGCCATACAAAAGAGTTTGGTGTATTTCAAGGTTCATTTTTAGGATTAAAATGCATACAAATTTCGTTTGAATAGTAGTAAGGTTTCCCTGCTTTTTGTTTCGTATATTAATTCGATTTTCGTACCGGTAATTTAATTGGTACATATGAATGAAAAATTTGGAAGCAATGTTTCCGAATTTGTACCATACATGTGAGTGAGTATTATTTAAATATTCATTTATGGCTAAACTTTGTGCGATTTAAGGTTTTACTGATTTTTGGCACGTAGCTTGGCAACGCTTTGCTACAGCAATATTAGTACAGATTTAAATAGCTGAAATTGAAGTTATTTAAAATATCTTTACTAAATTTATATGTATAACTTTCAATCTACTTGCACCAAATTTTTCAGTAATAATATCTAAGACTGGTCTATCTTTTGCTTTTAATTCTATCTTTCATTGTAAGACTATTTGAAAAATGTCTTCACCTTAATTAAGTGGAAGATCACTCTATAGAACAATGTTAATAATTGTTAGCAAATTAATCAGCAATATAGAAAAAAAACTCATCCAAACCATAAAAAAACACATTATATTTTGATTGTTTAAGTTTAAATGGAAAGTCGAGTAAAAACTCAATACCGCTAAACAACCGATACTGCACAAATACCCAATAAAGCGGTTGGCGCTGGACTAAATGCAGCAATATCTCCACCTAATTCACGGCTTACATTCGCATTACATTTGCTTTCTAATTTTAAAAAGCACCTTAATTCGATTTATTAATAATTTTTCCAAGTTTCCTGGTTTTTATAATCCCGTAGGATATATTACAAAGCGAATGCCAAGTATTTGTTATTGCATTGGCTTTTTGCTAATAAAAAATACTTTCAATTGAATAGAATCAATTCTTTTTGACATCCCTGCAGCACTGCCATGCTGATGCTTCAGCCGCGGCTGCCTCCATTTGAAGGTGCAGAAATCACATAAATTAAGTCTCTATTTTATTTTTTGTCATTACTCGAATATTCTGCAATCACATGCTACCATTATTTGTAACTTGCTATTTAGTAAAATAGCGTAAAATGCGATTGAAAAAATATTGAGCCCTTGTCCGTCCTGTTGTAATATCAGGTCTCTGCACCAAACAGGAAATTCGTTTTTGTTTGTTTAGTTATCCGGTAAAAAATATTTCACCGACTAATCCATGCATTTAATTCCCCCTGATCAAAAACCGTCACGTTCACATTATATAAATACACCTATTTTGTGTGGCGTGTAAAAGATTTTAAGCAGAGCAATCAAGCCCTAAAGCGCAAACATTTTAATTTACTCATTATATTTTAATTGAAAAAGATTATGACGTAATCTATAGTTAATAATTTTTTGATATCATCGCCTGTAATGAAATTTATTCAGAAAAGGGTCGCCCAATTTCAAGAGATGTGTTATGGTATAATGCACAGTATGTCCAAGAATCAGGACCGCAAGATGAGCATAAGAAATAATAGAATTTTGAAAGATTTTTTCGAAAGATCCATAACTTTCTTGCTTTAGTAAGTTTGGCCTGGAAATGAAAGGACTAAGTAAAGGCATAATAGGCTTTCGGACAATTCAGTAAAATGTTACTAATTTTTTATTTCATCATACTAATTTTATAATTTATGTTATGTGTTGTTTGTATTAAATTGATAAGTTAAAGTTTATCAAAATAAGAATTTTTTAACTCAGTTAAAATATCTCCCTCTAATAACGTAAATTAAAAAGATAAACTCCCACACTTTTTGCCTGGTGCTAATATATCATATTTATTAACTTAATTCAAATAATTTAAACTTTTATGATTAAGGGAAAAATCACATTCAACTTTTTCTTAACAAAGGAGGTCGTAAAGAAGTTTCAATGCCTAAGATTTCCCTGAATTTCACATCGAAAACAAATTGAGGGTATGGATTTAATTAGCTTTCCATAAAGCATTCAATCGATTTTAAATGAAAATCAAATTGGCAAGTACTTTCTGAAGCATTCTAGACTTTAGCAGTTGTTTATACAATGTTGCTTTACGGACAAAGACATTTTTTCATCCAGACTTCACGGAATATTCACGGGATTTTTAAGTCATTGATCGTTTGTTGCTAGGCAGGATAAAACTTTTCAAATGAAACAAAAAATTGAGTTTGTTTTCATCATATTTAATTCTGAATGATTCACGATGAAACGATTTTAAGTTTTATTTCCCCTTCACTGATTGCTAATCAAGTATTATGCTTTACATTTCAAGAATTAGTGTCGGCCCTACAAAATGATATCATGGAACTAGAAACATTAACTTGAGAAACGATAATATTTAATTATTAAAATTTATGATAATGAAAAAAGTAATGTGTTGTAAAAAATATTTGGGAAATAAACAGTAGCAGACATTCGGTTTCATTAGAAATGCAAAATTTATCCATCACCTAGAAAATTATTACAGCAAATCTGTAATATTTTCCATATAGTTAAACAAATTGAACAATGAGTTTCGAACAACATGGTAAGGTATTATCTATTGCCGGTCAAAACAGAAACTTTCTTTCTTCGATATAGACATATTTATGATATATGAACATTTAACGCTTGTTATTGTGTGAAATTTAATTTAATACTGAAACAACACTGTCAGGACTCAATATAATACTGGGGCTTTTAGGTGGAAAAGCAACATAAGAGAGAAATTCTATCTCAAATATTAGTCAGTCAATCAATTATCCAGGTTTAATTTAAAACATTTATTTCCTTGTTGCTCTGCTAATTTTAGTTTTTAAACGATAATTAGATACAAATAATCAAATTTATTCAAAGCACTGGCCGGAGCGTACGATGCCGTAAGTAAGATATAAACCATACACAGCTTCATGGGGAAGAGACATTGTGTTAACCAGAATTTCATCTCGACATTTGAAGCCTTAGTTAGTTGTTTGTATAAACCATAGCTCAAAAACAAAGTATCTTAATGCATTTACAGAATGTCTAAATTTTATTGCAAAAATGAAAAACTATAATTATCTTCAAACGCATGGAATTACTTAAATTAAACTTTACGTTGATCAATTGCCAAGGAAGTAGATGTTTTGTCTACCTTTATTTAAAAAAACTGAATTTTCTTTTCATTACATTAATTGTGCATTTTTTGGTGCTTAACATATTATTATCAGTATTAATTAAATATTAGTACTACATCTCCAATAGAAAAAGATTCATGGGTAAATAGAGCTCAGAGGTGGTAGTAATAGAGATTTTTGAGAGCAGCAGCAAAAGTAAAAAAAAATAATTTTTTACAGCTTGTGCCGTGCACAAGAGACAGTATTCAGAGCCGCTGCAGCATTGTCGTCAGAAAAATCCATAGATAGACTCACACTCACAACCTTTTTGAATAATGTATTGCAACTTGAACAGTTGATGTCAATTTATTGTCAGCTGCTTCATAAAACACCTTGTATATGAGACTGAAGCGAAAATACAATTCTTGCAGAATAACCTTAATTTTGTGTCCTTAACAATCCAATAAATATAATTGTGAAATGTGGCCACCCAATTTGGGATTCCATTTGTATAAATTGTAAAAATTCTCTAAGTTTAGAATATACAAAGAGATTTTTGGTTAAACCTGGAACATTAGCGAACACTTCCACAAAAACCACTGCGACCTGACAACTTAATAAAGAATGATATTTCATTTTGAATGTGAGTCATCTTGATAAAGTCACAAAGAAAATGTAAAACACGAATAAATATTATAGGTGAAAGCTCTAGGGTTGCCTTAAGTGTATCACTTTACATAATATGAAAATTTGAGGTAAATTCAACGACTGCCGAATTTCATAAGGAAAACGCATACGTGCTACTTAAATATGGACCCTCAAGCTTTCTGAAGAGTCATATGTTGAATATATTATCGTTGTGTGGACCAACTACCGAGTTCAAAAGAATATGTGTAAAACCGTCAAGAAAATATACGGCTTTTCCAAGGTTCATATACTTTGTACATCAACTAGTTTTAAATTGTTTCAATTTTCCTTCAAATTTTGTTTATTGCGTAATTATGTTGTAGATCTGAACTGTTGGTGAGACAGCAGAACATAGAAATGCCGCAAGAAGGCCTCACTGAAGCTACGGTCTCCAATAGTTTATGCTCCTGGCAAGCAATTTCGGATGCAATCGGCTTAAAACTGTGCTTAGATTACAGTTACAAAAACACCACTGCTATACCTTCAGCTCCTATTTTTGCGATAGCAGGACCAACTAATTTTGATGTGTATGTTCAAAAATCAGACCCAACAGCAAATGTATATTTATTTGAATACAAATGGTCACAAGGACGAGATCTCAGTATGATTTCATTGACTTTTGATACTCCCGGTTCTATGATCAAAAGGCTTATGCACGCCAACTTTACAATTGATAAAACGAGTAATAATTTAACTATGCTCATGCAGTCCTCTTCTGGGATGATATTAGCCAGAGGCCGAATTAAAAACACTGATGACCAGAAGATTTTTCAGGTAAGAAAATTTGAAGCTTAATTTCGGCAAGACACATCTTCGACTTTTGAACCACTTTACGTGGCACCTACTTCGAGTTAACCACTTTTGAATATTCGCCAAGTCTAATGCTAAACCATGAAATTATTAATTTCGTTAATATTTTACACTTTAATTTAAATAATTCGCTTTCTCATTGCGTGTGATGTTAGGATATACCTCAAGTTACAATGGATCGACGGTTTTTAAAATAGTATTTGCGATATTTTCCATGGATTACAAATGGAAAAGTGGTTGAACTTATTAAGCACTTGAAATGTTCCCTGAAACGCTCAATGGGCCTATGGTCGCGTCTACCAGGCGGTCAATTCAAAATTTTCATACTTACTTCTTGGGTAGCTTGAGTATTTATCTTATCAAATACCCTAAATAATGTGATTTACTTTTCGTGTCGGTTTAAGTTTAGCTTAAGACAGCACAGACATTATTTTTTTCTGACGGGAACACTCTTAAAAAAGTAACGACGGTTTTGCATGAAAACTTGTCAAGACCTCAAGAATTTAAGCAACTGAAATTAAAATAATAGAATTTTTAAAGAAACAAATGAATAAATCGCTACCAAAAAAGGAAGAACACTTTAAAACTTTTGTTGTATATTTCGTGATAGTTCTTAGAAAGTATGAATCTGGAAGTAATTCATATAAAATAACAACTAATTTTAATGAAGATAGCTTATAGTTTAAGTGGCCACGTTCTGATTCGACACTCAATTTAATTTATCGAATTATTGGCTGAACTTTAAAATATATAAACTAGTGGGTTTTAGCGGCGTCGGGTTTTTAGGCCGTCGTAAAATGGAATTTCTTCCTGACGTTTCGCAAGCACGAGTGGCTCGCATCGTCAGAGGTGGATCTTGTTTGATTGCTTACACTGTTCTGGTGCATAACAAATTTCAAAGAATGGCCTCGAAAGTCTATCTCTTTTGATCTGAAATATGTACTTGATGAGCGAAATGGTGACCGTTAAGAACCATTTGGACTCAAACTGTTTACGTTTTCAATACCCCGTAACTGCAAATATACGTATTTACTTCTAGAAAAAGACCTTGTTAATAAAACAGCGCAACGAGCTGCGATGCCTGCAATAATTATGCTTCATGTTTGGCAGTTCCAGACCATCATTTACATATCAAAATATTTTCCTTTTGAATCTATGTTCAAATGCATAAGGCAACCATAATAGTACGTAAAATACAGCATCGTAGCTTCAGAAATTCCATATAAACTTCCCATGTTTGTGAATGAAAGAAACTGCATTAGATGTATTTGTTGTGCTGATGTCGATTATAATATGTCTGTAAATGCAAAGATGACATGATAATTGTATGAAAAATGGGAATTCGCCATTTTACAAATTTATTGAAGCGATAAACAATTAAATACATGTTTCTATTTTAGCAGCTATTTTTTCTTTGAGAACATTACATTGGTTAAGATAAGGTGCTCTCATTTTCAACAAAACTTCCCAAACGTTTGTAGAAGTATTTTAGTATCTTCACACACTTAACATTTTACGTAAAGGTCTATATCTAATGCACTTTACATTTGCCAGGGATTTCAAAAAAATTTAATCATTAATATTCACTGTTTAGAGATATCAAGACGTATATCGGGCCGTATAAATTTCTTAATTTCTGAAAATATACCCCTTACGTTTCTGCTTACTCTTCATCAACTTTAATTTAAATGCTATTTTTGAATTTCAGATGACTCTTGATATCAACGATATGAAGCATTTTGATGCTAGCTTGGCCTATGATAGAGTCAAAAAACTTAATGGATTTGCCTACAAACCAAAGATGTATCTAGGCATTAACGGTCAGCGTGTAATGGAATTGCAAGGTAAGTTTTCCAACATATTTTAACTATTCAAGACGCAACTATTGTGTGTCTTTTTCTTCATAAAGTCGTTTTTTAAATGTCTTTTAAAAATTCTGAAAGACGATTCTGGTTTGATTAAAGCAAAAAAATACAATAAACTTCGCAACAAGAAAATGATCGTTAAACACATGAAAATTTTATGATAGTAATATGTAAAACGGCTTGGGTCAGATTGAGGCTCCCAAGCAGTCAAACACGCAGATATTAATATTTAAATATATGTTTATTTTCCGACCTAAATATAGAATTATCGTAGGTTTCAGCTACTTTGTATTTTTTGTGTTTTTGATTTGTCGTATGTAAATAGATCAAAGAGCCGTTGCAAACTAGATCACAAAGCTTAAGCAAATCATGTGGATCGAAATGGATATGTTTTGATTTTACGAGTCATTTATGTAGAAATTTATTACATTTTAAATTAATTTTTAATATCAGTAGACATCTGTAGGTTGTTGAATTTAGCAATTGTGTATTTCCATTCCAACTCTTGCAGTATTTAAGCCATTTACTTCAAACTTTGGAGCTTTAAAATGTGGAATATTTTAAGTATCGGCCTATAGTCCTCAGAAGACAGTGTCAAAATAATAAATGTCGAAATTTTTTTCTACTTCAAAAATGCAGGATAATTAAAAGCTAAGCAAGAGAAAACGTCTTAATTAAAAAGTCTGTACTTTGGAAACGAATGGCTTGCGGATATGGGGATGTTCACCTGAACGTTTTTACCAATTTTGGTACTTTATTTTGTTAATATAATTATTGATTAACTAATTGTTTACAACCACATACATTTTTTCTTCAGCGTCCTTCTTAAAGTGGTACAAGATTTTCATGTAGATTCTATTGTAGATTTGGATTTATGTATCTATTTATATTTTAGACATAACACTAAACTGTGTTTATTTTCTTGAAATCAATTTCCTTAAATGACAAGACAGGAAATTCAATCTTTTGTAAAGGCCTTATGATAGTATTATTTGGCGCAATATACAAAGCGGTTGAACCTGTATATTGAAAAGCCTAAAATGTATATTACCTACATTTTAAGTAGCTCCAGCTCGCATTCTATATTCTAATTGATAAACCACGAAACGTTAAAATAAACAAAGGTATACATTGAAAGCATTCTTGCTTACATTCTCTCAGTTTGTTATTGTTTGAAACTTAATTTACTGAGATCACAATGAAGATAATTTACCAATAATAACGAAAAGGAATGCTAAAGCGTCTACCGTTTTAAGATATTTCTTTAGTACTTTGTTCCAAATTAAGGCAATCACTACGGCGGGCAGAAGAAATGTTTGAACGGCACTTAAAATTTAAGCAAATACTTAACAAAATCAACTGATCAATTCTTATCCTTTCATGTTTTCTCATTTTCCTTTATCAGTGCTTATATTTTCAAAGGGAAACGTTTGAAATAATGAAGCTTATATAGTTGGAAATATCTGTAAAGTTTAGTTTTTAAGTAAAGGTATACCTTTATTAATTTGTTTGTTGTCACATAGGTCATGAATATTATATATCTAGCGGCCCAGAAAGCTCTCAGTCAGCTGTAGGTTTTGTTAAATTTCGTTTTTAGAAAATGAAGTTACTTCTAACAAAAACTAAAATACATAGAACTGGAATTTGAATTAAATTCAGAATAACAAAAATATAAGGGATTTTAAAAATTATTTCCGCATAAAGGAAATTTCAATCAACGCTTTAAAATAACTTTCCCAAATGTGTAAAACTCACTTCTAAATCAATTCATATGAACTTTATGAAAGTAATTAACTTAACTAACTAATTATTATCGCCAAAAGTTCAAAACACTGTTTTTGCTAGATTTTGCGAAAATCCTCCTTTTTTTCAACAGACAATAGGCACAAGTAAAAATAATTCTGTTTTTATTTTTATCGAAATATATGCTTTATTAAATAAAATAAATATTAACAACAATGTATCGTCGGTATACAAGAGAAGATGACGAAATCCAATATTTTATATTTGTTAGTTTGTAATTTCTATTTACCGTAAATTCAATTTTATCTATCAGGAAAAGAGCAGAACTTTCAATTGTTTAAAATATTATTATAAACTATTCTGATGTAAATTGATTGGTTTTATAATCAAAAGCACATGCTGTATGATGGAACCATCTGTAGCCTTGTTCACCCTCTGTTGTAGATAGACGATATCTAGTAAAAGTTTGATTCAGCCAAATCGGAATACAATGAAAACATTATGGAATTGTCAACTTTAGTAAAATTTTGCTTAATGTCGCTGTTCTCATTTTTCTCGTCGAGTAGTTTAGGAAAACCCAATTTTGCAGATGGAACCGTAAGGAAAAGCAACCACCACATCCTTATGAATAAATAATTTAACAAATTTGATTTTAGCTCCAGCGTTTCTCATTTGGTAAAAGCAACAAACGCGGTTTAAATAAAAATGATTCATTCACAAATAGCCTTTTTAAATCCCCCGTGGCAGTTTTTGTTGTTAAGCCGATAAAAATAAACCTAGATTCACTCAAACCGTATATGGATATGAGAATAAAAATAATTAGAGGGAATCCGGATTTAAAGCTAATTGAAATTCGATTCCAGAAAATTGCGCACAGTTGTAAACGAATCTGAATTCCTCGCTTCATAGGTCTATATATCATGTAACGGTTAGGAAAGTTACGGGCGTTATGGGCCCTTTTGCACGTAATTGATTGTTGTCAGAAGTTTAATCAAATTTTCTTGCTTGCAAGCACCGAAGTAATTACTACCGTAGATATCGATATGAATATCCCGTATAGTCGGTTACCTTATTTGAAAGAAGGAATTTACAAGTAAATTATGTTTGCTCTGTGGATTGGCTGTATAATGCTTTAATTATAATTGGAGAAGCCGTGCGTTTGATGAATGCATTTAAAATAAACGCATAATCAATACAAAATTGCTTAAAGTACGACAGACGATGCAACTGAACTAAATGATAGGTTCGATACAGTTTTGATACCGTCACACAGTCATGTGTACGTACTAAAAATTATTACGGTTTACACTATTTAACTACACTCATGTCTTAAGTTAATTAAAATTCTTATCAGCTATTTGAATCACCTTTATCAACTACTTTTATGCACATTCAGTCATTATATGTCCTTGTTTTTATGATTTTTAGCACTTGAAGCTGTTCTGAGTCATGTAATTTATTTATACTCGGTCTATCTAGGCGAAGAACAGATATTCAGTCAAGAGTAAAAATAAAGTTAATATTCAAATTACTGCATTCATGACACCACAGAAAAATGTTTGAAGAAGTAAGATGTTAACTTTATTAAGCAAATGCATTCTGACCAAACAATATGAAAGTGGTACTTCAAAATAGTAATTGAGTTTCATTTTCCATTTAAAGCAACTTTGCTTTTACTATGGGGGTGTTGAGAGGGTGCGATCAGAATCATTTCATAGAAACCGGTTGCCACCTCTTTCAATAAAGGCAAAACGTGTGAGCAAGAAGTATCCTGCTCATAAAAGTAATCGTTCAGGTGGAAATTAAAAGTTTCGTTGATATCTCGTAGTTCTTCGGTTATGCGTCCCTGTCCAGAATGATTGGGTTGCCTTCGTCTGTCGCAAATATTTTATTTTTTATGAGGTTTATAAGTACAATTTAGCGTCCTGTTTTTATAACGGTTGTCTAATGTATCAAACTTCAATTTTTGCGCTTTACATCAGAAATTCCAGGATGTGGTTATGATAAAGTTTCAGTTATTATTCATAGAGAAAAATTCAATTCTCCTGCAATAAAACTGCTGCAGTGCTGCCTGTGAAACATTTACATGGAATGACTCGAAACCTACGCTTTTGACACTCCCATAGTAAACCGTCTTAAGCAACATTAACTAACATTTTAAACGCACATCGCTAATTTTGGATTCTACATTATTTAAATTTTCTTTTCTATATAACTATTAAAAAACTTTCTCAAAGCAAGTTTTAGGTAAAAAGTACCTAAACAATTCTTCAAGTAATTTCTGTATGAAATATACCAGACCGGTAATTCAGCTTCGTTTATTTAAATAAAAAAAATAAACGTGTTAAGGAAAATCCCTTCTGAAAATACATTTTACTTAAAATTTTCCACAGAAGGTCCTCTGGCCTTAAAAAAATGGACCAATTTGAAAATTCGACTCCTTCGTCGGTCTGATATATTAGGTTATTAAATTTCTTTATTCAACCAAAAAAGACAATGTTTTGTAAAAATCTCCTTCTATAACATTTTAACCGAAAACACCATAAAACCTCTTCTATAAATTGCAAAACTCTTTGGAAGTAAAATTTGCACGTTGCAAAACTTGCATCCTTCATCAGTCTGATATATAAAATTTCACTATTTATTTTTTAATTAACACAGAAACTAGAGCTTTCTAATAAAATGTTCATTTAGAAAAGTAATTGTTTACCTTACAAGTGCCCCAAACTATCTTTACCAAATTGCCTTTTATCTAAAATGACTATGTTGGAAAACTGGCAGGCGTCATCGTAACATAGTTTATACTTAATATTTAATTTTTTTTATTTTTTACTTAATATATATTTATATTATACATTTATACATTTTTGTTTGTAAACATTAAAAAATTCAATTAAATTTGACAATAAGTGTCGATAAAGAAACGCACAAAAAGCATATTTTGTTACCTTAGAAATACTTCCACCTTCATTTGATATACGGACAGTTTTTTCTGGATTTATTCTTTAATGGGTTTGTACACAGTTAAATTAAATATGTTTTTTTACAGTGTTAATTTACTTTTATTTGTTTGAATTGACTCGCGATTTGGATATTTTTGTCGCTTTTGATTAAAGAACAATTTCAGACTCGCTAAGAAAGTGCGGGTTTCAGGTCGACAGATCTGGAGGCGTCAATGTCCAGGGACCGATTTAAATTTGCCTTCTAAAGAATTATGTCTTGCCGTGAGTGCTACCTGGCAGGGCAGTTATAATCTAAATATCGATTTATAAAAACAAATTTATGAAATAGAAGAAAGAATAAATTATTTATCTTTCGGATATATATAATATTTTCGCACTTCTATTATTTCCTAATTATACCCATGATTCGTCTATGAATTTAACGCAAAAATACACACGTCATCGGAATATTTCCTTCTTCAAATTACAATTTGACCTTCGGCAATTGCTTTCAGGTCCCAATTAACACCCGAGATATTAGGATTATTGTCAAAAGGATTGTTTTTCCAATTTTGTTTTACCACCAAAAATATTTTTTAATCTAAGATTAACACTGATGCAGAAAGTGTTACCAGACCAGTTTGAACAATCGTCTTCTAGAGTTCTTACAATTTGCTTCTCTTTGTCAGTCTCTGATAGGACACATTTAAAGTGGGAACATTTTAACGATTCACTATATGATCAATACTACAAAGTAGTTGGATTAAAAACCACACAATTTGTGATGTCCCACTTCACTTTATGTCACAGATGACCAAATTTGTTAAAAAATTGAAACACTTGCAAATGGAAAAATATGGAAAACAGTTGCACTTTATACCTGACTACTTTCAGTTAAATCGACATATATTGACCAATTTCACCCTTTTATTAGCCTCTGTCGGCTTCCAAATACCCTGAATATTATGCATTTTTCGATTATTCTGTATAGACAAGTTGATTTTTTAGTCATATAGGCTTATTGAATAAATGTTTGCTCATACAAATTGCGACATTTGGCACACTTATGGATATTTCAATAATTTCAGTCTAATCCTCTTAGACTTGCTGCTGAATACAATTAGCTAAATTGTATTAGCACATCAATTTATTGCAATTTAATAAAAGAAGTAACAATTATGCCTTTGAAATAGTTATGTCAGGTTTCAATTCATTAACCATTCCCATTGAAGCCGGGGTACAAAGCAAAATGTAGATCGAACGGCAAATTTAGTTAAACGCCTCAGGGTAAACTCTCAATGAAAGTGCAATACCAATCCATCTAAATTAAGTTCTTTATCTATTGTAATCGTTGCATGCATAACCCTATCCTCAAAGTATTATTACGTAACAAAGCATTGTTTGTTGGGTAGTTAATCAGCGTCTAATTGTGAAACCAAGCTAATACCAAACCCTGACGTTTGAATACCGAATAGGTACTTATTGGTTGATGGCTGTAACGTTTGATGGATTTTTCATTAATAATTCATAATTTCCTTATTATATGTTCTAAATGATGAAAGTTAATACGGAAATTATTTTTAGATAAAACGAGACAAAAACTGGTTTAGCGCTTTTCAACAATCATAATAAATCTTTCTCTTTTAGAAGCTTTTAGCTGGTTTTGGAAAGTAAACAGGCGTTTCGCGAAGCTTGCCTTGCGGAGACGACGGTTTTGAATTTATTATATTTAAACTTAAAAATGTTGTCTTACAAAATAAATTTTACACCTGATTCAATTCAAAAAATGTATATGTACAACACTTTTCCTTTTTTCAGGCTCGATTGATCTAATCAGCAAAAAAGAAATATCTCAGTATACCGTCGACTTGAAGTTTCAAACCAAAAGATTGACTTCAAAATTATTTGGGTATATTTCTAAGACCGACTCTTCAATTGGAACCGACTTACACATGGATTATAAGTTTGTAAATGTTAAAGAGCAGCGGCTTTCAGTAAGGTTAAGCTTGGCCAATCGATCAAGAAAAAATCTCGCAGTTGTTATCGGGACATGCGATGTCTCATCCACAGCTTATCCAGAATTTAATTTTAATGGCAATGTTACATTCCAGGTAATTATCCAATTCTAATTCCACCCTACTCTGAAAGACCTTCCTAAATCTACTTAAAATAATATTTATCTTCTCTTTTATAAGGAAAAGAGTTTATAATTAAAAACGATTTTACATTTAACTTGTATTCCAGAGAAGCGGCAGTCACATGGAATTTAAAGTAGGCTTAATACAGAATCCTTTGCCTTTAAATGATCCAAATTCAGATTTTGAAAGCCTTAAATTTGATTTCGTCTTCTCCCACAAGGCTTTTAGTGATAGTAGACAGACAATAAAAGCTATAGCCAACGTGAAACGAAAATCCAGTAATTTGGATATGAAGGGGCTGCTATTATATGAAAGTATTAATTCTGACTTCAATTTGGAATGTAGCGTCAATTATGGAAAGGACAAACAAGTTTCGGTGACAATATTTTGGTCACATCCACGTACTACTTTAGAGGAAATAAAGGCACATATTAATATTACAGTGCCGACGTTTACACCAATGGCCGTAAAGGTGGAAATTAGTGAAATTCATAGTCGCGACTATAAGGTAAGTTGATCAAATCTGAACAGGAGCACATATTTTGTTGCAGCTTATGGTTGCCGGTAGTATCTACACTTGTCATTTTTCGCCCCCCTTTACACTAATTCACTTTAAATTAATTTAAACTTGCTGAATCAAATTATGCTGGCAGCATCCGCTTTACAATGTTCATTAAAAGTGCAATAAATGCATGTCAAACGTACTTCAATGTATTAATTTTCCATTAGCATGCCTGAAGTAGTTTGGACGAAAATATGGATTTTCATAATTTCTCACTTCTGTAGATATTTGCATTACAGTAATTTTCATTTGTCACAAGCAAATTATATTAATAGATTTTTATATATTATTCTATTTTTTATTTATATTAATTCCAATTATAGTGTATCGGTAATAGAAAGAGAACATTGAGTATTCAAATCAAAATAACATTCCATTTGTTTAAATTTAATACATTTAATGCATACGTAGAAGTATACCGATATCGCAGCGTTTTTAAGAATATTGAATTTTTGAAATTCATTTATGAAAATAATCAATTTTCGATTTATCTGTAAGACCAACTTGACCTCTTATTTTTTTAAATAGGTCGATTAATTAAGTGTGAAATCTTTTAAAAAGCGAGTGAAAATTTCGACAAAATTCAACTGTTTCACATTTTTGTGCTGCTTCCATTTTCCTAGCGTACTTCGTATTTTTCAATATTTGGCCAGTGGTCCAGTGGCTTGTTTGTTTATTATGTTTATTTTATTTGCTTCTGATTTTCTTTTTTTTGTCGTTTTTAGGCCTGTCAATAATCACAACTCTTATTTTTTACTTATTTATAATCAGTCGAGTATAAATAACCCTAATAATGCTTACCATGTTAATAATACGAAATTAATGTTTCTTCTTTCTAATAAATTTCAACTGCCCTGATGATGGATTCGCTATCGTAGAGGAGATAATTAATTACATCAATTACAATAATTGACAAAGATAAAAAAGATCTGGATTTGTTAGTTATACTTATTTTCAGAAAGCTGCTGCTTTCTATTCATGGGAATTACTTCACAATCCCTGCTTTGATCGGACGGATTTTCTGCCTTAACTGTTATACTTCAAAAATCTGCACATTATAACTAATCAGTTAATATGCATATGATTTATCTACATCTATAAAATAAGTTAATATTCATATTGATTTGTCTACATCCATAAGCAGAATACTCGTTGAAATGTCTGGTAATAATTTTGTTTTAATTTTTGAAAAGTTGTGTGTGTGCAGTCCGAATTTCTATCAAACATACATTTTAAAATTCTGTTCTATTTATTAAAAACAAACGAGCTGTCTTTTAAAAAAATTCAAATTCATGTCAATATTTCAATTAAAGCTTAAGAATTAGTCAATTTATAAGTAATATATCTCAGTCAAAATATGTGTGCCAAAGCAGCACATTTTTCTCTACAGCTTCTTAAAATTTTAAATGTTATTTTTCTTCTAACTGTCTATGCGTTAGGAGAAAAAATTGTTGACATTAGACCTCGTTTGGCATGAAATATTTCATTAAATTAGTTCAGGTCAACTGTTTGAAGTGTCTTCAGATCATAAGGATTTAAATCGGGCGACTTTGCTGGTCAAACAACTGGAACCCGGAACTTTCTGATCATTGCTTTCCCATAGTAATATTTAAAAGCTGATGGAGAGTCTTGTACAAATCATAGATTCTGTTGAAGAACGACCAGAATGCTATAAATAAATTGGTAAAATGTATGCTTAGGCAGCTGCACAGATTCCAATGATTTTGTCCCTTATTATTTCTCTTACGCACAGTTAAGAGCTGAAAGATAAGTTATTTCACCGAAAACTAATTACTGAGTCTGACATTCAAACTATAGTTACTGGTCACCATTTTATATGTTTCCAAACCAATTATAAAATGGACTAAAAGGCAATAGATTTTTGCAAAAAAAGAAATCTGTAAAGACGCAGGTAAAACAACTGTAATTAAAAATATCAGTTGACTTTCTATAATGTTATAAAAGTTAAAACACAACGCAAGCTTGACTCTTCTAGATGAATAGTAGTCTGAATAATGAAGGAAAGTACAAGTTAATGTTCAAGTTCAGTGAGCCCCTAGGAAGTATTTTTTGAACAATATATTCATTGCTGTCTTCATGTGTTTTTGAGTTCCCTATTTATCCCTATTTTAGTGGAAATTTTGAAGCCCTGTATATTAACGAAATCTATCTTTATTCTGTTGCAGATAGATATAAACGGAACAACATTTAGTGGTCACAGTGCTCATGCAATCGGTTTTTATCAAGATACTAGTACAGCTTTAGCTTCAAACCACCACCTGAAGGTCTTTGTCAATTCACCAAATTTTAAGGATGTGAATGCCGACTTGGTGTTTTATAGAGATAACGATCAATTTAGAACGGATATTAAGGTAACTTATCTTAGGATATTAAGGTATCTTAAAAAACATATGGTGTAAGTTTAGCATGAAAATGTAGGTTATTTATTGCGCCAACATTTAACGCGGAAGGAAATAAAGTTCCCTCTATTGGTCTTGAATTTATATGCGTGGTAAGAGTTGTTATGATGACAGTATACAAGTGTCTCGAATGATGGATTGTTCACTTGTGTACTACTACTTCCAAAATATGGCTGTTCGAGGATATCTACTTTTTTCGTGCAAAATATGCAAATATTTCCTAATGATTTACGAGTATTATATGCGGAAGGTGTCATTTTAAAAATGATTACTACTCGATATGCAATTGCAAATATCATAAAATTCTGGATACATGCATGCTTAACAGAACGTCGAGTATAGCATTAGTAGCAATTATATATTTATACAAGTATAGCCTGATACGATTTGCTTGAAGATAAATTGGAACAAACTGTTCCTAATTTCATCATTCCTAATATTCATGTTCCATAAAATTTACATTTTAGTTTGCAAAAACGGTTTGTGCATCAATCCAAAAAAAAAGTTTGCTTGACAAATTCTAGGCTCTAAATGAAAAGTTCTGTTAGTATTCGTACCAAGACACTCAAGAATTTATCAACTTGCCTAAAGCGGATGAACTCGTTTGCTTCATTAAAATCTATGGTATTATCCTTCTTATTTTCAAAAAATATTTTTGAAAAACTTTGGCCATCATTAGCAGAGCAGCAACAAATTTTTCTTAATAAAAGTTAGATCAGATCGTTTTTTTTTTATCATGATAAGGCCGAAGTACCCTTTGATCATGCGCTTACGAGTCACGCTGTGTACCAAATCATGATCTGTGTTCAAAAGTGTGCAAAGTCGCCCGAATATCGAAGATGGCTTTCACCCATGGCTAATTTTGCGTAATTTTCTGTTTGTATTATGTATATGGACGAACGCAACCATACAAATAAACATAGGAATACAAATTTGTCGTAAAAAATATTTAATTTTTAATCAATATAAACGAGTAGAAAACACATATGAAAATGTAACAAGCGAGTATCACTAACAAGTATAAACTAATTTCAACTCTGACAATCAGATAAATATATCTAAATAAAACGTTTTAAAAGATAACCAAGTCAAATCAAGCAAAACATGTTTTATTGCCATAGAAAAATTTAAAAATTTAATGGATAAAGCGAGTGAAAAAACAAACACTCAGTGGTGGACTCAAGCCAAGTCCACAATTGCAAAAATATAAAAAAACAACCGACCAAATGACCTTGCAAAAGGTACAAAAAATTATTTGCCGTGGATTAAATTGGCTATGAAACAATCTCAATATCAGTCATATGATAGTACTGGCTAATAATTTCTTTGGCCCATTTCCAATAAGTGTTTTAGTGTTGTATCATTCTGAACGCATCTATGCAAATCCACAGACACGTTTCGAACGCATTTGAAAAATGTATTTATAATCGTATTAATCTACTCAATCTATAAAATTGTGTGAAAAGTTGCCTTTAGTAACTGAATCTAAATTCTTTTTAAAATAGAATAAAATGTTAGAAATAAGCAATGAGTCAAAGTCCCCGAACAAGAAGTTTAAAGTAGCTCAAAGATCATTTGGAAGATTTTCGGAATACCTAAAAATTCTGTACATATACATGTCTGTTAAGAAAGTAGAACAAGGCTAAATCAAGTAAATAGCTTTTAAATTGTGATCCTCAAAACATCGAATATAAAATACTGTCAAAATAGTCTGATTCTACATGATAAACGCTTTAATTATAATGTTGTTTGTTACGAGTAAATCGAGTCTTCTGAGAAATCGAAAGTATTCAGAGGAAGTGAAAGGTGCTTCCAATCAGTTACTGGTTACTGACCATTATTGATTTGGGAGTTGAAAAACTAAATTTTAAAACATTTAATCCTTTTAAACTAGTGAGTGACGAATTTATAGGTCCATCAGTAAAAATATTTTTTTATTTGCCTTTAAGTTTCAATAGTTACGTTTATTAATTTCAGCATTTAAACATCTGACATTTATGTATTTTTATTGTTGTCGTTTGTGCATATCGCAGGGTTTCTTAAATACCTTCATTACACTCCCCCAGAGGAATGACGTGAATTTTGCATCGCCTGGTGTTTAGTTTGTTTGTAATATCTGTCTCAAATAGGGCTCAAACTGTAGTTGATTTAATAAAAAAATAAATTACATTTACTTAGCCCGTATTTAATAAGCGAACAAAATACTTTCAAACATTTTGAAATTGATATCAGATATTAAACATGAGCAACACATGTAGTAACTGCTGTCGGAAGCGAACACAAAATTCTACTTAAAAATTAAATCCCACTTAAGGCGGCGACAAAAGCTTCTTTTGCGGAAATGCAAAATTCCGAAGTTCAGGTTATTAGCCCAGCACTTTAACTAGCAGTTTACTTTTATTGGCTTGAAATATGGGGAAAATTGAAAGACTACAGCTATTGTAAAAGAAGGCAAAGCGGATTATTCTCAGCTTCAGGGTGTATAAGTCAATTAGCTTACGCTGCAATCCCGAGATGGTTTCTCTCTTCGGTTCTTTATTGTGGATTATAATGTAACATTATATTTGACATCAAACATTTCTTTTAAGTTCTACGTAGTCCCGGACGTCCGAAAATTATTTTTTCGTGAGAAATAAATAATGAATATTGAATTAATAGCGAATAGTAATTATGAGTGTTCCTAAAGTGCATTCCTCTAAAGTTCTGGCATTGATAGATTTTACATGTCGTTCCATATGACATTTTTATAATAGGCTTATAAAACTCTAATTAAGGTCTAACTATCTTCCAAGAGGAGTCAAGCACCATCTCGATCGAAGCAGTAAAAGCCTTAAGAGTAAAGCCTCTGTCAGTAAGAATAGACAAGCAGAATAATGAGAAAACGTCGGCCTTAATTATTTGGAACACGTGGCGAATGATTGCCTAACTCGGACAAGAACTTTAGTTTGCTTACTTGCCTTAAGATTCAAGTCCCATATGTCTTTGTCACCCTTTCAACACGAATTATTACCTGAACGTTGAGACAAAAACGCTTTCTTTTTCATACCCTTTCATTTTAAATAGATGGCCGCTTTTTGAAATGGTTTTATAAATTTTACTTTATGTGCCTGCGAAAATATAACAGAAAACTTAATTTTATATTTTACGCTTTTGATTGAAATTGATTAATTTGACACTTTATTCTGCATTTCAAAATTTGATTTGGTTTACCTTGAACGACAAAAAGATCTATGAAATATGCAATCATGTGATACTGATTAACAGTTTAAGCTATAATTGAAGACAAAAGTTAAAAATCCGAATTATTCTTAGGTGCCAGTGCGCTGTATATTCCATAAAGATCTAGCACACTAATGATGAAAACTTAAACTTTACATTAAAATTCGCTTACTATCTCGGTTCAATCAATTTAATTTGAATTGACGGAAATTGCAAATAAACCATCAATCCATTATAGATGCGATGATTTAACGTGGTAAGTGTTAACTGCAAACGCGATTAATACTAATCTAAAATGCTTGCTGCAATAGCATGCTTCTAATAAATTCATTGTTATTTCACACAGTACATTTAATGTCAGGTAATAAATGTATGGAAAAATTAAACGAATATACAGATCAGTAAAATTTTATCTTAAGAAAGCACTTAGGCAACGTTTCAATTTCCATTATAGTCAGTATAATTATTTTAAATATATTTTTTATTTATCTCCTTTTCAGGCGACTTATGACGACAATGATTACCAGCTATATTTCAATCATAATTCTACATCTGATAAGGACATGCACACGGATATTAGAGTAAAATACAAAACTAAATTGTACACTCTCAATGCCGCAGTCAACAAAGGAGAACATTTAAAAATTGCTGTAGAGTTGCATATCGATCAGTGAGTATATTAATAAGAAAAACAAAACTTAATAACTGTATGTCTGTTCTGACAAACCTATGATCGAAATTGAAGTTGGAATTGGATTTTATTTGAATTCCAGAAGGTTGATCTAGAATTGAATTTTTGGGAATACGAAAAAAATCCATGAATTCTTTAGCTACAGTTGTGAGGGCACATATCAATCTTCATCCCGGAAAAAAACTCTGAGAAAAGTTTGTTTTTCTCCAGGATAACCAATATTGGATAATGTTTCACCACTCGTCAATTTTATTCCAAAATCAAAATTTTTTACCGCATAATTTATGTTTTCAAATATTGACGAAAAATTTATTGAATTAATTTGAAACAAAAGTAGATAAGTACTTAACTATTTTTTTCGCTTATGTTAGCAACATTATTTTGCGCAGAATGAACTTTAGGGTTGCTAATGTTTAATTGAAAAAAAAAGGGTTTATCTCCAATATTCAATCGCAAATTTTGCAATTTGGTTTGCTTAAACGAAAGTGTGGATTTACAGCCACACTTTCGTGCTTTGCCCACATAAATGGATCTATTCCGTGTCGCTTAACCAATGTCTGAATTAATTTCATTTCGCTTCACAGACAAATTTGTGTCATACATTTTTAAAACACTCAGATTGGTCATTACACAAAAGTAATTCCTTATGTTTAAAAAAACGGCTAGACTACATTTTAGTAGATTTTGCATATAAAACATATTATTCAAATGTATTGTGAATATTACGAATTAGTAAACTGCAACAGTAGTTTGTTCGAATTAAATAGAAATATTAAAAATATGGGATATATTGTTAAAAACCAATATTAACTTATAACTTCATCATTGATAGAAACTCTAAACTTATTGAAAAGTTTTATTCAACTACGTAATATTGATTTTCCAATTTGAATTAAACCGAAAAATTAATTTCGGTATTTTTTATTTTCCACCCAATTCATTTTTCGCAAATCATTAAACGCTATTTACTAATGTCGCTTTTCTTTTGTTCGTTAGGATAAGAGACGTGGAATTTTCAGTTTGGATTTTCAATGAGGAAACACAAAGGGCTCTCGGATTTGACATCAACTGGGATGCTAATAGAGATCCGAATCAGAAATTGTTGGTTGTAGCCAATTTTACGAAAGCAGCGGATTTCAATTACAACGCGGATTTAATTGTTAGTTACCCGGGCCGTACCATCATTGGGAAATATCAATTTATATTGGAAAGTAAGCACAAATTAAGCCTTCTGTTTTGTTATTTGTATTTTTTGTTTTCCATTATTTCTAAAACTCTAGGTAATCAAGCAATTTTCAACAGGTTTTTTTTATTGCACTGCAAGCCATGCGTTTTTACCGGTTGGAAATATTAGGATAATTTAAAACCGAACTGAATCGTTAAATATATTTTGTTACCTAATTATTATCTACTTTGCATGCTTTTACTACGATTTATGCAATTTTAGAGAATTGAACATTACATCAGCTAATTAATGTACGGTATGCTTTTGGTACCTTCCGGCGATTGAAATAATAGATTTTTCAGGTTTTTGTTTTCTACTACGATATAAATCTGGAGAAAGGAATTATTTCCGACTTTATGATGAGTGATTATTTCGGTACATGCATGTACATTTTACAAATATACAGTAAATATTTTTTTTGATTAGCAACAAAGTATTAAAAGGGAACAGTGTTTAAGATTTATCGGACATTTGTTTGTTCTAATTTGCATCTAAACTTTAGAATTATAATTTATTTTATTTTTATGTAATGTCGCGCCATCTAGCTTAAAACACGTTGTGTAGTTCTCTGGAACTGCTTTGTCGTGCGCATGACGCAAGGGCGGAAGTGACAAAAGGCGAGACGGCGTAGGGCGACAGACCTTATTTATTCGTTATGTAATCGTGATTGTTCAGTACCGTAAACTAATCTTTGTTCCACTTACAATAAACTTATTTTAACAAGTGGTGGTCCTTCAAACCTCAATCTATCCAAACAGTATAACATCCACTTGAGAAATATCGGATATAGGAATTGATCCACTTAATGAATGGAGGTAGGAATAAGTCTAAGTCTAATATTGAGTTTTAATAGATCGCGTCTGAGTGAAAAACAATCAATTACTTTTCCTCATTAGAAGATCATCTCAGAATAACTCGTAAGCACTATACTTACGGCTTTGTAAAGGAATTGACTATTTCTTATTGACCATTCTTAAATATTTGATTGCAAAATTTACTGGAAACATGTCGATAATTTTATAGGGTTCCATTAGACGAACTCCCTAAACTTTGTCGAATATTGCGCTTAATTACAAACTGATTTCAGGCAGAATTTTGTGGGTTGAATAGAAGTTAAAGTTGGAATTTGATCTAGAACCCTCAGCACGAAGATACTAAGTGAAAAGCAAAGTCCGAATCTTTGACTCGACTGCTTTATCAGATTTATCTGTAAATTAGTTATGGAATTAACTTAATAGGCTTTGGCACTTTAATTTCACACCTAAATAAGAGCACAAGAGTGGTTTTATATACTATTTTACCAGTTTCAACTGTATATTTAACCAGCTTTCAACTGCTACATCAGGAATATGGCTTCGATACTTGGTTGGTTAGAATAATGGCTAAATGTATAAAGTTGAATTTAGAAACTTAAATATAGTGCTGTGGTAAATTCTGTTTTTTATGCAATCTTAATTACGTAAATTGAATTTTTATTTATGTTCTAATTCGTATTTTTTGACAATATAATTCATAAAAGAATGTCCGATGCACCCACCCTACCATTCCAAATTTATCCGTTTTTAACACATGTCATGCTCTGAGGATAGTAAAAAGACTGATCAGTAGGCAGTTATTTAAAAAAAATCAAATGAAATCATATCCATTTAATTGCTTGTATTATTTGAACCTAACAACATACACTATTAGTCTATCCAAAACTAAATAGTTTTCGATAGATTCGAAATCGAAGCCCCCAAATAAAATCAATTCAATTTGCAATATCTGAGAATTTATTTCAAAAAGTTTCAATTAAGAAAGTATATGTATGATTGACTTCACCGCACATTTAATGTTGAACATCCCCCGAAGTTGATTTGACCAAAAAATGTACCTTAAAAACCAAAATCGAATTGTCATGTAACGGTATTAAAAGCCGGTATTATTAAATAAAACCGCACATTTTCTCAAAGGAGGTTGCAAGGAAAATAAATTAAATAAACTTTCTGTTTTAGAGGGTCACATCGATATGCTGGCTACTATCTCTTGGGATGACGGCAAATCATTTGCAGTTAACCTGAACGTTAAATACCAATTCGAAAACGAAGTGTTTTTTGAAATATCTTCTCGATTGAACACTCCACTGGATTCGCTAAAAAATATGAAGCTTTACGGGATGTACGTTCCGAATGTATTTCGCCAAAACACAGTTTCTATAGTTTAGTTCTTTTATAGTTTTGAGCACTTAGAAAACAAGTACAGCTTAAACGGGGCGCTAACCTGGAACCCTAGACAAAAAGTGTCTATCAACCTATTTGGCGATCATTCTTCAGATGGTAGTGATGTAAATTTTGATTGTAGATATAGTTGTTCATTGCAGAGCACTTTGGGACATATCCCAAATGTTAATGCTACAATTAAACATTCGCAAAACTACACCGACTATAAATCCCTTATTTATTTGATGGTATGTATATTTGGAGAATGCTTCTAATGAGTAAAATTTACATTTTTGTAGTACAATCCTGACTTTATTATCGATGTGGATAGCTACTGGCAACACCAAACTAACGAACATTTCTCAAATCTATCAGGAACTGTTAACACTCTTACGCCATTTAAAGGTTTAGAAAAGGGCATTCTTGTTACTAAAATATTTTACACAGAAGACAAACATTTGCGAGGAGTGGCAGAAATCGATTTAGACCATAAAAAAATGTTAGTTGCCATGGAAGGCAAATTTAGAAAACTCATGGACAGCATGTTTATTGCAAATATTAGCACCACGGAAGAAAAGTATCAATGTCAGTTCAAAATATCAAAGAAGGACCGACACTTCGTTGCACTAATCACGTATCCTGATGGAAATCTGGGAACAGAAGTGCTATTTGCCCTAAACGATTTAATCGATTTTGATGTGAAGATTTTCTTGGCCACACCCATCGAATTTTTACAAAAGGTTTTAATTGTCGCTAAGCTGCACACAGGAAAGGTGAGTATTTCCGCAAGCTTATTTATTCCCTTAAACGAACAAAAATTCAATTCAATTTTAAATTCTGAGCAGATATCAGGTTGGTTAGATTTTATTGTGTTATTGGCCGTTAAGAATAGGACTTTTAAATTCGGTTTGGTAATTTATGTCCATACTTCATTGTGGATTCATTATTTGATTGATTGCTTTAGTAATGGATATTTTTTGAACTTAAGCAATAATAAAAATGCTAATTAGCCCAAATGTTTGACATGAAAAACACAAACTTTTTTTCAAGGACAATGTAATATGTAACATGTACTAAGTCTTACTAAGCAAAATAATTTTATTAAACATAAGCAAATTATTTAACATTTTTACCCTTGCTAAGCATTGTAAAAATTTCGTCCTCAGCAAGTAAATACATTATATTTAATTTGTCACCTATCCGAAAACATTAAATCTAATAAACATATTGATACGGTGTATTAAATAAGGCGATACCCTAATATCACTTACAAAATGAACAGAATAGATCTTAGTGAATCTTAGTTTATTTTCAATCTGCTCTCATTCTAGCAATATTACGCATTTTCAAAGGTAAGTCTATCAAATGGTCTCTGTAAATGTGTTTTTAATTGACTTAACAGAAGTATGTTTACCTCGTGAACTTTCGACAAGCATTTAGTTTGAGTATGTGACTTCATGTGTGTCGAAAACATGTTTAATGAAAAGTTCATATAAATAATTATACCCTTACATTAATTACACATAAAGCATCAACTTTTGCTTAAGAGCAGATGTCATTAAACATGAAATATTCTCATCCAAAAAATATTGTCTGGAAAATATACAAATGGTCTCAAATTGATTATAGGCGATTTTATAGAATTAATTTAAGAATGCATGTAGGAAGTTAAAATGAACAAAGTAGGCTTAAACTGGGTGTCCCGAAATTGTTGCTCAACAATGATAGGGCGTACAGAAGACCCGAAAATAAAGTCAGTACTTCATACAAAAAAATTTCCGATGTGACTTCCTTATGGAATTATGGGTCCTCAAAGTAACAAGTTGAAAAATAAAATTTGTTCTTAATTATTACACCGTTTATTAGCCGTTCGTGCAATTTTTATAGCAAGCTAATAGATAGACCCATTTTTGTGCTTCAGAAAAGGAGTACCTTGTTGATGCTCTGGATATCTCTTACGGCTTTTGAAATAAAACACTTTTTGTAACTTGTAGCGATAAAAATAATGCTATTAAAAGTAATACGTATGTGAAAACTAATTTTGGCAGCACATTTTAAATGTGTATTCATTATAAAAGTAAATTTTGACCGTACCTGTATAATAACAAGATTTCGCAAAAATTTCCAATTAAAAAAAACGGGTATCTATGAGCTGCTTTTGCTTCAAAAATTCCACAAAAACAGCTAATAAACGATGTCAATAAAAAACAAATTTTAATTTGTCACATTTAAGACGCATAATTGCACAAGGAAGCCAGATCGGAATTTTTGTTTGTACGAAGTACTCGTCTTACTTTCAGGTTTTCTGTTGGCCCTATCCTTCTTGACCAACAAATTTGGGACGCCCTGTATATAAAATTAAATTTTCATTTATTTAAGATATACTTTGATGCTACTAAATTGTATCGGAATATGTTGCTTGCTTTGACTTCCTAAACCATATTCTTAAAATATGTTCATTTCCTCCCGACGTACCTTGTGTCTGTAAAACTTAGTAAATTTTTTGAGTGAAAAAGCTGTGTTACAGAAATGATTACTTTCATTACAATTTACTACGCCCCTATACAAGTTACCATCGCTCAGTAGAAACCCGTTGATGTTGAGAATAGTATCTAACGTCTCAATCGTTTCCCTTAGACTTTAGTGAACAAAAAACAACTATTAAATTTACTTTTTAGGCAGATTTCCGAATAGGCTGGAATTCTCTTTTGTTGGGATTTTCCGGGATAGCGCATTATGTTAATATCATTGACTTCCAATACACATACAAGATATACACTCCCATCAAGGATTTCGAGGAGAACGGCTTGGTAGCCAAGCTTATATTCAAAAAAGGCTTAGACTTCGAGACATCTTTGCAGCTATCTCGATATAAGGTAAATGTTTCATGAAATCAAAACATGCATTATGTTAATATTAAACAGGTAACCAAGTACGTATAACATTAAAAGCACCTTGGCTATATATCCCATTAAGCTTCTGACTTGAATAATATTTTCGAAATAGATACTGCACTTATCGATTATTTCAAAGAATGAAGTTTTGTCATGTCGCAGGAAATCCAACATCCTCTCGTATAAATTCATGAGCCGTCTATGTGTGCGGAAATACTTTTCCCAAGGCAGTGTTCTAACGAAATTTTCTTAATAGATTTCCCTTAGTCTGTTTGCTCTAGGTTTAAAACTTTCTCTCTATATTAAGCAAATATTACACCCTTATGTCACGTCTGACGGGGAAGTTAACACATGCAAGTGCTCCCTAAATTAAATAAAATCTGTGCTAAAATGTAAATCAGCTTAGCGCTAATCTACCTATAGAATTTTAGGCATTAAGAGGTGTGCTCGAATCTGCTGAGTAGATCAATCTTGTGCTGAATAAATTTAACATTGTGAATAATTCTAAACTTTTCGTTATAACTATCGAAATGGTCTGTAAATTAAAATAACGGTATTTAAAGTTAATACTTTTCCATTTATACCCAGAATTTGGTAAATTGGAAAACATAAAAAATTTTAAAATTTTTTTCCTAAAGTGATCGGTAATATTATAATCCGCTTTTCTTATTCAGGGCCTTGTCTAGTCTTCTATTTAGTCCCAATCCAAGTTAGCTTGGTGTTCATTATAAATCATACTTATCACAATCCACATTCGGAAAACTACATCTCTGAATTAAACTTACTAAAGTAAGAAAATAAAGCGAACCATTATATTTCTTATAGATATGTTCTCCTCTAATAATCTACTTCCAGGATTCTTTTGAGTTTCTTCTTTCGTAATGGCTGACATTAAAATTGATAGTCAAACGTTGCGAAAACTGCTCTATTTCTTAATAAATTCGAGATGTTGATATGATTTACAGTTTTGGAAGGCAATTAGCAACTCGCTGACAATCTAATTATTTTTTTGTAGTTGGGTGTGAAATTAATAGGAAAACCGAAACCAAAACCATTAAAGGAATTGGGAATTAATGTTAGAGACGTATATTATTCCAAAGTTAGTCACCGCAACAGTGACAAAGATGACGATTTCCTGAGTTTCGAAGGTTTAATTGAAGTAGACGCAATTATATATCCTACAATCAAAGGTCAACTGGAAATAGACCAAAAGGGTCCAGTTTATGTACTCCAATCAAAAGTTCTTCTGCCACATGGAGCAGCCACTATATTTGATGAATTTCAATATATCGTAAGTATTTCATTTATTTATTGTTGAATTGGATCGTATACGAAAAAAATGAATAACCCACAACTGCGTTTTTAACCAATGTATTTTAAAGTCATCTACATTTGAATAATATCCATTCAATTCTGAAAATTTTCGGAATGTACTTCAATGATTGAAGTAAGAATGTGGTTACACTGCTCGCAGTAATAATTATTTTATTCTAGTCTGAATAATTTATCACACAGAGTACCTACCCGTTATATTAGAGTCCCATAAAATGTATATCGTTATTGCAGTCAATTAATACACAGTCGTTTCAACGAGCTAAAATTTATTATGTATAAATTTCCATGGATCGGTTCTTTGCGAAAATTGTCTATCGTTTAAAATTAAAATTAAAATTTGAAAATGTGTTCCTATCATTCTATTATAAAAGATGGTAATTGAAGCCAAATTTTTCGAATAGTTAGAGCCAGTTTTTAGTGTCGTGTTACACGAGTGTAGATATTTAAATATTTTTTTTAAAGGGAGATGTAAAACAATTTTTGATTGCCTCCATTTTATTGAAGAAAGTATTTTATGTAATATATGTAAGATAAATCTGCATTCATACAAATAAAAATTTCAGACAAATGTGTTAACTAAAAATATTTTTAAAACGTCTCACATTTTGAAGTAAAAGCTGAAAAAATTGAGTTCCTGTTTTTCTTTAAATTTCATTTCTGAGTATGATCATAAAGTCAATATAGAGTGAACGATTCTTGATCGAATACAAATATACAGGGTAAATGATAATCGAATGATGCTATCGTCCTCGCTTTATTTTGTTGGAAACCTTTGTGTTTCATTACATATTGTAACAAAAGCAATTTAATTTCAAGTAAATTTACATTTCAGTAAATTAATAAAAGTATTACATTCTACACGACATTAATTTGAAGCTTAACTAAAAAAATACAGATATTTAGTTTAAAATTTTTCAATAACATAGTATAATAGTCGCTTTATATATAGTAACTTTATATATATTCAATAACATTATATAATAGTCGCTTGTTATGTAACTGACCAAAATAATAATACGATTACTTCGGCAATTAAATGTCGTTAAAAAATTTGAAATACAAACCAGAGATTTCCATTAAAAAAAAGTGATGGTCGTCACGCTTTTCCAGTTGATATTTGTGTCCGAGCCGAGCCTAAAGTCGACGATTTTTTCGATTTTAACAAAAATCGGATGTTTACCTCAGGATCTAATAGTCTCTATCCACCCATTCAGTATTCCATACGGTATATTTTCAATTGAATAAAATTTAAAACCCCGCTCTAAAATGTGATATACTGGGATGATTATCTGTAATACCGTATTAAAAAATATCTCTAAACAAATCGATTCTTCGTTGATATTTTCGTAAGAATGGTCTCTTGGCAATTTATATTTATTTATGTGCTCAAATAAATACTTTATTACAAGGGCACGACTCATCACCGGAGTCAGACCTTTTAGGCAAAGATACATTGGCACTATCAAAATTATTAGGCTTTGACGATCTTTCGCTCGAAAACCTACAGTCCAGTTTTAGCTTTCTTGCGAAGCAACTCGGAGGATGTAGTCACTAGCTCTTGCGAAATGTCGGGATGAAATTATCTTCCACGATGGTCTGAAAGGCCGCAAAACTCACCAGTTTTATATACTGCATGAATTCCAACTTTTACCATAATAATGAAGCATTTATTAGGTCACTTCTCAAAGCTTAAATAGGTACAGATTGAGAAAACGGAAATGCAAACGATATACAATTTTTTAGAGCGGATAACTCACCACTAGACCACAAATGTTTTTTAAAGTACAAGAGATTTGAAACTTTCTTTTGTTCAATAAACTAAGTTCTTGTTTTTTTCGCTCAATGAATTGACTTTAAAGTGTTTCAACAATTAAATTCCCGAACAACATTTTCTTATAGTTCAAGTAATTGTACTGCAATTCCCAACTTAACCGAGCTGCTATAAATTCGAGCATTCACTCAGGATAAAATAATATTGAAAATGTTTTCTGGATAGTTGAGAATTCAAGTCAGGCTTCTCAAAAGCTTGGTTATGTTTGGCTTCCTCGACATACTCCAGTAAAAATTCCATTATATATTTGATACGTTTGGATTTCCAGAAATTTTCAGGAGATTGCGTTTTTTTTTCAGGATGTTCTGTCCATGGCCAATACTTTACGAATTATTACTCCATATAAAACTTTTAATAGCATTCACTCGGATTTTAAACTACAATTTGTGCAGAACAGTCATTATATGTTCAATCTTGGATTGGGTTATAAAAATGATTCCACACCGATAACGGTAAGTTTCATGTGGTTATATCTATTGGTCATATAATATTATTTTTTAAATATACATTTGAATACCTAGAGGGTGTATATATAAATGACATGGTTTAAAAGCGAACTCAAGATAGTTCTCCAAGTTACTATAATCGCATTTAAATAGTTTAACTAGATAAAAGTTATGAAACTGATTAATAGCAAGACAGCAGCGAAAACAACAATTTTGGATAGATTTGGAAAATTGATTTTCTAATAGCACAAGCAATTGATTGGCAATGATTTCGCATAATTGATAACAGCATTAATCCGAAGTGTAATATAATAATTGTGCTTAGTAATTTTCATAGTTGAATTCAAATTGGACTTTCCAGGTATTTTAAATAGCTCTTATAAATAAAGCCAAACATGGTTTGTTCGTGAGATTTGTCAGTTGCAGCAAGCATGCTTGTAGCTCGAAAACATGTTTTTTTAATCAGTCAATAATCATTTTAAGATTCTTTAATAATGAAGATTTAATTTTATAAAAGAAATTATTAATTAGCTTGTTTAATTATGATGAGTATATTTTTCAGACTGGTATTTTGGTGGAATATAACGTAGACCGGCGAGATATTAGCGATAGAAACTATAACGTTACGCTAGACGTAAATACGCCCTTTAAAGCTTTTCCAAAGTTGAAATTGTTTGGGGCTTTTGAAACCGAGGAGAATTTTTATCGCACCAAGCTATTATTCACAACAAATAGGAGTGATATATCTCTGGATGCCACCACGGAAGTAAGAAATTAAATAAACGCTTTGACTTTTAAATTGAATAGCTTTATTATACAGTGTGTTAATATAGGGAGGAAACGTCGTAAAAAGGACTTGCCGGTAAAATCCATTAAATACTAAGTTGTGAATTAATTCATCATTCATATAGAAAAAGTTAGATAGCAGCTTTTCAATAGGTTCAGAAAATATTTTCCCGAACATTTTCTTTGTATTTTAGAACACAAAATCAAACTGTCTTTTTCAATTTAAATCCGGAAATCCGCCTTTTGGAGGGATTTCGAGACCTAAAATATTTTATTCAACTGTTGTTAGTTATCACTCCAGACAGTTGAGTGGTTATATTATGGCTCCCTAAAGACCCTACTTTACCGCAGCTCTGGTTCGATTGCCTGCCAGAGATGACATTGTTCACTACACCGCCGTTCCAGTTTCTTTGCTCTCAAAACTTTCTAAGTTCTAATTTATTGTGCAAGTTTATGGAGACGTATATTAATGTCATCGATAAAAAGCTAGTTATCCGATTTGCAGTTTTTATATTCTTCGTTCATTTTGAATTATTAAAATACAAAAATTGTCTCCCTAAGTTTTTGCTTGTAAGATGAAAATATCAGTTTCTAACTAGACACTCAAGTCAACTTGTGAAGATATTCCATATTTCATTTATTATAAACTGAATTTCTGTTTTACCCATACTGTTGGTTAATTGTTGGTCATTTTCGAATATAGTTAACATATTAGAGAACAGGAGGACATTATTTTAATTGATTTTGACTCGCTCTGAATATATGATTCTACAGAATATATTTCATTATGATTTTGCTACCTATTTTCTTTAACAGTATTGGAATACCTTTGGTTGCAATGTTTTGGCTTCTTGGTCATTGGAAGTTTTCATTGTGCGCTTTGGGAATCCATATACATTTATCTCGTAGGATGCTTAAGGAGAAAATGTCGCATGCAAATGAATTGAGATTGCACCAATATTGCATATTTCTGCACACACTTAAAAGCAAATATAATAAGTAATGCGAACCAAAAATGTTCCATGTAATTTGTCGCTAGTTTGTGTAAAGGAGTTTGATAGCATAAATAAAATATTTATTGAAAGTTAAAAGATTTGTTATGAATACGTTTATTTTATTGCAATTAAACCCGGTACATTTTTTTCTGCTCTGTCATAAAGACGTTCGACAATCCTATTTTGGCCGATACTGAATTAAAATTTAATTCTGAATTGTTAATTGCATGTGTTGGTTTCTTATATACGACGCTTTCGAAAAGTTGCGATCGATGTTTCAAATGCTAGTTTCCCACTTAGAGCGCGCTTTAGATTCTGTTCGCCTCTCTTCAAAGTCGTGCATTTTTGGTTGATCGAATATAAATTTATCTTACGCTGCCATTACATTCTTCATTCTTTCTACCGTTATATTGCGTATAAGCCGCGCGTTTGTTGGTTTTGCCTGCTTTTGGCTTGTAGAACTTGGAAAAAGTTAGAAACGTTTATTCGGAAATTATTTTCTATACTGGCCATTTCCAAAATGTTATGTCGAAATTTTAATATATATGACAAGCCTCTCAATACAAGCTGACTCACCTTGTTAATAAACCTTCTTTTAACCTATAGAGTTTCTTTGAATGTTGCATTGAAAAAGAAACAGCATACGCTTGGGTTCACAATACGGGATCAATAAGAATTCAATGTAATGCCCATATCTTGAATAATCTTTATTTGCTTTTTATATTTGCAACTTTTGGTGTCAGGCAGGTGAACGGTTTCGGCTTACATATTTCAAATAGAGTGCCTTTGGAACCTAAGGTTAATGTTACAAATTTTAACAATTTCGATGGGGCTATGTTTTATGGCAGATGATGTTTAGCTGAAAAGGTTAGAGTAGAACTTTTCTGTATATGTACCTAATCCGACTGTGGGTAATAAATATCAAACGTTGAAATGCAATTGGTACCTATATTAGATCCCATTGATTTTGTTGTGAAGATCGTAAGAACAATTTTAATAAGCAGAACTCAAAGAGATGCTGAACGAACACAGGCAATATAATTTACTGCGTAAGAGGCACTCTTATCTTCTCAGCGTTAACAAATGTATTTATTATATTTTTTCTTTTAAAAGGTTAAATCCATTCAGTTTGCCTTATTGTTGTATTTTATGAATATTGTAAGTATTGTACAGCGCTTTCTGATGCTCATAGTTTCGATCGAGCTTAATAGGTCTACTAACGGGGTTTATATTGCCTAATAAATACATCCTCAAAAAAACCCTTTACTAAGCTGAAGTGTCCCGAATTCATCCCAACCATATAGAACTTCTAAATTAGCTGACGTGTTGTTTTTTTATTATTTGAAATCTTTCGATGTCGACAAAACGTTTGATTTTAGACTGATGGTGGCTGGTTAGGACTAACTTCAGAGTTTCACGCAATAACTCCACTATTCAAATTGCCGCAATCCCAGCTCAGCCTTACCAAATTAACGGACTCTTCAGACAACTATTTTGAGGTTCGGCTCAAGGTTCCAGAAAAACTTAAGTCTGAGGTAAGTTTCAGCTTAGAATTTCAAAGAAGCACTCATGGATAATTTCTGTTGAAATTGATTTTGAAGTTTCGATGACCCAAACCACATAAAGAAGTTGAGTTAATCAAGTAAAGAAGGAAAATTTAACAAACACGGAAAATGAAAGGTTTTTAAAAAGCTATTAATAAAGCCAAAATAAGGGTATTTTTTTAAATTACTGGTTTATAACAATCCTTAGCGCTACATTGATCTGAAAGCATATTTTTATTTACTAGCATATTATTATTATAGCCAACATACAACTTGGACCGAACGCGCAAAAGACAATTTCCGGGAAACAAACACTTTCAAACAATTTTCTGATATAATAACGATTTTTTAAATTACGACACTTTAAGTTTGATATAGTTAACATCTCGTCAATTTGCTCTATTTGAATTACTGATAAAATCAAAGAACTAAAATGAAAGAAGCCCATATAAAAGCGGTAGCAAAGTCTATAATTTATTAACATTCCAAAATATATTTTACGCCATATCTGTGAAATGTTGTTAAGTAGCAAACATCAATTAATTTTCGCAAAAAATATTATTATATTTATTTGTCAATATATTATTTTTTGCCTGACTGACTGACATTGACGCTCACTGACACGTTTATACAAAATCAAATAGCTCCCAGATTGGACAAAATTAATTACAGTTAGTAGTATTTTCGTGTAATGATTTATTCAGCAATTGTGGAAAAGCACCTGTAATGATGCTTTCGTCATCAGAAAATCTGTGAACGTGGCAATTTTTCACGTTTCCGCATCAATGATTTTCCTCTCCGTTGGACACAATTCGATATAAATACTCCATAAGAATACGTAAAGATCATTATTTACCGAAACGTTTTACTGCGAACTACCTCAAGATGTATCAACTTATGCCACTCATTAGTGTATTTAGCTCTGGATGATATTTGAGACTACTGGATGTCAAGTCATTGTTGGCGGCAGCAAGAAGTTCTCCTTTGTTCGATCGAGTTGTCAAAGGAGACCCCGTTTTGAGCAAGAAGCTTCAAAATACTCTCCGAATAGAACAGCAAGAAATTATGGAACGGTTAACCAGGCCTGGAATGGCTGCCAGCATTAGCAGAGATGAGCATGCCATGCTGTTTGGTACTAATAGACAGAAGATTGTAACAATTGCCAAAAGCAAGTATTCGCTTAGGCAAGTAAAGGCATACCAGAAGCAAAAGGAGGACGCAAGACGTAAAGCCAGGACGACAACGACTGATACTGCAAGGTTTAATCCATACCGAATATAGAAATTTATATGTAAAAATAATATATTGACAAATACATATTTATTTTGATTGGACTCTCGCTTTCGAATACATTTTTGCTGCGAATTAGAATCGCAAACACCAGATGAATAAATGTTCGCTGTACCCTCAATATCATAAAGCTGACACTCAACTAAAATGTTCTATGCAATCGAAGTAGCCAAGAATTAAATATATCTGTTTTTGATCTTGAGATAATATGATCTGGTTTGAAAAAATGTTACTTCAGGGCCGCAATAGATATCAGTGATACGCGATACTTCAATATTTCGATATTCGATTTGAAAAATAAAGAAAGCAATACTTGCAAACGGATATTTACAGTTTTTTGTAAGATATTTTATTAAACCAATTTTTAAGCAAATTTAAAATACAAAAAGATATTTTTTATGTTCATATTTCAACATCGGATAGACATCTAAATTAAATTAATAATCTACATTTAAATGACTGAACTTAATGAATTCTGCATTGGAGATTAGTAATTTTAAAAATACCATCTGATCGAGCGTACTATATCAATGGACATACTAAATATACTCTTACAAACAAGAATCTATCTATTTTTCCAACTGATAAAAAGTAGAAGGAACGTATGAAAGCAATCCATCTTGAAGAAACTGTTTTTCTAAGTTTCTGTCATATGTTCGAAATTTATTCGTCTATAAATTATCCGATCGAATACAAGCCCGATGTTTGCAGGTATATTTTAGAACTTCTTGGCTCTTCAAAGCTCCAAGGGAGTTTAGGACCATATTAGAACTCGAAACTCCATTTACGGGACTTGAAAATACTAAGGCAGGTGTAGATTTCATGGCGATGGAAGATAAAACAACTTTGTCGGCATACCTCCACCTTAATCCTATCGAAGCAGAGGTGAATTCAACGTTTGAAAATAATGTCCTAATTAGCAATTCGTTAATTAAATTTAATGAAAACATGTAAGTATTTAAGAAATTTTTTTGTTGAACATTTACAGTTATTCTCTGGTGTAAAAACTTGATTGAAATTCCCACAGGTAAAATTTAACTACTTAAAAAATATTAAAGCAAAGCCGAGCTGGAAATTTGTTTGAGCTAAAATTCCATTATGAGCGTTCAGTTAGTTGGAAAGATTAGAATCTTTATATTTGGCTCGAGCTTTTTATACGGACTGTGCTGTGACACTGATTGCAATTCAGCTTGTCTGCTAAAAAGTGGTCTATTCGTTATTTAATAAGGTCATGCGATTTGCGGTTTAGTGCTTTTTGAAAGTTATTTAGGAAGTTAAGTTGGCTTATGTGATTATTACGTGCCCAAACCCAATGACCAAACGAAAAATTGTCATTGTTTCGTATATTTTAATCAGCGCATTTACTTTACTTTTCAGATTTCCACTAAATGTAAATTGTAAGGTTTTGACTCCGGCTCCAAATAGGCTTGAGCTTAATGGAACTTTATTACTTAGAGATGAAGTATTTGGAATAAATGGAAACGTAGATCTTATAGGAAGTTTACCACTACAAGTTTTAATCACTCTTATCCCGCAAGCTAATAGTGTTCCTTCGACTTTTCAATACAATATTGAAACAACTCTAAATGGCTATGGATTAGTTGGATCTCTCAGTTATTCCAATAGATTGACCCATTTTAGCGGCAATGCAAAAGCGAACGATAAACTAAACTGGGAAATACGTTTCAAGGTAATCAAATCAGGGAACTTTCCTTCTGTAAAATCTGTAAAATTATTATTAGTTTATTCTAGTTTAATTGTACGGTTCATTTGCTTTTAAAATATTCATTTTTTTTATAGGTTGATCCACCCAATCCTGACCAGACGTTTCTGCTTCATGCAGTGGCTAATTCAGCAACAGATATTATGCACTTGGACATTGAATGTCAATCGAATATTCCCCAACTGGAGCATCCCAGATTCGGTTTAACCTACAGGTAAGAAGGCGCGTGACTTCTTGTAACTGATGTAAAATATTAATTTGTCATACTAAGAGAAATTATGTTGGCAATCGAACAAAGCTGCGGAGAAAAAATTCGAAAGAACGTTCAAAAATATTTTTAATCACTTCCATCAACAAAGCAAACATTGCTACTATTTCACTTTGCGCTATTGAAATGATATTTCCATATCCGTGGCGCGTATGCAAATTTTTAATTATTTTTCCATTTGATAACAATTGAAGATAAATGTTCTTATGAATTTTAACTACCAATTTCGTTTAGATTTCAATTAATTTTCCTTCATTTTGGTATTGTTTAAGACCGGAAAGAGAATTAAACCGCGTTTGGAATTCCATTGTGCAAAACTGCGAATTTTTATGCAAAATCAATCTCACTTCAGATAAATCGAGCTTTGTATCTTTTAATACGCAAGTAATTATTTAAGACACCCTAATATATTTTATTGAAAACTTTCGGAATAATTGAATTGCTTTTATCGAAGAATAAAGGCATTTAAGACTTGATTTTTAATTGTTATATTTGACCTCGTTTATAAACCCCAACGCAATGTTATAAATGTTTTTAAATTTTTAATCGGTTTAATTTATAATACTACACATTCAACTCGTCTTTTCGCACATATATAAGCATTATTAAACTAAATATGACTTTTGAACGTTAGGTAGGTAATGCTTAATAATACTAGTTGGACGTTGGACACTATGTGAATTCAATTTTCCCGTTAATCTATTTGATATACGAAGTACTTTTTAAATAAAATGTTTTGTTTGTTGTATGTTTCTTTTTCAAGCAATTTACAAATTAGTTCCTTCTTCGGACTTAAACTATTAGTTAAAACTTTCAGTCAACTTATGATTTTGGTAATGATATGGAAAGTCCGAAACTATGGTTTTCATATAAAAAAAATAATCGAAAAGTTCGGTAACCTTATAACGCTTTTCATAAAATCGATAAAAAAGGTTATTTTTGTGGCTATTTGCTTAATGATTTTCGGACAGGCCATTATTATTGGAACGGGGTTTGTTTACCGCATAAAAGCTTGATTTATTTCTACCTAGAGACCACCAAATGACAACTTTAAAATGATACCTGTAGCTCGTAATAAATAAAATTTGTTTGACGTTTATTTTAGGGTGATAAATTGTGTTGAATTTAATGCTATATCCTTTGGCTTATCATGTTTCACTTTGTTGCAGGAGAAACTATGTTTCTGTTGTTGCAATTTTAGCTTTTTCAGCTGTTGAAATTGTCTAATTTTTTGGCGTACGCTGCACAAAGCAACACGTAGATGGTTTGGTCACTGATTGTTTTAGAATACATTCAGCTAATATGTGTAAAATAGAAATGATCTCCTTAAATGTCGGTACGCGGCAGATTTTCTTATGACTAAATATTCTATATGATTTTTTGTCAAATGTTTTTATTATCATAATAAGTATAAAATCCATTCTTTTTCTAATTGAGCCAATTAACGTCTTAAGGAATATTATCCAAAATTAGAAAACTGAATCAAATAATACATAAAATAATTAAAATTTAATGCCCTATCATAACCTTGTATTGAAATTTGCAAAACTAAAATGAGTATAAATGTTTGTGTGTGCTTTTTGTTCTAACGACGTACCTTTTAACTATGTAAAATATTTGTTAGGTAATAATTAGGTCAACTGCAGCAGTTCTGAATTATTTCATGGAGGTATACACATATGAATGGGCTCCATTAGGAATAGCCGAAATGCTTAGTTTTCATACGATTTCATGCAAATGATGACTGCATACCAAAATTATTACAATTGAAACCTTCAATTGATGTGTTAACGATATAATCACATACAGTGATTGGAATTTTGCATTAAAAATTATCATGTTTTTTCCGTTGTTTCAATTGTTTTTCGTATTTTAACAGCAGGCAGGTTATTTCAACAAACGATTTTAATGATTAAAAAAAATTCTATTAATTGTTACTTATTGTATTTATTTTTGTTGATCCGAACAATATACCAGAAATACAGTGAACGATTTTGGATTTTCTTCCGGGCATAATCGCACAATGTCTAATTATTTGCAAATTACATTATTTAAAGTTTTCTCGAGTATACTGATGCAGCCCATATTCAAACTAAATTGTGGATGTTATGTGCAACTCCCTTTAATTATTTTGTTGTCTTTTATTTTGAAACGCTGAGTAGTAGACTAATTATATTGCGATTGGTTAATGAAAACGTGTTAATTTATTGCAGCATCCCAGTTTGCAAAATTCTTCGTTATTTTTCAAAAATGTTTAGCTGTTTTATCTGAACTCTATGTAAAAACATATGTTTCTATTATGTAGGAAACATTACACTACACGTGTAGTTTTGGTCTTCTTTATTTAAATTTTAATAATACGATTGTTCCATTACAGAGATGAAAAAATTTTGAACAAGCTCGAGGGTTATTTTATCCTTACAAAAGTTAACGGAAGTGCAGATGTAGAGATGACGTGGTTATATTTGGAGGATATGCTATTGAAAGCAAAGGGGAATTACCAGAATCCTTTATACGCGAGTTCATCCCAAGTGGCATTATATTACAAAAATATTGGAAAGGATTTTAGTGAATTAAATACCGGTTGTGACCTGATAATTGATAGATTGTGGCAGTAAGTTAAAATACATCATTTCCCACTGAATTCGCAATTGAAGAGAATCTCGGATTAATGTTTTCTGTTTTAGAGCGGGTGCCAATGTTTTATTTAGACTTCCGGCGAAAAATAACATTAGTCTTGAAGGCCACATTAACATTCCTAATAACGCAAAAGACACTCACAGTGTATTTGGGAAATTGGTTTATGGGACAGGACTCAGCTTTATTGATTATTTGCTTAGATACAAAAGTAGCGAACCTGTGAAAAAATTCGGTCTATTTGGAGAGGTAATGGTTTTATTTACAATTCGCCATATCTTATATCATATATATTTCATCCTTAGCGAGAAAAATCATAGCAAGTTGAAAGTTGCAAATTTCTACCCATTTTTCAAGCTTCTTGTAGCCACTTGATTATATCTATGCTTTAGGTTTCCCTGGAAAACAAGCACAATCTTTCTGGGAATGCTATAATAGAGTGGAATGAAAAGGAATTTCACAATAACGCCAACTTTAAACTACTGGAAAAATCTTTTGATGTTTTGTATAAATTGAAAACACCGAACTATCAGGAAAAACATTTATTTGTTGGCCAATTATCTTATAATGGCACTAATGAAATCCACAACGTAACGTAAGTATGTAACCAAAATCTAACAAAAAAAAACGTTTGTGTCACTTAACTAACACTTAATTTGTGAAAATTATTTATCAATTTCGCGCACTAATTTTGACTCCTAGCAAAGTATTAGTTCATTATTAAGTGAAATAATTCTTCAATATCATCTGCTGATCGGACTGTGTTTGACATATTATTGTTTCGACAAACTTCAAAAGAGTTTAAATTTCTATGCCGTGAAATTCTAAACTTATTTAGCAAATCATCGCGATTTATGGCGAAACGTTTTAATAAAATATAAAAAACTTCATGTTGCTAGTGTTCGAAAATGCAACCAATTTCTCATGTTTTCAGATGCAAAACATTTTATCCGGAGGATTCATCTTTGTTATATGGAACAATAAATTATGTGGAATTAGCGAATATGGTGGGTATGCTCAATATATCCATACCAAACAAATCGCTTAATTTTACGGGAGTCCGTTTTCAATCTGAAACAAACAGGTGAGTACATTAATAAATTTAGAAGTTTATAAGTACATACATACTTTTGACTAATTGCATAATTTGGAAAGGTGATGAAATGCGGATACGGTTTTCTTACTAATATTGTTTCGTTTATTTTCGTTTTTTTTGGTTTGCGCTTTTAAAATTGCCGTTGGATATATTTTTGAATGTTACTGGCCTTCCGGGATTTTAGGACTACCTTTAAATAAGTAACTAGCTGCAAACTTTTCCGTCTAGCGCGTTTTTTGGTATGTAGTGTTTTCCAATCGAAACGATACAGAAAGTTGGTTAAATGGGGAGGTCGTTAAGTTTAAAGTATATCTGACGACTCGGAAAAAGTCATAACTAGAGTCACGCTAACTACACATTTGCCAAAAATAAAATACTTATTAAAATAAGTATGTCGAATATTGTATCAGTCAAAAGAGGAACCACTGAAAATTATCAATAACATCAACCAGAATATTATATTTCAGTTCAGAGATATTTGGCATTTCCCAGATACATGAGAAAACAAGCCTTATATAATCAATACTAATTTTGAGTAGTGAAATTTGTACACCCTAAAATATCAGCATGGCATTTGAGATTTCAGCATATCCATTTTAGGAATGAGGTCAAGCATTTTATCGCTAAACTCTCCAACTATTTCCATACCTACATGATGCGTTCCAGAAAATCATGGTTATTTCATCACTAAACATATATTTTCAGAATTAAAAAAAAAGTTAGCTCAATTTAGGAAAAATGTTACCTTGCGGAGTTTACGTAATTGGGTATTGCAAATGGTTGTAAAACTGTATACGAATACTTTATATCTTTTTAGGCTCATGTTGCCTTTGTTCTAGTAAATCATTTTCTGTGTTCTGTAGAAATTCTGGAATTTACGAACATTATTAACAAGTTCATTGAAGCAATGTGATGGGGGTATGACTGCTTAGGCTATTTCGCTGTGTAGTTCATCTTAATTTGGGATGCACGATAATGTTAGCTTTATAATGTAATTAACAGCATCAGGAACTTGGACTTGCACAATATAATAGTTGAAAAAATATAGTTGGAGAAAGGAAGACTTGTGTGCATATTGTTGCTTTCTTTCATAAAATCATTCTTCAAATCACGTTTTAAAAATTTGCTGGGCAACAAATGCAAGAGCAAAATTTTCCGAAAAAATTCGACTATTAATTTTAGATATGCTCCGTATATGGTAATATCGGAAAGTGGCCCTTAATTATTTTTCCATTTATATTTAAAAAAAAACTATTTAGCTTTTTAGTTGGTCTATTCAGTAACTGTAGTCAAACAGTCAGTAGTGGATTTAAAAATGTATTGCCTTTTCATATAATTTGTCATTGCATGTAATATAATTTGCATCATTTATAATTTTTCTTTTATGGCACTTCTCTTTACGTAGGTATCCAAGCTTTCCGATTTAAGGCGATTCATTATCAAGAGTAATCCCAACGCGGTATTTATATTCCTACTTTATTTTTAGGAGGTGTTTGGTTGGACCCTATTATTTTATTATGTGCACGCAATAGAAACCTAGTTAATTCCGAACACCATTTTCGTGGGTTTTTTTCGAATTTCGCTTGATAAATTATTCGTAGTCCTTTTATCTAATTTCATGCTTTGCCGAGCGCGAAGACTTAAAAAAAAAACAATTTCTTAGATTACGGACTTTATTACAAAACTATGTTCGTACACGACAGTTAATTGAATAAAGACTATGTCCGCCGGTTGGCACTACTATTTATATTATTCTCCTATCTCTAATAAAGTTAACTCAGCATAGTGTCATGGGTGTGCTGATCTCGTAGTTCTATACTGGGGCATCACTGTGTAGGAATATATAACTCCTCCACCCTTAGAGCAAAATTCTGGGGTTGGCCTCAGAATTTGGTGTTCTTTCTCTGATGATTGGTTTCGGGTCGTCTGGCTTGCTGCACCTTTTTCTATAAAACTTATATGCAACAAACAAAATTATTAGTATTAGAATGATGTAAATTAAGATTGACCATCCGTCAATATGTTGAAATGTTATTAATTCTGTTTCAGATAAATTAATTTTTTGTTTGCTTATTTCTAAAGCACTTCTAACTGCACTTATTTCGTTCAAGTCTAAATTGTCCAATGTTAAAGGTTTGAATTCTTCTGGGTCTTCTCGTGTGAAATTAATAAAGTCTGTTTTTGGTAGAGCAATGTTTTCATATTTCTGCACGACATTTCCGAGATTTCGTAAAATATTGTTTCTAATTTTTAGTTCACAATTTTCGTTTAGTTCGATTAAGAAAGTTCCTTTTAATGGAATGTTTTCTTTGTTGTTCCCGCACTTT